TTTACTGGTACCAGAGCTCGACTGTTGTTTAGAATCGAAGGCATTCCTGCAGAAACCTGGCTGGAGCGAGGATTTTCTGATGGCGGAGGAGCGTTGGGGATTTGTAGGTCTTCGTTAGCAGGAGTGGCTTCCGATTTTGACACGTTCCTACTGGCCAGGGAGCTCTTGGAAGCATCCACCGATGTCTTTCCTGATGTTTTTCCAACAAGTGATCCCGGTTCACCTGGCAATGATCGACGAGTCGGCAACGCGTCGAGAGGAGGATCCTCGCGCTTGTAAGCTTGCCAGCTCCAATAACCCAGCAGGAGAGCATTAAACGTCGCGTCAGCAGAGATCGAGAGCCCAAATCTCCAACCCGAGATATACATTGTCGGAAGTTTGCATAGAGTCATCAGAGCTTGGTCTAGCGCCAGTATGGCGTGTATGACAAGATTGCCGAGTTCACTTCCATTTGGTCCCGTTACCAATGTTGTGATGAAAACGGTGATGTGAAGGGTAATAAGTCGAAATACATTTGTTAAAAGTGGCATGATCACCGATGAAACAACTAAAACTAGAGCTTGATTAGACCAGAAAAGTCGTAGAAGGTAGCCCTGTAGCACAGAATCTTATGAAAATCGTTTTCAACAAATAAAATAATAAGCCACCTACCAAGACAATAACCTGAAACACCTGTAATCCATAAATTGCTACCCAAATCAACAGTGGCATAGCAAAGGATGCCAGTAAATGAAACCTTTTAGGAAGCTGTGGAGTCTTGAGCAATACATAATCGAGACGGAGTGAAGTGACGATGGCAATAGGCAGGCTTGCGACGAATAAGACGGCATTTTTGGTTGGAGGAGGAAGCACTGTGGCTAATTCCAGGCACAGCCAGAGCATCAACATTAGTGAGATGTAGCTAATGGCTTGAGTAATAGCCAATGACAGAATATGCTCATCTCTCTCTTTGGATTTCTTTCTGCTGCCATCCCAGTCAAATCTTTGGAGGAGATTTGGAGTGAGTTTAATCTGTTTAGAGGAAGAACAACATAGAGGTACATACCGTATATAAATACTCATAGAAAAAAGGGGCGCGACTATCTGAGTTCCCATGTACAAGTACGTGCTTATCTGCACCCCATCTATTGAGACACCAGCACAGTTCCTGGTTGAAAGACATGGCAGAATTAAGCTTCCTATGCCGTAAAATCCGATCTCGACAATGGCAGATATTGCAAATGAAAAGAGTGACGGGGCAAGAATGGCGTTGAGAATAAATCGAGAGAGTGAACCTTGTGGTTTAGCATTTTCAAGGTCTTGCAATTCCTTTTCGGTCACTTTGATCACGTTTGAATCATTTTGCTGGTAGTGGACGGTGTGAATAGCAGGGGCTTCTGATGTGGAGAAAAGTTGTCGTGATTCTTGGTCCATGAGCGTAAAAGTCTTCGATTCGAAGAGAGAAACGAGGTCTCCAAAAGATTGACAAAGTAAGCAGTAGCATTTAAATTACAGACGTAGCAGTAACCTTAAAACTTCCTGAAGGATTTTTGCGGGTTTGAATTCCAGCCGAGTGGACCTTGAATGTTCCGGCATGGAATCTGTGCAGGCGCCTTACGCGGCATTTTGAGACAAGTACTACGAGACATTTAAAGGAGTATAATTGGCGTCTCTGGTGGCGTCCTCCTGTTCACTTACGGAAAGAAATACCACAGCGCCAGTTACCGACACAGCAAATCAGAAAATTGACAGGATCTCATTAGAGGAGGAACCTGTAAGGTTCTAGCAATCAAAGTTATCAGACAAAAAACTTATCTGAAGCCCTTCGCGCGTGCCTCAATCCGTTTTAAATCCAACTTGCGTTCATTTGGTACCTGACGTTTGAAAGTTGGTGCGATTCCTGTCGAGTACCAAAATAATCAACTTGCAGAGCTTACGATTCATAATAGTTTACTCATGTATATTACTATGTATTTGATTAATTATATGTTTGTGGTTCTAGTCACGTCTATTAAATCACATTTGGCCAAAAAAGCCCAGAGTCCCTGCAGCGAATGCAAGCATGAACGCTGGCGGAATTATGGAAGCTGCAGTCAAACTTGCCATTGTCCTGTTTCCCGGGTTCAGCGGATGCCGACAAGGATCGAGACCAGGTATATACTTCTGCCAAAATGCTAGCCAGCAAAGAGCATTTACGAGACTAATAGCAACTGATGCTGGCAGAGAGACTTTCCACAAGCTTGAAGTGAAATCATTGTCATGCGTGGTCGGCATAGGGAACAAGTATACCGTCAGTGCTGAGATGGGACATGATGTTATAGACCCTATTAAGAATAGAAGCAATAAGATTTGGGGACGAGATCGGTGATCCACTGTCTCAACAGACCTATAAGCAGCGATGTAGCTAAATGCGGCAGCAAATCTACCATCGCATGTCTTTGGGAGAGTGACGCAGTTGATGCTGCGTGTCGATGCGGGATTGAGGCTACCAACGCAACAGGATCCATGACTTTGGTGATTTCACTAATTCGAAAAATTGGAGGTAGCGAAGCCACAGTGTTCAAAGCTTCGACGGTTCCACGAGACTCTGAAACAGATATCATGACATGCGCTCCAGATGCACTTGCTGAACTGGAGCGGCGATGTCCATCATTCACTGGCGTTGACACTGCTCCACTCTTGTGTAAGATTGATGGTAGTCTTCCAGGAATGTAACTGGGTCGACGAGTTTGTGACGGCTGCTGTGAGGTGAGGCTTTGCGACTCAAACAATGATTTCGCTTTCGTCGTATTTGAATCGTCGTTGATTGGAGTGGCTTCTGATCCTGACATTGTTCTACTGGATATTACATTCCTTGAAGTCTCTACGGATATAGAGCCTGATGGTTTTCCAAAGCTTGAGGCCTTGTCACTAGTCAAAGATGTGTCACTTGGCATGACCTCCAAAGACGGATCGTCACATTCTCGGTCTCGGCTGAAAGCCTGCCAGCTCCAAGATGCCAGCAGGGCCGCGTTAAATACGAGATCGGCAACGATAGAGAGACCGAATCTCCAACTGGATATATACATTGTCGGCACTTTCGACAGAGCCATAAGAGTTTGATCTAATGATGATGATGATGGCTTCAGCACGAGAACATTTTTATGATCCAATGACAAGTAGAGATTCGGCACCTAAAGCAATCACAACAAGGAGTACAATGTTTCGCACTTCAGTCCCGTTGGACCCCGTTACAAGCGAAGCAGCGAAAATCTAATGAAATAACGGAGTGGTGAATAAATAATGAGCTGGTAGAGGGAGAAAGAATATAAACGTTTAGGAAACCATCCAAAAGCCCCACCGTGATATGAAGTGTGACCACTCGAAATGAAACTGCCAGCAATGGCATCAAAACGGAGGATACAACTAATACCAACGCTTGGTTTGACCAAAAGAGACGTAGCAAGTATCCAATGACAAGAACCTGGAGAGATTGTAGCCCGTATATTGCCACCCAGATCCCGATTGGTACGACAAACGATACGACGATACGCACTTTTGCAGAGAACTCTCGAGTTTCGATAAGGACATAACAGAATGGTGAAGTCGTGAGGATGACAGCAGGGAGGCTCGCAACGATTAAAATGGCATTCCGCGTTGGAGGAGCAAGATTCGATGCCAAATCCAGACTCAACCAGACTGTCAACATTAGTGAGATATAGATCAAGGCCTGAGAAAAAGCTAGCGAGATGAGATGCTCATCCCTTTCTTTCGATTTCTTTCTGCTCCCATCAAAATCGAATCTGGACAGGCATTTTCGAGGCTTTGATGGTGAGTTTTCGAAGACATCAAGCATACAGAGAACGGAGAGACGTACCGAATGTAGATAGTCATCATGAAAATTGATGCGCCTATCTGAGTTACCATGTACAAATACGAAGGTAGCTGAATACCGTCTGTGACGACACCAGCACAATTTCGTGTTTGCAGACACGGGAGCAGAATGCTTCCTAATCCATAGAAGCCAAAGAAAACAATGACAGACACTGCAACCGAAAAGAGTGATGGACAAACGATGCCATTGAGAAGAAAACGAGAGAAAGAACCAGATTTCAGCAGGTTGTCGGTAGAATCCTCTTGTTGGTAGTGAACGCTATGAGCAGCAGAGGGCTCCACGGTGGAGAATTGTTTGATATCGGTGGTAACTTTTGATTCATCTTGCTGGTAGTGGATGGTGTGGTGAGTAGGAGGGGATAGTATAGTCGACGGTAGTCGTTGTGCTTGTTCAGCCAGCATCGAAGAGAGAATCGAGGGACCCAGAGCATCAAAAAATGGAGAGGGCTATTCAGTTAGAGTTTCGACATTGAGAAAGTGTCAGCCTTGGGGGTGGTGGTTACGGAGAAATCCGAGATCTTTGTGACGGTTTGTAGAAAATCCGCGGTCGACGAATCACGATTCCATAGGCGAAAATCTATTCCTCAGAGTCAGCAATTTGGAAATATGAGACCTCTCAGGTTGGCATGTTGGCCCAGAGCGAGCGTGCATCTTGTTCCAGATGAGTGTGGGAGTCACGTACCAATTCAAAGAGCTGCAAGAGAAGAATAATGTAAATGATTTGAAATGAAAAGAATATGCGATCTCGCTTCAAAATCACGCTCGGCGTTGTTTGAGCCAAAAGAGAGTCGCCCTCACCGAATCTCATCGTCGTCCGAAAACGTTAGCAAACAACCAAGGAGAAGAAGGTAAGGCTCCAGCCTGATAGACAGCACCAGGCAGTATCGAGACCGTTAGCTAGTGCTCCCTGTTGCCTGATTATTCCTTCCTCGTCTCGTCAACTGCTCGCAACCACTAAACGACAAGAACGGCGTGTCAGAGAACGACACTTTTGGTTTACAAATATTGCAGAAAATATCTGATATCCTGTCTATTCTCATCTAGATTCATAGACCCGTACTCGTTAGGGAGACTGTTCTGGGTCTGACATTTGCTTTTTGAAACACAGTGGTCCATCAAACGACCACTTGGCGCCGACATATTAGACAATGCAGACAATCAAGTGTGTAGTAGTGGGCGATGGTGCCGTCGGAAAGACCTGTCTCTTAATCTCTTACACAACAAACAAGTGAGTCTCTTCCCCCTCTGCTACACATCGTCCCCCCTTTTGGGAGGGCTGGTGGCGGTTATCGCGATTGTTAGCCCAAAACCCAACTGCCAACAAGGAGAAACAACTCGCTTGGCAAACCATCTTGTATACCATACATCTGTCGCAGTGATCGTCTGGGGTTGTCTCGTGGAGGTCCCCTGCAAACAACAGTGGAATCAAGCGACCTAACAAATGGAGTAAATCAAACCTCGTTTTTTCGCTAATCAATCTTGACTCTAGGTTCCCTTCTGAATACGTACCAACTGTATTTGACAATTATGCAGTCACCGTCATGATTGGTACGTGTGCAATTTTGTCTTAAAAGTAAAACACATCGAATACTTTATTGAATCAACCCCTTCGTTATCTCTTCTGCATGTTACAGGATCGGAACCATATACTCTGGGTCTGTTCGATACAGCCGGTCAAGAAGATTACGACCGTCTACGTCCTCTGTCATATCCACAAACAGATGTCTTTCTCGTGTGCTTTTCAGTCGTGTCACCAGCATCATTCGAAAACGTTCGAGAAAAGGTGTGCCATCAAATTATGATACAGTATATGGCATACTTGCACGATCGTCTTTGTGATGCCGGAAGATATGAGACGGGGAGAGAGAAAGGGTTGGACATGCAGATGACGAGAGGAGCAAATCGAATATCGAATTCGCTGAATGTCGAATCAGTAAAAAGTCTTCTCTTAAACATCCTTCAAGCTAATGCAAACTGTTTTTCTTGTAGTGGTTTCCAGAAGTTAGACACCATTGCCCAGGTGTCCCTTGTCTATTAGTGGGTACACAGATGGATTTGAGAGATCAACCTGCAACATTGGAGAAACTGGCAAAGAACCGTCAACGACCCATTACACCAGATATGGGTGAACGGCTCGCCAAAGAATTGCAAGCTGTCAAATACTTGGAATGTTCAGCCCTGACACAAAAGGGTCTGAAAAATGTCTTTGATGAAGCCATTATTGCCGCCCTGGAGGTAAATGAGAACTATGGGACTATGATGTTGAACTTACAGTATTCATGATTGTCACGATTTTGAAGATTCATGATTATATATACTTAAACCCTTCTGTTTTTCTGTCTTTTAGCCACCAGCACCGAAAAAGAATAAACGCAACTGCAACATCCTCTAAACGACCAGACCACAGAATCAAACTCTTGAAACATATATAAAGTAGCAAAACCACCCAAGAAAGCAAAAAAATACTCTGGAACATCGATAGGCCGCAACAACCCTCCACTACTTCCATCTAATATCCATCCTTCCCATTGTTTATTAATACGGTACGCCAAAAAGCAATTCAACTAGAAACCGACATCACGAACATCAACCAAACAGCACCTCCCTTTTTTACACGTCATTTTTGGCTACCAGTATTATAAACAACCACATCCAGATGTTTTATTGCTTTCGAGGAGGAAATCAAAGAGAATGACATACAGAGAGGAGTCGAATTACATATACCACACTGGTGCCCCCCTTATCGCAGAAAACCCATAAAATTCTTTACAAATTGGAAAATGATGATCGTTGTTTTATGAACACAAGCAGAGAGAGAGACGGTTTTTACTGGAAATAAAGTTTTTTTTCATTTACTATAACACACATATTGGTTATCGAAAGCAGTTTGAGAATCGTTTAGATCAAACAGAAGAATCGTATCTTTATTTTCTAGAAACAATAGGAAAAGGTTTAAGCATAGTACGACTGTGAGATGAGAAGGTCTGTCAGCATGTACAATTGGTCCTCGCTAAATTTCAAAGAGTCTTCGTGCCAGGTATCCTGATGAGTTCGCTTGAAATCTGCAAAGGTTTTGGATACAGTAGCCTAACCAGAAGTGTGAAACAGGAATTGAGGACAAGTAATGGGTAACTCTCAACAAAAGAAATGATAGTAATGACGGGCAAAGCAAACCAACAAGCGCTGCGAAAACACCACTATCTGTAACTTACAGAGATGGGAGCAGGATCTGAATGACATTTAGCCAGCATTACTAGCACATCAGGCATCCAATCTGGTACTTCATACGGAGTAGAAGTGACAAGAGAAGATAATCCAAGAGTTGCGGCGTGACGTCTTAATATGGCTTCCTGATATCCAAGCGGTGGAGGTAATCCACTTCCCTTTACGCGAGATGGCAACTTTTTGCTCAATTCAGTGGCAAAACGTGTCTATCAGACCAAAAAACGGATCGTCAGACCCGAGGTATTGTTGAAATACAACGGTTTGCTTCTCGAGTCATACCTTCAACACAGAGATATCGTCACGTTGAGAGCATCGAATCAACCCAGATAGAGTCACAGCTGCCAATTGTCGTATCTAGAATTCATCGAAAGAGTGAACACCAAAAGAGACGGAAAAAATAAGGTAACAAATAGCTAACCTCAATCTGAGAATCAAACAGCGCATCCAGCACAGACTTGACAAAGCCCAATCGAATATCAGACGGCATGGCGAACAAGTTCCTGAAGAAGAAGACTTGGATTATGGGCAATACCCGGATCCGAATATGCCATGATGGCTTCTCTACAGCTGCTGCACCGTTCGTTGCATCTCCTACACCTCGGTCCTGCAGTATATCCTGAAGGATTTTCGCAACAGGAGGCAAGAGTGATGGAGTATGCGCTAATTGCGGATAGACTCCGACAACGGCGTTGGCTTGAGTAACTAGGTCAGAGTCATCAGAGTCCAGCATATCCAGAATAGCGGGGAGCAGCAACTCAATGTAAGGATATATGCTGAATATGCCACCAGTCGTGAGAGCCTCAAACGTCCACGAGAGGATGGTTTTAGCGGTGTTACTGTATACTGTGGGTGTAGTGACATTGGTGGTAGTATGAAGAGCTTTAGCTTCAACTCGAGCCTTCTTAAGGTCGTTGAATAAGTTGATCATTATTGGTTTGATTTTGGGGTCCATCTGTATGGGTACTTGACTAGCCGAGTCTTTTGCAGTACTCCATTGCACGATTGTACGTATGTTTGGAGCTGAAGGGTGCCAGCTAGTACGAAAGAAAGTTTTAGCTGATATGATTTAGTGTTGACGATACATGACTTACATGAGCTGCAAAATTCCCATTATGCAAGACCCCAACAACTCTCGCACCTGCTTATAAGGACTATTCATAGCTTGAATATACTTTGGTAGCAATGGCAACGCCAATGGCAAAATACGCCAGGAGAAAGACGCCAAGATTGGACGCACAAGATATAGCTTCTTGGTTTCCGAAAAGAAGGAGGACGAGTTCGGGTCCAGTGGATCGGATAATATAGGCTGAATGAGTGGTAATAATCGACGTGGGTCTCGATTACGCTAAATTGATGTTGGGAATAATTGTGTTAACATTGTCAGAAAATTCTTCAAAAATCACAGACACTCACATATGTGAAAGAGAGGAAGGAGTCCCAAAACGTCAATGTTTCAGGGGTCACATTTTTCAACCCTTCATCGACCAAAGGTACAACCCACTCCCACATCTTTTTCAATTTAAGTGGCCCAAAGTGTTTCGACCCGCGTACAATTCCACCCAATATCTCCAATCCAGCTCTCTCTTTACTCTTTTCACCACCATGATTCAATACCAGTGATACTACTTGTGGCTTGATACACGTCTCAATAAAGGCATCTTGATAGAATCCAATCATGGCTTGGTAGAATCGTGCGTTTAGAGAGTTGAAGTTTTCTAAACCTTTTGCAGACTCCTGGGATAAATATGTTGCATGTTTAGACCAGAAGGCTGGATCAGACAAGGCAGTTTGGATTACAGTCATGGCTGGTTGTGAAGTAGTATCGGTGTATGGTAGACTATTCAAGTCTCGAGGAGCAAATGTATATACTTTGGCGTGGGGTGGGAAGCACAACCATCCTAGGTCGGGATTATCTTGTAAGGGTGTTGACGAGTTGGGATTTATACCATCAGTCAACCATGTCTCGGGATCTACGTCGTCAGCTTTTACTATCTTCTTGACATCTAAAAGAGCACTACCCCCGTTCGATATGGCACGTTCTTTCACCGTTACGAATAAAGTAGTGAGAAGAGACGTACACGTCCTTCGAACGGCGGGAAGCTCCGAGTTTATTTGCGATACCACAAAATTGGCGAGGCCAACTGGTATTGGTTCATCTCTACGTAGGTGTAACTCGATGAAGTTACTCGTCATGGCAGCAAATCGCCAGTGGAGGTTTGGATTTTGGACATGCGTCAAGAGATAGTCAATCTTGTTGAGAAAAGTGATGAGAAAAATCAGAAGCAGAAGTCTCGGAATTCCACGAAAGGACTAAACTTATTAAAAAACACAACAACATGCAGACTACTTACCAGCTCGTGATATGTACGACGATTCGATATTCCACGACTAATTTCCACAGACTGCTTGGTATTTACTTCGTTCTCGCTGACATTGGCAGATAAAGCACGAGCAGCTTGTGCCGTTTCTGTAGTCACATGTACTTGTATCCCAAGCTCAGAGTAGGCAATCAAGAATTCCATGAATGTTTTTCGGATAAGTTCTTGAACAGATGGCTTTGTTAAAATAGAAAAAACAACGTGTGAGCTGGAAACATACTTGGATCGTTTCTAATATAATCGACGAGCAACAAACGACCAACCTTATCTTCACCATGGGCACCACAGAGAACCTCGGCGAGTCTTTTCGAAGCATTGATTCGTGAAAGTGCGACACCCAGCACCACACGATTCTTCAATACATACAAAGCACCCTTCATTTTATCCGAATCCTTCTCGCCTGTACCGTCAAACCCACCACCACCTTCTAGCAACGCATCAGTCATTGCATAAAACGTCTTGAATTTGGCAACAGCAAAGCATTTGATCGATCTAATCAACACTGTCTGTGACAGCTTTCGTATCTCAGAGTATTTACCAACACTCAATGCTGCCAAGTCACTAAAGAGTGCCTTGACTCGTTCATCAAATACTTGCTGATTGGCATTATACCTGCGACGCAAAGAATGTTGTAGCAGTATTCGTTTCACAAGCGAGTATCGAGGACGGTCTGTTTTTGTATCTTCTACTGTCTTGATGTATGCTTTCAAGTACCGATATCCGCGTCGTGTGCCTTCGTACTCGTGAGGTTCCAGGCCCCTGTCACCTATATACACCCTTACGGCTTTCACGAGTGGTTTTATTGGATCCGTATCATCCGGTCTGCTAGCACCAAAGTGTTGCGCAAGTGTGTGTAAAAATGCACCGGTCTTGTTTCGAAGTGCTAAAAATGGTGCATAAAGTGGGTCGGATGGCTTGAGTACATATCCAGCATCAATCGGATATTGATTATCATTCGGAGTCTCGGGATCTGTATCAGACAATCCTTGCACTGTGGAGCCTTCAGGTCCAATGAGTGTGCATGTACCCATCAAGAGGTTGCATAATAAATTAATGCAACGAGCGAATTCGTTCGAGTCATCCTTGTAACCTGATGATGACATGGATGGCGTATTTCGACCAGTGGAAGCCTTATTTATGAGGTTCTGCAAATGGTCCAGTGTTGAGGGCCAAAACATCTGGATCAGTTCCATCGCGAATTCTATTTCTGCTGGTGATGGTATATGCCATTCCATGTCTATCTTGGCATTTGGAGCACCCCATCTTTTGTGTATATTGGCCATGTACTCTAAAACAGCAGTGATTATTAGGCTTTCGGATGGTGGTGAAATCTCACTCAGAGAAAGTGAGATCAATGAAGCGATACTTACCTTTATCTGCCCACTGCTGAGGAGTAACACTTCTCAGTTCCATTGGATAGGTATCTAACAGACATATTAACAAATTCCTAAGCACCTTGCCAGCCCACTTATATCCTCGACGCCCTTTACAGACCGACAGCATTTCCGTGATGACTTGAACCAACTCAGTCTTATACTTGAGTACACCCTTGCCAGCACTCGATAAAACGCCCATCAGAATAGACTAACGATGGACAAAAAAATTATCTGCAAACTGATTGCAAACAAAAACATCCTAAATTGAAAGGCATTTTTACCTGATACCAATGGAGCGTTGAGTCTGATAACGTGTTCATGCCAAATGGATGTGTGGAAGATATAGACGAAGTAGCGACTGCGCCGGCACCATTCGACAACTCGGCCATGATTCGAGCATGGCACAATGGAATGAAGGCAGCAAGATTTTTATCTGGATCTGAGCCCATGGATGTTGTGCAAATGGTTCCAATAGCTTTGGTCGCATTAGGGATGGTGGAGGATGTTACAAACTTGACCAATTTACTCAAAGCGACAGCATGGATTTCAGGGGAGAGTTGCAGGAAGACCTGCTCGGCTGCATAGTTTACAAGCTGCAGTATGGATGTTTCTATTGTGGCGTTCCCTTGTTGTCCATGTTGCTGAGGCAAGTTTTCGAGCTATTGTAAAAAATGCAATTTGAGACAAACGATGAAAGGGGATGGATTTGATCCAAATAACGTGTTTCATTCAACTCATATGAACTAATTTCAAGCTAGCGAAGCAAGACATGGTAAGGAAGGACATCTTTAACTTACCATAACAAAGATGCGTTCTAAAAAGCTCACTACCCAGTCTTCAAAGTCCATTGTAGCAAGTCGACAAGCATCATTCTCTTCTTCTAGGTCAATTTCCATACCATTGTCTTGCTGAGCATCAATTTCCATCGAGTTATTCGTACCACCATTACTCGACAGTTTAGTAACATCCACTGCAAAAAGGGGTGAATCAGACGAATTCACAGGTGCTAACCAAAACGCCGGATTCTTACCTAAAGGTACAGTCATACAAGTATGAGCAATGAAAAACAGAGTTGACACTGTCTTTGTTGGATCGTTAACATCAATTCCTGGCAAGATCAAGTTCAGCAAAGGTGTGACGTGTCGTCCTCCAGCTGGATAATGGCTTCGATTGAATAGAGCTGTAGCAGTAGATGACAGTGCTCCAATACAAGATATAGTTCGATGAGTTTCCGTCAACGTCTCTAATGCAGGATAAACACGTTCCAACAGTCCTGGGAATATCAGTTCAGGAGCAAGCCATACTAGCTGCTTGAGGATCGAATGGGAGCTCATTACAGAGAGTGGATCTTTACTAAACATTGCGAAAAATGTACATGGTCTGATTATGGTGACGAATTCCTTCTTTATGTCGTCCGTAAGCCGATAATGGATGGGTGTTTCACAATCTGGTTTAGCTTCTTCTCTGAATCTCTTCAGAAATTCAGAAGACAGCGAAAACAGGAATCGAGTCAAGGGTGAGACCCAACGACCATAATTTGATGGATGGAAGTATGTTTCAATAGCTTGCAATAATTGTGCAAGTGCATTCAACGTGTTTGTTGGTGGTGGAGCTGGTTTACCTTCCTGTGCTGGTGGATAAATAGTATATACAATGAATTTAGCAAAGGCTTCAAACTTGTTCTAAAAAGCAAACGCAAAACATTGTCAGACAAAAGGGCTATGGATTGAGTGTGACGTATGCCTCTACATCGCTACCTTTTTTAAGGATTCCATCATATCAATACCACCGTCTATTTTGAGGCCTGATCCTGCACCACGATTGCCACTGATTCCCTGAGTACCGCTACCTATTGGCAAATCCATGTTCTTCAAGGCGACAGTAAACATGGATTTGACCTGGTCCTCCGTCCAACGAGTATTTTCCGGAGAACCGACTTGATCTTTAGCTACTCGACTCAGAAAGTCGAAATATATAGTATCAAGACCTGCATATGTAAATGTCTGCCACGAGGAGAAGATTGTCGGAAGGAAATACAAAGGTGGAGCTGAATTGTCGGTGAGTACTTGAGGAGGAATACTATTTGTTGGCAGGAACAAGCACATTAGGGTTTGGTAGATGGCAGCAGTAGGTGCAGTTGGCGACGAGATATTGGGTAGCATTTCTTCGAGGATTTCGGACGCGGCAGTAGGTGGAAAGAACCTACGAGCATGCTCGACGAGCTTGACAATGGAGTACAAGTGTTGGCTACGTGATAGTGCTTGTTAGCTTAGTAGTAAAAACACGGACGCGTAACCACATATTACGCTTACGCTGCACCAGGTAATGATCGATCCTTCTGTTTTGGCAAGAACACTTTTTTCAAAATCTCATACAAAGGACGCCATGGTAATTGCAGGGCGGTTGAAGCAATGAATTTCTCTTTTCTACACAGTTGCGATGAGGTGTTAGTTTGAATGGATTTGAAAAGCAAAAGCTTGACTGCAGAGCAAGATAGGCTAGGTGGCGCAATCTTACCCAACGAGTCGAACAATGATGCTAGCATATGATTCGACCAATGCTGTGCCCATCTTTGGGTTGATGACCAAAGTAAATAGTAGCCATCCTGGTGTAGAACATTGTAAGCACGATCTCCTTTCAACAACTTTGAGATTCAAGTTCAACAGTGAGAACGGTCAAGACAGATGCCAACCTATTTTAGCACGATCTTGTTCCGAGATCGGAAGCTTCAAGTCCAGATGCCTAAAGTCGACGTGCGTGTGAGATGTTGCAAAGTCGACAAGGTACCATCAGAATGAATAATTAAGACTTCGTACGCGACGAGATGTTTGGTCCAACCAGTAACGCCAGGAGCATAATTTCCAGAGGCAGCTTCAACACTCAATCCATCTATGATGGCTTGCAAATGATTGTCGTTTCCAGTTGAATACGGAAGCAGTTCATTCCAAAGAAAGTCGGCTCGGTATGGATCTGGACTGGCAGCCATCTTGAGATATGTTTGATATCTCGTCTCTATCTATTACGCTTCGAGATCAACGGTGTTTTGCAAGACACGTCAGCAACACGAATCCAAGCTGGCGTACGCGACCTCAATCGACGTGTCCAAGAAAGCGTCGTCACCACGTATACTTTGAAAAATGGAATCTTTTCAGTGTCTTGTCCGTGTTGTAGCAACGACACTTCCATCCTGGTTGCGAGCTTGTAAGGCGAGACTATCGCGTTCGATGCACCGTCTCGGTCTAATAGTCAATTTAGAGTATTTCTGGTGCCGTCTAATTCAATTGTTCAATATAAACCTATTTTCTCCGTGAACTCGGTCATCTTCAACCTTCAATTTCAACATTATCGATGGGAGATTCGCCATACACCGCGTTAGCTGGATCTAGTAGCCAGTCGCAAGGCTACCACGAGGGCTTTGTAAGCACTGCTGCTATAGAGTCACAGGTGAGAATCCTACCCGGCTGTCTTCAACGTGATTCAAACTGTCGAATAACTGCTTCGACTACATAGCAAGTGAGAGTGAACAAGTATGAAACTACACTCCCCTTGCGGGTGGATCTGTTATCTGCTCTAGCCTACTCCCTTGGACCAATTTCTGGTACGTCCGCATCAGCACCCCCGGTTACGAGATTGTTGATTGATGGATACGAACAACTACATAGGTGTCATACTCTTGATCTTGGAAACCAAAAATGACTATGTCCGGTTTCACGCTTGGGTAATCAGTCGTTTACTTTCAAAACGTATCAATGGTGTAGTCATTGCTAACCCTTTCATTGATATTTACAGCAAAGCTCATTAATATTCTCTTTCATGGTCTTGATGCACTTTTTCTGGATGTTCATATCAAGGTTGGTGGCATGCCGTGGTGTCGACCAAAGTTACTGGTGCTCTGTCCCTTTACTGCAACTTTCCGTCTTTTTCAAGTTTAGCTCTAGCTGAGGTTTTACTCAATTTCATGTCTTTATTTAGTGTCATCTCTTGGCTGCTTTTCGTGGTCGATTTGGGCCTCATTGGATGGTTATCCTATCAAGCGTACATAAACGGTGACACGCTCTCCAGATATGAGTTACCGTATATCGGCCAGGTTAGAGAACTATTTCCTACTGCCTAGTCCCGATCAATACAATGCTCACAATACGCCTTTCATTATAGATTGCATCTCGCTGGGTGGACACTGAATAAAAAGATAAAAAGAATGAACAAATTTTTGTACTTTGGTTTTTTGTATAATAAACACACACAAATGCTGCTACTCATATTTCGAATCTGTTTTGACCCTTTATATATTTCAACTTTACATACAATCAAAGGATGTACACAATCTACAAACAGAGAGAAGGACCAAGTAGAGACAGCTTACCATCCAATGGAAGCAACAGTGTTCTTGAATTGCCCCATATTGAATGATTGAGGATTGTACTATGTATGAAGGTGATTGTGTTAGACCTGAAGGGATTAGTTGACAGCTCACAGGAGCAAAGTTTCGTACATCAGCTTGTGGAGCACCACCGTACTTTTGATCACAGACCTGGTGAGCTTCGTGAACAGCTTGCCTAGAACAATGAATGGATGATAAGCAAGGAATAGTATTTGTATCATTGAAATAAAGGGTGATCAAACTCACTTCTTGGCCTTTTGACTGTCAATCCAATCCATTCCCTTTGTTTCAACGAGACGGTCAACTTCAGCAGCAGCGATGGATGCGAGGATTTCCTTGGCCCACTAGCGAGAACAAATTGAGGTTTGAGTTTGAAGTGTCACCTGTCAGGTCATTCATGATGATTTGTGATCTTGATCAAAACACAAATCGAATAAGGTTTGCTTTGAAGGAATGATCAGAAGTGATAGTTGATCAGTTGAAGAGAAGATAATGAAAATCCATGATGTTCTTAATTGTCACAAGCCACTCCGTCACAAGAGGGCACGAGCAAGTCAAAGTTTGCACTTTGCAAGCCACGACACTTACAGCGTGTGAGACTGGATGGCCTTGGCTAGTTTGATGCGCTTCGTATAACTTCATAGCAGCGAATCTAGAAAAAGAAGGAGAAAAAAACCCAACGACATTAGCACCTGTTTGTCCGTGAATATGAAGAATACAAAAGACAATCTGAACGAATAAGATACTCGCCCAGCTCCAGCTCCCACCAACTCATGAGTGAACTTGGCCTTTTGTGGTTCAGCGATGGGTCCAGAGTTTTGATACAAGTCTAATGTTGAAATGTTTTGATGTCGGTTAAAATGAACAAAGTAGTCGACAATTACATATCAGTGACGACAAAAAATTTGACCAAATAAGGTAAGATTCAGGTTCATTAGCCTACCAGCATGATGGCCAGAGAGAAATTCAAACATTTTTGACAGAATTGGCAAGGAGGTCTACAATTGAACATGTTAGCCCAATATAATGAAAGGCAGTGATACAGAAGGGACATAAGGTCTGGTTTTGGTTAGAGTTGGCAGCCTATACTTGTCAATGATTTGTTTCGTTGAAGGTTGCGGCGGTAATGGAGTTTGATTTTGAACGAAACATGAAATATCTGTGCGACACCACCTGGAGCAAAAAAGAGAGCTCTGTGGGCGAAGTTACAATACAAGCTGTGGTGACAATGCTCCCCGCGCTTACTGGTAATCTCCCCTCATCACAACCCCACGTATATTGTCTTGCCCCTGTGTAGAATGCAGGAGCGCGAACACTTTCAAATATGGATGGGAGGTACATGTGATTGGGAATGTTCGTTGATAAACTTTGAATGTCTGTAAATGCCAATGTTTCGTTAGATTCTTCCATCAACCAACTGTCAACGTCTCAAGCCCGTATCGTCACAATGGTAACAAGTACGTTCATAGCAAGCGCTTTAGACTGATATTATCTATTTCACCACGAAGCTGCTTTGAAGTAGTTGCCAATACCCCCCACTTTAAATTCATTCACTGCATCCGTCTGCCAAAGACAAACGCACACTTGGACGAGCTCCAGGGCAAATGATGAGACGAATTCAGTAATGATAATCATACAAAACATCAGAATCTTTCATATAGCTCAAATTGCCAGGTATTTCAAACCTCCAAAATCCATCTTCGAGTTATACGCCTGTCTTTTGACACTTGTATGAGAACTATGAGAATTGCCGCATTTGCGTTCCAACGACGACAGATCGCCTTATAGATAAAAGAAACTAGTAGTACTGTATTCTTAGTGCTCCAAACTTGACTCTGCGCCTGTTTCCATAGTATAATTGGGGTGGTCTGCCGTCTACTTTGCAAACTTGCAAAAACTTAAGAAATCGCCTTCCAAGAATAGGACGACTTTTACAGAGTAGAAAGAGACAAATAATCAATGCAAGGCACAATGTGGAGATACGGGAATTTTTAAAGGAGTCTTTCGGTGGCTTTTGGTGATGGTTGTGGTGATGGCTTTTTAGATTGAGCCAATATCTAAGAGAGCAGTTTCGGGGATGTTGCTTTCTGAGGGTAGATTTCGGCCTGGTTCTATTTTGAATATGACTAGATAGCTTCACGCGTTGTTGTCGTCGGCGACCAGCAGTTCCAAACAAAAATGTTGCGGTCTGTTTAGGTAACTTCAAAGCAAGCTACTGCTTGTAACGTGTGAAACAAGCAAGATTTACCTTTATCAACCCTCAATGTCCTCGGTTCAACAGATTGAACTGTTATTACTTCCAATGGTCCAATAGCGTTGGTCAGGTGCACGGTTTTTGTCTACTACCAACCACCGCAAAGCTGTGGAAATGGTCCATGCTTCTTACTAGTGAATTTGAATGAATTCGAAATCTCTTTCTTCTCCAAAAGTCGTCCTTTCCGTAAAAGGCGATTTCTTAAGTAAGTTTTGCAAGTCTGACTGACGGAGGTAACAAGACGGCAGGCAAACCCAATTATACTATGAAAAACTGGCGTAAAGTCAAGTCTCGAGGACGAAGAGTACTGAGCTACTAGTATCTTTTATGTGTAACGTGGACTCTCGTCGTAAGAACACTATTGCGGCAATTCTCATACTCAGTCAAAAAATCAGGCGTATAACTGACAGTCGAAGATGAGTGTGTGGTTTTGAAAAACTTCCCAATTTGAACAATGTAGAGCTTTCCTCTACTTTATATGACTATTGGCACTGAGCATATTTCTCTCTACCTTGAGGCTCGCGCAAATCTACCTTGAAAAGCGATGCTGATCATCTTGACCACAAAAATTGGATGGGACACCCCATTTAGTAATTGGAAACGAATACATAGTGGCCAATGAATACAAAATCTGAATCTAGACTGTTTATATTGATGTGTAGCAGAGATCCTTTCGTTTTATACATAAATGAAGAGTGTGTCTTTGCGACTAATGAAAGTACATTGCAATATCCAACTACATTCCATATCGAATACGACGTTGAGCACCAGGTAATTTCGACATGACCTCAATCTCTGGTCGTTCAACCAACACCATTTCCTTTACACCTCCCTGCTCCTGTTGCTGACTACCGTTCATGACAACATCACCTTGCCCATCAACCGTGACAGACGAGGTCGATGTTACAGCAGTTTCCAAAAAGTCCAAATACATGATTGGAGCAAAGCCAAGATTCATTCTAAAATTATCGTTTACAGGCGGTTCAACATGCTGATGAGCTGGTTTGGATGGTGATGTAGGTGGAGATGGTATCGGTATGTATCCATTTCGACCATGATGACTCGATGATGATGAGGGGTTTCCATTAGAAGTGTGATTATGTGGGGAATGATTATTCGCATCTTCTTCTTTCTCTTCTTCCTCGATATTGTCTTCAACATCTTCCATTGCTCCATTCTTGTCTTTGGCATGTTTGAAAGAAGCTGAAGACGATTTATGAATTCCATTTGTCATCTTCCTTTTACCAGAGTGACCATTCGTGGCCGGTGTTGATTGCATGATTCGGGCCTGTTTTGTCTTTTCATCTGGTATAGGCTATGTCAAGAAAGAAGAATGCATGGTGTGAGATTTAGATGGCGTTTCAATTGTGAGAGGAAAAAATAACCATTTTGAAACTTGTGTGGTTCTTAAATCAATGATAAGAACCAAAACAGGCAAGCACAGGTAAAATTCAAATTAAAATTCAAACGATTGCACGTACCTGATCAACATCCACCACACACACAAAACGAGCACCCCAGAACACCAGTGGTTCAGTGAGACGATCCTTTGTTCGGATGCCGAAAGCAATTCCAGAGACTACACCAGGATGATTCTTGAACTTTGATGGGAGACGCTGACTGTACTCTCGAGTCCAGTCGGATACTCGTTGCCTTTCGACGTTATACATTCGAATGTCGTTCGTTGATGTTGTGACTACTAGAGTTGGTGATGTTGGATGGAAGGCGAGAGCTGTTGGAGAAGAAGAAAGCTTCGGAAGTGTCCACACGAGCTGAAGAAAAGGTAAAAGCAAGAAGGTCAGCCTTGTTGGGACGACATACTTATAGTCTGAACGATTTTAACACACCTTGAGTGAATCCAATTGATAAATATGAACAAACCCACTCAATTCCCCGACAGCACACCATTGACCATCGTTTGATACTACAATAAAAGGTGCCAAATCTGCACTGGGCTGTGGTTCGAATGTCTCTGTAGATTCCCACCCATGGCTCTCAGCTACGTATTCATACATCCTTAAGCGCATATCATATCCAGACATGATCAAACGACTTGAGTCTGGAGTGAATGCTATACTATAGCTTGCAGGAAGCGGAGCTGATGTGGAGGCTTTTCGAAGAGAGAATTTGCCGGATGTCTATAAGAAACCTGGGTCAGCATACGTACTGAGGAAGTCTTGAAAGACAAAGGTAAATAATTACATCTTGACGAATGGAGAGAAGCTTGGTTGTGGTTTTGTCCGAAACAGCAATCCACTTGCCATTCGGGGCTATTGCGGTAGATACTAGATTTGACGATACCTTTTCCATTGAGAAGGACGAGATACATCAGAAAACAGAACGCGAACGCGTGTAGTTTCAAAGGCAATCACGGAAACAGTGAAATACGTACCCGAAGTTTGACATCAAGTAGCAACTTGCTGGTTTCTTCCAACGGAAGTTTTGTCGTCTCAAACGCAGGCATAGACTGTGTAGCAGAGCCCAGGCTCCATACCCTTACTACATCCTTCATCATGGCAGCAACCCATCGATTGGCTTTACATAAATAAATTATAGGTCGTGGAGGGAAATGTGGCATCCTCTGTATGTTGACAATGGGGAATGCTGCGAGATTTGATAGTACAATTAGGGACGTATCGAGGCCACCACTGACGAGGATGTCGAATGGTTTGGCAGTCCTTAGAGCGATAGTATGGACATCGTGACTATGGTAACGTTTTTCTCCAGAGACGGTCCATTCATTTCCGATTGGTACGTATCTGACTATTTTCCTATCTACACTACCAGAGAAGACGGCGGTGCCTTTGGCATTAGTGGCCAGACAGAGAACATCTCCGGCATGGGATTTGAAGCTCTGTGAGAGAGTGCCGTGCATTCCTTCTCGGAATTGCACGCATCCGTTCGAGTCTGCCGATACTATGGTTCCGTTTTTCAGGATCAGAACTTCCCATACCATTGTCTGTTCATCTGCTGTGACGTCCATAGTCATTCTTAATGTACATCGACCAGTGTTGACATCGTATCGTCGTATACAGGAATCAGCACCACCTGCAGCGAGTACATTTCCCGTAGAGTCGTAAGCTAGTGAGAGCGTTCGGGTGTTGTCTGTCTTGTCTAGGGTTTTATAATATTCGAGGGTGCCTGGCTCTGATATTGAAAATAATCGTATACTGCCGTCAGCACATCCGACAGCTAGTTGAGTTTGTGTTGGTGAAACCTTCATACATAATACAGCACCACCATTCGAGTCGACAGTATTCTAAAAACAAGAAGAGTTTTAGCGACTTGGAAAGGACATTTTGAGCTTGACTTGTGTTTGCATTTCTTGTTACTCGTGCAATTCAGGTTTGGCAGGAACATACCACAGGTTGTAGGGTAGTAGTATCCCATTCAGTAATCACAGCATCTTCACCAGCACTAAAGAAGCGAGGAGGAGCGTCCAGTAGTGCCTTTTTGTGCGCCTCGATCTCAGCTGCATCCAGATCTTCTAGCTCGGCAGGGTCAGGTTGTATTTGATGCGACCATGCCATAGCTTCAGCAGAAGCATCATTTCCTCCTGGTATCGTCTGATAATAATATAAGAAGAAGTTAAAGATCAAATGTTTTTTTTTTCTTCAACTTGGATGGTGACATGTTAACAGCACTCACCCTTTCAAGATGCCAGCGAGCGCCTCCTTCACGTAGCCTCCATAGTTCTATATCGCCGTCAGCTCTGGCGCAAGCCAGATAAGTTGATTTGAGGTAGGTTTCAGGTGAAAAGACGAGCTGTCGAATAGCAGCTGGAACATATTCCACAAATCTGCAGCGATGAGTAGGGGCCTGCATTATTAGATTATTGATCGAAGCTAGCTCTTCTAAGCTACTATCCCGTCCTGTACCAAGGAGTGACCGATTACTTTTTGTAGCAAAAATCTTGAAAAAAAAAAGTGATGAATTACGACCACACCATCAACTCGTGTCGGAAGGGATCAAGAAGGCTGTAAATAGTATGTCCTTATAGAAAACTACAAATTACACGTTGCGATCTGACTGCTTCAATTTTTTCAAAAAACGCCAGTTCAAATCTATGTCGCGTTCTTCACGCTCATCGATGCTTCCTATATCGGGATACAATCATTCGTTACTTAATTACTCCCTCCATGGAACTTCTCTCTTCTCTCTCCGTCTTCAAACTTGGAAAAATTTCAAAAATCAGGCCACCGCTGACTCAAGACGGCTCAGAAGAATCTGGCCCGCATCTCATAGCATATATACCCCTTATAGATTCATATAGATAGGTTACAGGTCTGATACCCAATAGCAGCAGTAATCATGGAGTTTGTAGTCAATGCTCTGGACGATTGGATACTTGACACATTCTATGCTGCTTTACCTCAACCAATAGCGCCCTTTGTTGCTTCTCGCGATGCTCCAGCCAGACAGGTGTTTACATTATGGCTCGTAGGAATGCTTGGTGGTGTCTTCCTCTACTTTCCATTCGCCGGAATGTCGTATCTCTGGATATTCGACCACAATCTAAAGAAGCATCCCAAATATCTCCCAAACCAAATCTCAAAGGAAATAATAATGACGCTACAGAATCTGCCAATCATATCTATCCTCACTGCCCCATGGTGGTTTGCAGAGTTGCGTGGATACTCGAAATTATATGACAGGATTGACGACTATGGATGGGGTTACTTGGCATTCTCGGCCTTCTTCTTTATGGCATTCACGGATATGCTTATATACATGATTCATAGGGCGGAACATCATCCTTCGGTATACTGGTGGCTACACAAACCACACCACATGTGGAAGGTCCCTACTCCATTCGCCTCGCATGCCTTCCACCCACTGGACGGATATGTCCAGTCTCTCCCATACCATATATTCATCTTTTTATTCCCGCTGCACAGCATGCTGTATCTGGGTCTCTTTGTCTTTGTGAACTTTTGGACTATCTCGATTCATGATGGGTATGTACAACATTGGATCGTAGTTATCGTGGATGCTGCTTCTTGGACAGTAGTCAACCTGACGTCCATTCCTTGTCTGTTTGAACTACAAACATTCGCCGACTCACATCATCAATACACATAGCGCACACTTATACGGCGGAGGAATACTCAATGGTGCAGCACATCATACCATTCATCACTTAGAGTTCAATTTTAACTTCGGCCAGTACTTTACCCTGTGGGATCGTCTCGGTGGCTCGTACAGATATCCCGTCGAGGAATACAAGTCCAACATGGTCTGGCATAGACAGCAAAGAGCTATAGAGTTGGAACGAATGTCTAAAAAGAACCAAAAGAATGCTATAAATGATGATGTCAATGTCAAATCGAATGGTCATTCGAATAAGCATGCGAATGGTAACGGTCATGTGAATGGGACTAGTACTCCACTCAGGAGATCGCGTCGTCATGAATAAAAACATCAAATATACACATTTCTTGGCTTGTCTGCTGCATGCTGGCTGACAATAATATATATCTTCTCTCCTGCTTACAATACAAATTTTAAACATCTAATGCAAATTGTGCTGATGGTGTTTTTACAAGCTCGTGTCATAGATATAGCATATGCTTTATGAGCCTATTTCTGCTCACCTTCCTCTCCTTCCATATCTTCATCGATATCTGCCCACCAATCCAGGACTCCGAGTCCATCCCCGTCTGCTGCTGCCCAAATAACTAACGGTGCTTGTTCGGCAGTAGATTTACCATCAGGTAGTGTAGCGGCAGCAGAATTAGGAGTGGCGGAAGTAGCACCAGTAGCGGCAGCAGCAGCGATAACTTTTTGTTTGGCCTTGACTTCTCGAACAGGCCCGACATCGTAAAAGATGAGTTGTTCGATACAGAATCGGACAGGAGAATCGGTGCTCATTGGCAAGTCTTCATCGTTGAATCGCCAGACCCAACAGCCTTCTTGTCTGTCACTATAAAGATTTGGTATTTTAATGGGGATTGGATTGTGGAGAGCCGTTGGCTTTGACTTACAAGTGAGAGTCTGCTTTGAGATAGACTGGTGGAATTGAAATATCGTCAAAGAATGACATTGACACTGTGTTGTTGAATAGTTGTTAGTGCTGAGCTCGAAAATCAAGAGCAAGCTCCTTTCTATGCACCAACCTTTTACTCCGGTTTTTGGATGAGCAGATACGATCTTTCCAGTCAAGACTTCACCTCGCCAAGGCCTGAATACCACAACACGAAACCTCACTAAGATATGGAAGTGCGTGTGTTAGTTCTTTTGCGAGACTACGCAGCAAAACCACTGGACAAGCAGAAGACTTGAATGCAATTTCAGTGAACCTCTGCATTGATAGGAGCCTTCCTTCATGACATGTACAGTGCCATCAGATAGTTCGAGCAAGTCAAAGACACGAATACATAAGCCTATATTGTGTAAGATCTATAGCAAAGAGGGAGTCACCAAACAAATTGCAAGAGATAAAGCATTGGCTGATAGATATGATTGGCACTTTATATAGCTCATAGCTCAGCTTACCTTGTTCGCATACTTTTTGTTGAGCTCGTCTATAACAGCATCACTTTTTGGCTTTCTAAAGGCCGCAGCAGGTACACGGACATTGTCTGCGATGCGAGATAGTATAAACATATCTGGGATCTACTACTGAAGGAGCAGTCTGCGTCCTGTAAGAGCAGGTACGTGCAAAGAGCTCTTTGTCAAGGCTTTGTAAAGGTTACGTAAGCCATACGTAAGGTGAAGACATCCTTGAGACATCCAATTTAATTGCATCAATCCATCAACATGGTGAGTTAAGACCGAAACGAGGCGATGTGGATGCATTTTTTAATTGTGGACAATGACGGGGATATGATTGGATTATGGCCTACTTCATGTAAACCAAAGCTCTTGGAGAATTGTTGGATTGTGTCAAAGTTAGCAGTCAGTACCAAGGAAGGCACATATGAGGGAGGAAGAAAGCGCGGATCTGCCTATATTTCATCCTGCTAGAAAGATCTTCATATCTCCCGTCCTAGTCAAACGACTCGCATCATCGACATCACATTTTGATCATTTCGCACAACCTCCTTATGACACATGTCACTAACAAATCCTTATTCAACCTAGGCCGACGCTGTCACTGTCCGAACTCGAAAGTTCCTCACAAATCGTCTGCTTCAACGAAAGCAAATGGTCGTAGATATCCTCCATCCAGGTCGACCAAACATATCTAGGACTGACTTGCGAGACAAGTTGGCTGGCATGTACAAGGCCGAAAAAGACGTATGATCATTCATACAATCACTGAAATCCAGTGGTTCCTGCACACAAGACTATCTGCTGACATCCTTGACTCTTTGCAGAACATTTTCGTCTTTGGTCTACGAACTGCATTCGGTGGTGGAAAGACTACCGGATTTGCCTTGATTTACGACTCAATGGATGCCGCAAAGAAGATTGAACCCAAATACAGACTCAAACGTGTATGTACTCGAGAGTTTGCCTCTACTGATAAAACCAAGGTGCTGATGGACTAAAACGAATCAATCTCTAGCACGAACCTCCAGAAAACACCAAATCTTCAAGAAAACAAGTAAAGGAACGAAAGAACAGAGCCAAGAAGTTCCGTGGTATCAAGAAGGCCAAGGTGAGCTTATTCCCACTTGTTCTAGGTTGTTTGTCAGTGCGACGTAACGAGGATGTTGTATCGATGGAGGACTTGTAAACAGTCATGTAATTTGCATGCAGATTTTGTCTTTATGCTTGTGGAAACACTGGCTTGGTTGGCACATTTTCAGCAAATTGATGGGACAATAACAAGCTCATGCGATTGACCAAAACCTCTAACTCAATTGTTATATTTTTTAGGCAGCACAACCAACCAAGAAGTAAAATCCTATATTGTAAATTCCCAAAATACACGTTTTGCTCGTCACCAAAAACCTTTGACGTGGTTCCCAAAAATCAACAAAAGTCAACATGGGCTTTTTCTGATTTTGAAAATTTCCTATGAACACAATGGTGTCTGGGTGGTCTTTTCATAATTGCTTTGCTGTGTGGGAGACCACTTCGGAGATTTTTTTTTGGAACCCCACTCCTTTCCTGTACTTTCGTGCGTGATTGGTCTATCGACCTTTCCGGAAACATCCAAGTCACCAGTTGAGTATATTCTACACAATTTTAAACGAGTCCTCGATATATCTGTCTTGTTTTGAATCCGTGTTTGCTGTCGACGTCAGGAGAAAGTACTTTATACAGGCACGCCACATCTGGTCATCGTCTCGTGTTTTCTACACTGCTGAATTTTCCACCATCATGTCGAATCAAGAAGTCGCCATTGCTGTGTCGGACGCGGACGTCAATCGCGATCATGGTGGCGATGTCACCGGAACGCTGGAGTCAGTAGCACCCGATACACCACATGCTGGCGGAAGAATGGGTCTCTTTGCAAGACGCTCCACTGGCCCAGTTCAACCTCCCCCGGGCATCAATGTCACTGGATCATCCGCCAGTTTGGGAAGCAAGGTCAACTTTATGACAGATTCCACTGATGTTATCAAGACTCGTCCCGTAAGTTCCTCCCCCGTGTCTTTGGATTGACATTCTAGGCAGCACGTTGAAAACGATGTCTGGCGTGTTTCCATACACAGCTCAACCACTGTTTTTAACACACTACCATTTAACATAAGGACAACTCGATACTCAAAGTCAATCACAACCCATCATCTAATTGGACTAGTCAACGGAATCCATTGCTACAAGCTGCCAATACAAATAACAATAGCATGTCCCGAGACGGTTCACTACAAGCTTCAAACGGCCCCTCTCATCGGAGATCCAGTCTCACGGGCCTAGGAAATAAGATTTCAGTCATGGCAAGTCGAACACTATGGGCCAACGGTCCCGTCGATGATGACGAGAAGGACGATGACAGATATCCTGCAGAGAAACGGCAACAACAAAACGGCTCGAGAGGAAAACTTGCTGCAATGAGCAATACACATACTCCAAACCCAAAGATTATGGCTACCAGCAATATGAACGACAGGGAGGAGGACGATATGGATCAAGCAGAAGAACTCGCCAAATTCAAACAAATCAACTTGCAACAACGTGCACCGTCAACAAGTTCTTCTGCTGGATCGTTTAACGCCCAATACCCGAATGCTCGTGAATTATCAGAGACGCTGCTGATGAAGATTCAGGAAATGAAGTGGAGTCTGGCTGCTTTGGCCGCTAATTGTTTCTTGCTTTGGTTGGTGTCAAGTCTGCAGAATGGATTGCAAGTGCCGTTGGATGTATCCACTATTGGAACCGTAGCTAGTGTTGTCTGTGAAGTTGTATTGCTTATCGCAAACGTGCTTACTCTTATGGCCTTGAATGATGGTGCTTCCGCTTACTTTGGTACTGCTATTGACTTGTTGGTGTAATCAATCGGAGTCACTTGGTCTTACATTATATCCAAACAGGTTACTTGCTGGTTTCAAAACGCGGATTTTCATATGTAATTTGCGGATTTGCTCAAGCTCCACCATTCAGAAAATGGGGGTTTGCAAACCAACTGTCGCTCAATTCTTCATGTCGAGGTCTTTTGGCTAGAATCTCCTTACTATGGATGTTGGCTGAGATGCTCAAGTTAATGACTCCCATTAGTGCTACATCCTTGTAAGTACACTTTGTCAGGACACTTCAACACCATCACATCACAAATGACGGCAAAAGCCCAAAAACCTGGCATACTCAAATAATGTCTCCACCAAAACAGGTGGGGAGTGTCTCAACGAGTCGATCAAGGAAATATTGATTGCATTCTGTTTAAAGAACAAAATAATCCCGTGGATCGACTTTTCCCTACTGTAGACAGTGAAGCTGGCTTTGCCGAAAGTAGTTTCGGTTCAGCATTGGGCTACGTGCGATCTGAAGTCACCACACTAAACGTTACTACCTTCGTGATGGCACCACAAATTATTGGAGCTGTCAATGACGGCGATACGATTGTAGGTAGTGGATATACCACTGATATTTCAACATCTTGTACTTGTTCTCCGTCAATCAGTGCTGCCGGATTCCAAGCTGCTGGTGTTCCCTCTGCTGATGCTGCTACAGTATACGCTGATTATATGGCCATTACATCTTCTATGGGTCTCGCATCCGTTGTTAATTACAATGCCACTGCAGTCGTTATTCATAGTGCCCTTCTTGGAAGTGGGTTATGCGGTGAGTGATAATATTTGAAAACTCTGCTTGCCAATAGCGCATTTCCTAAGCCATCGCCGTATTTTTTTAGGTGGAATCAATCAAACCCAATTTACATTAATCTGTGAAACCACAATGAGCAACCATTCTGCTAGCACTATTCGAGTCTCTTACATGACTGACGGTGAGGACAAAAAAAGTTCGTTATCATTAGACAAATACTCATTGGTTTTTTATCTAGGCACCACGGCATCAGTTGCTCAAAGAAATGTTGACGTTTTAAGTATCGACTCAACAGCCAACATGACATGGGTGCAGACTGCCATGTATGCTATAATGGGTGGCAAATACTCGTCCATCAATCTCCTCCAAACGGTAAGCCAAGACGGAATAGTGTTTCAGTCTCGGCATTATTCTGACGAAACAACAAAATAGGTGCCTGGGACTCTAAACACATTAATGTGGTGGTAAGTGATCAGGAAGAAAATCATAGTTTGTATGATGAAAAGAGGCATTCAATTTTTTTCATGTGTTGTAGGACGTCCACTGATTTAGTCGCCATCAATCCCAATTACGTCGAAGCCGGTCTTGAAACTACCTTTTCATTACTGCTTCGTGCGGGGACTCAACGGACGTACACCACGCATGGCTCTTCTTGTATCCGAAACATACAAGTTGGCGGACAATCAATATTGCTGATGAAGAGCTACGGAGTCATTTCCACGGTCATATCGCTTTCGTTGCAACTTGTCTTCACCGTGATATCCATTCTCTGCTTCTTCCCTTGGCTATTTTCTTCCACACCTATTGGCCCCGGCGTGAGACTTGTGAAGGAAACTATCTACTCTAGTACTATGTGAGTTCCATTTGCACTGAAGGTTTTGAAACTGAAAAAGCAACATACTGACTCTTTTCGTCGTCACAGGTTGATGAACTCACCACTTGGAGAAGGATTACAGCAGTGCTCTAACGCTCAAAGTCATTCTATATGGCAAGCTTTGGACAAGACGTGTCGTATCGGAGAGGCGGTTACCACACTGGAAGAATTGGTTGGAAGATTGACATTGGTAAGAAATCACGTTTTGTCAGGAGTATTGAAGTTTCACGTTTATTCAACCAAACGTATTCTATTAAGGACAAGCCAAAGCTCGTGAGGGCGTTAACGAACGCTAAGTTATACCATTGATCCATTTCATCAAGTCAATGCAACACGTGGCAAGTAGTTGATCAGGTTATCATGACATCATTGTTATAAACTTTACAGGGAATAAAAAAAGGAAGGAGTTGACTCGTAAGTACCATTAAGCGTCGGTACACGTTGACAATAGCAAATGTCGTTGTAAATTGTAAAGAGTTGAAACAACATTGTAGTATATCAGGAAAGACAATTTTGCGGCGAGGCGATAGCAAGCTCGACTTTTAGTGTTATTTTGGATGATTCTTCGTAGTTGTAAAAGTAGGGCATCACCTGGCCGAATAGTCGTGAAGCTAGCTTTCAAAGTGACTGCTGGACTATCAAGACCAGTTTCATCATCCATCATCAACTCGAAAACGACCAGAAAGCCTACTAAAAAATCATCAAAATTAAATGCTCGTACCACAAAGCTGTCTCTCCAGCTTGGGGTAACCAACATCAACCATTTGCCAGCTTTGAATTTAGCTGACGTGTCAACACGTCAAGATGAAGCCAATACCATCATATCTAGCACGAACGTAAGTATAGAAACCGGCACTGATGAAGCTTCTAAGCTCCAAAGTCAAACGAAACTGGTTAGACAACAACTGGCAAAAGCTCAAGCTCTACATCCAAATGGTGTTGTGTTGCTTCAAGTTGGATCATTCTTTGAGATTGGAGATACGCCTGGATATCAACCGTACGTAGAAGAAGTCGCTCAAATTCTCAATTTGAGGATTGGACATAGAAGTCGACCTGTAAATAGTACTGAGGACAATCGAATTGTGGGGTTTCCGACCTCCAATTTACGGCGTTCAGTAGATATTTTGCTAGATCATGGAAAGACGGTTGTTATAGTCGAGCAGCGTGGACGGCATTCGACGAAAGCTCACTTCTTGAGGGAAGTGGCAAGAGTTGTTACGCCAGGAACGCCGTTAGAAGACTGGCAGGAATCTAAAGAGAATCATTTTCTCTTGTCGTGTCAGATACAAGATAATGTAGTAGGACTAGCGTGGGTAGATGTATCGACTGGAGAATTCTTCTTGGGTCGGTGTAAACTGTCTGAACTCGAGTCTGTAACTAGTCGCATCACTCCACGTGAAGTCTTGTTTGCCGAGAGCTCTAGATCCACCGACGCAATATCGTATATCAATGACTTGTCTAGTAGAACAGGTCTCGCTGTATCGTTTGTAGAAGATTCATTCTTTGATGCCAAACAAGGAAGTAAACGGTTGACTTCACTACTAGTCAAGGCTGATCCAACGAAATCTTTAGCTAAGCGTGCCAAACTCCCGACTACTGATGCCATACTACGGAAATATCATGATTCTCAAATTTCTGCCGCTGGTGCTTTACTGGGTTACGTGATTCGAAATTATGCAGGGGCAGAGCTTGTCTTTCAAACGCCGCTATCAATGGACGATGAAAACTGTATGGCTTTGGATGGATCTACCTTGCAGGCTTTAGAAGTCACCTCAACTTTACGAGAACGGAAACGAGTTGGAAGTCTTTTGCATGTATTAGATGAGACAGTGACAGCTGCTGGTGGACGGTTACTCACATCTAGGCTTCGTAAGTTTGACGTGAATCGCGCAAATATTACTGTTTACAAACCATAGTCTAACTTTGTTATAATAGGCAGTCCATCCACCTCTGAAGCAGAAATCAATCGTCGACTAGACCTAGTCGATTATTTTGCCAAAGACACACACTTGTGCGATGAGATACGATCATTATTACGAAACTGTAAAGATGTAGAGCGGGGCATTCAGCGTTTGCACGTTGATGCTACTTCACCGCAAGACTTTTCGAATGTTATACGGACATTAGCACAAATAGGCCAAGTCAAGGATATTCTGACTCGAAATATCGCTCCTCCCGCATTAAGTCACATCATCAGCAATATGGGTAGTTTTGAGCCACTTATAGAACAATACGATGGAATATTTGAGGAAGGCAAGCACGATGAAACAAGTATCTCGGAGGGCGGAATAGTGTCCCTTTCCTTCTCTCCAGATATCGCATCGTTGGATTTAAAGACGAAACAACTGCAAGACGAAAGACATGCTTTAGCTATTGAACTCTTGTCTCAGTATTCAATCAAACATGTAAAGAGCAATAGCAGCAAGGAAGCTGCAGCCTCTGTAATAGATTCAGAGATATTGAAGGTTGATCCAAGAGAAGGTCCTATAATAGATGTGTCTCGAACTCGCAGTGTGCCACCGAATGAGGTGGATGTGAATAGTGATGTTGATTGTAAACGAGTGTCGAGTATGGGTGGTATTGTCATGCGTCGATTGATGACTGCAAAAAGACTGAGATTTACTCACCCGGTAAGCTCTTTTTGGAATCTAGAACATTGTACAGGACAAAAAATATCTGGAATGTCGACGTCTTATCCTTTTTCACCATAGGCATGGACCGATTTGTACTCGAGGATTGGAGAGCTGGAGGCAAGAAGGATCGAAATTGAGCGGTCAATATTAAGAGATGCATGTGAAGAACTCAAGGGCTATACTCTTGCCATTGGAAGTGCTTCAAAAGCTATGGCTGAAGTTGATGTTTCAGTTGCATTGGGTATCTTAGCGCGTGAGAAACAATATGTGAGGCCTACTCTGGTGAATGAGTAAGTCCAGCTGTCATTTCGCGGAGGTCACGAACATATATTGGTGAGACAACTCCATTTCTTAAATTAGGGCCGTTCACGATGTCCAAGGTCAGTCAGGGTTGTATGTTTGCAGTAGCTGCCAAATTATCTGACGCTTTGCCTTAAAGGAGGTCGACATCCTGTAGTTGAGGTGGCTCAGCGTGAACGTGGAATTCAGGTCTGTACAATTCAGAACAGCATTTGACGGTGCGAACTGAGGTTTTCTTGTCTCACTCATTTTTAGTTTGTCAAGAATGACTGCTTCATTGGGAAAGAGTCCAGAATGTGGCTTCTGACTGGGGTAACGTACAGCACCAATTCACAAGCAATCATTCAGTATTGCTTTAACCTTTTTTTCTCTTTAGCCAAATATGGGCGGAAAGAGCACCTTTCTTCGACAATGGTAATATATTGAATGTTTTTGTCAAGTGTTTTGGCAAATCACTGAGCCAATTGCAAGTAGTGCGCTCATGTCCATAATGGCTCAAGCCGGAAGCTTTGTAGCAGCAGATTCTGCCCGTTTGGGTATAGTCGATGCTATCTTTTCAAGAGTGGGTGCTGCTGATGATCTTGGTAGAAATCAATCAACCTTTATGGTAGGATGTTGTTGGTGTACTAGTCGTCTACATTCAACAATCGACCGATCCGTGGTTTTGCCAGGTTGAAATGGAAGAGACTGCTACGATTCTGAAGAAAGCCACGAGCAAAAGTTATGTGATTATGGATGAAGTTGGTCGAGGAACCAGCACATTGGATGGGGTTGCTATTGCACATGCAGTTCTGGTTTATTTACGAGATCAGATACAATGTTGTGGAGTATTTGCCACACATTATCATGAGCTCGGATCCTCTGTTGGTGCTATCAACTCGAATAGTAAAGCGACGGTCGAGGGTGTCGCTAGTCATCATACTTCGATTCACGTTGACGAGGTAAAGCTTGTTGGAAGTAGAATGGAGTTTTGTCAAAGCAGCCTACGTTTCGCTTGAGACACTCGTTGAGATTAGAAGCATTTTCACATTTTTTTTTACCACACTCTTGAAGGATGGCCGGTATACCTATATATACAAGATAATGCCGGGGGTTATGAGCACATCTCATGGTATTGAAGTGGCTCGATTGGCAGGTAAGCACTTGGATGCGACCGTTTAGGCTTGGCTTGACATCAACATTCAATGTACCTAGGTTTGCCAGATCAAGTCCTTGACAAAGCCCAACAAGTAAGAGCAGAATTGGCATCATCCGCTGTATTTATGTAGAAAATTACATTTGTAGACTGTACATTGCCAAAACAAGAAAATTGCATTTCATGTGATCTTATAGCTGTTTTGAATTTGTCGCGTTTTTTTAGTTGTACATAGCGTGATCAGGCTTCTAAGATATCGCCAAAATTATTTGCGCTGTTGGATTCGAAAAATTTCCGACCTCGGGCTTCTTCAAACTCCTTCTTGACCGACTGAATTCTGTCAAGTTAAAAACGAATACGCAGGGCAAGGCAGAGCATTTGAAACCACTTTGGTAAGTGCAAGGAGAGAAGATGGACACTCATGCGCGACGGATTTCCATCGAAAACAAATCAATCTACTCTGCTTAACTCACACATCTCTCATCCACTTTGAATGTGTGATCTCACATTATTTCACGTCGTCAACCACTAGACAACAAGTACGAAGAATGAGAGAATACAAGCTGGTCGTGTTAGGTTCTGGAGGTGTCGGTAAATCTGCCTTGGTAGGTATCCACACTTAGATTTACTCTTGATAAAAAGTCGAGAATCGCGCCCATTCAAAGGCAATTGGGGGAGCGCGATCTGTTGACGACACAGGTGATGGGCATGTCTGTAGAGGATACCAGTCAATGAATTTATATTGAAATATGCAGACGGTGGTCTTATTCAGCTTGCATCTATCAGAGATCAAGTTTGGCAGTTGGGATATGAAACCATTGGGTGGTGTTTGTGAATAGCTCAGCAGGGCTCGCGAGACACTTGGATTTACTCAATTGCTACTCATATCAGCACAATCACACCTTTCCTAATCATCTGATCGCTCTATTAGACTGTCCAATTCGTACAATCCATCTTTGTCGAAAAGTATGACCCAACTATTGAAGACTCGTACCGTAAACAAGTTGAAGTTGATGGACAACAGTGCATGCTCGAAATCCTGGATACTGCCGGAACAGGTATATGGCTATATCATACATTTTTTGGTCATCAACTTTTGCTGATGATGTGTCCCATTTTCCTGACATTTAGAACAATTCACTGCTATGCGAGACTTGTACATGAAGAATGGTCAAGGCTTCATCCTTGTATACAGCATCACTTCTCAAGCCACATTCAACGATCTGGTCGAACTACGAGAGCAGATTTTACGTGTCAAGGATACCGACAAGGTACACAACACTACTTAAATCTATGAAATCAGAAGAAACTATATAGCATCGCTGACATTGACAAAAACAACATTTGATTGCAATTTAAATAACGATATCATGATGCAAAATAGGTCCCTATGGTGTTGGTTGGCAACAAGTGTGATTTGGAAGATGATCGTGTTGTGACCAAAGATCAAGGTCATGGATTGGCTGGTCAATGGGGTGGCTGCACATTCCTCGAAACCAGTGCCCGGAAAAAGGTCAATGTCGATGAAGTCTTCTTTGACCTCGTCAGACAAATCAACCGAAGCATGCCTGAAAAGGTAAGAATGCAAACAACAAAAACAACAATCAATACTACAACGTTGTTGAACATATTGATCCCTGTGACAATCACTGAAATGCTTGAAACGCAACTGACAATATTTTTTGCAAACTAGGACAAGGGCAAGAAGGAGAGGAAGGGAAAGTGCAACATCCTTTAATCGTATCGAATAGTCATCGCAAAACCACATTACCGAAAACCTCTTCAAACCTCTTCAACAAACAACACCAACACCCTTTTATCCACACCCTTGTTACTTGTCGTTTCTTTGTATCTTTTCTATGGCTGTTTAAAGTTTAAAAAGCTCGGTTTATTATATGGTTCCCCATCCTGTGATGTTTCTTATATATAAAAGTGATGATGATGAGGTTGGACATAAAGCAGAAAGGTCGACTTGTATAAACACTCAATAGCCAATCACCCCACTGGACCTTTTTATAGAAGCATCTTATTAACTTTTTCATATAAAAACATCACACTTAAAATCAAAATTATTTAACTTGAGAATCAATGTGTTTGTGTGTATTTGTGGAAACGTTGGTTCACTATTACTACTTTGGGGGATGTGGGGTAATGCGAAATAATATGGAAGAGTAAAGAAGCTCACATGCTCACAGTTATGACATCCAAGAGGCTTCAGGTGGAGGAGCCCATTTAGTGGTGACCTGTTTATCGAAGACAGCGTTAGGTTTTGAAATGGGTAATGAAATGTTTTTTGCAAATGGGTAATGCAATGTTTGGCAAAACTTGAAAAACAAACCTTCTTTCGATTTGTAAAGAACTCAATTCCACCTAAGCGTTCGTTATATAAAGTTCAACATCGGTCTATATCTCCATGAATTCTTGGCTTCCTTACCATCACCAGTGATGTCCATGTCTCCAAACTTACTGCGATTCCAACCACCAAAGGAGAATGGTTCTCGAGGAACACTACCACATAAAATGAAGTTCTCAATTCCAACACCATCAACAAATGCCTCCAGAAAAAGACTCACGGTACGCCAATGTTCACACCCAACATTCCGGCTGAGAAGTGAGCATTAAACCAGCTAGCCACACCTCCATTTTCGGTATAAATACATGCGGCGTTGCCATATGGATTGCCATTCTCAATTTCAATGGCTTCTTCCTTTGATTCACATTGATATATCGAGAGGACTGGACCAAACGCCTCTTCATGCAATAGACGGTCAGCCTTGCTGGAGTGAATTACTATTGTTGGTCCAACCCAGTTTCCTTCCTGTTGTGATGTACTCCAACCACGTCCATCCAGCACGATCTTTGCTCCTCCAGCTTCAGCTTCATTTATATATTTCAGGATCTTTGCTTGTGAAATCTTGTCAATGACGGGACCGAGTTTTCCATTTGTTTGGCCAGGTTGGATGGCTTTCGACTTTTCAATGATCTTGTCTAGTAGGGGTTGTGCTGGTCCCAATGTTAGTAGGACTGAGGCAGCCATGCATCGTTGACCGGTGCATCCTGTATAGCTGATGGGAACAAACCAAGGCTTAATTCGTGTCCAGAATGTTGTCGCAATCGTAACGGAGTTTACCTTGCGACGACATCCGACGAAGTCATTTCAATGTTGCAATCAGGAGCAGCAACAAGATGATTCTTTGCGCCACCGAGAGCGAGTACCTGTTGTGGAAAATATTTGTGTCATTCAATGATTTCTAAGATGTTGGATGATGAAGTGGCGTACACGTTTGTTTAAGGCACGAGCTCGCTTTGCGACGATTTCAGCGACGGGAGTTGATCCAACAAAGGTGACTCCAACCACATCTTTGTGGTCAATCAATGCTGTGACGGCTAGCGAAGCAAAAACAAAATACGTTAGGCACTGGAATGGAGACTTCCATGGAGATTCGACTTACTTTCAGCTGTTCCATGAACAACGTTGAAAACACCATCTGGCAAACCAGCTTCCTTCAAAAGCTCTGCACATCTACACATGGTGAGTGGGACCTGCAAAAAAATGTGCAGATTTCGGTTAATACAATCTGCTGTTTTCTTTGATGCTCAACTGCATACCTTTTCACTTGTCTTCAAGATAAATGTGTTGCCTGTTGCGATTGCAATAGGCATAGTCCAATGAGGCACCATCGCAGGAAAGTTGAATGGTACGATTGACACGACGACGCCCAACGGAGACCTTCTATCTTCACAAAAGACACCTCGCGAAACTTCCAAGATCTTTCCTTGCATAAGCTGAGGAAGAGATATCTATTGAGCAGGGCCCGCAGAAGGTGTTAAAATTTTATTTGGTCCGATGTATTATGGCACATTGCAATATGCTGTTGAAGCTGTTGAGCTAAAACTGTAACATGGACGACCAGCACTTGAAAAGGACAACAGTGAAAAGCATATGCAAACTCACACTGTATTCGACAGTCTCGTTGGCCTTTGAAAGTTCCTGTAAAGCTTCAAGCTTGTTCTTTCCATGCTCCAATACAATCAGATCGGCCAGCTCATCAGCGTGCTTGATGACCAGCTGGTGATAACGCATCAGAATCTGTACTCGATCTAGTATAAATCGGATTACTTTTGGTCAGCAAAGCGAGTGATGCGTCCACAGTCACTAACAAACCTTTGACAGTTCTTGCACTCCATGACACGAATGCCTTCTTTGCAGCTGATACAGCTTGATTCACATCTAAAGAAAGGAGATTGAGTTCGAATGGTTAGCTCGCGACTCCAAAATGTTCAACATAACAAAAACGATGACAATCAATGCCAGATCTTTATCACACCGTCAACGCTCGAGACAGGTACCATAGCAATAATTTTCCCCGTTGCTGGACAGGTAACTTCTTCCAAGCTGCTGGTAGACGCTGCAGCAGAGACAGGCGCACCGTCAATCCAATTTTGGACGATTTTGGGTGTGGATGAGAGTTCCTCCGCGAGACTTGGAGACATATCTAATAATGAACTTGTGTTGGCTTTCTGATATTGACTGTTTGGTTGAGATTTCTTGATGTTCTGTTGCTTCTTATTTGGTGGAGATCGATGTGTGGAGAAGTTGAAATAGCTCTTAAAGCAACCGATCATCTTCTTTCGGACGAAGCGCATTCTTTAACGCGTTTAAACTATATTCAAGATTCTTTTTTTGGATTTACTTGCGATGACCACCAATAGTCTGTTATTGAGCGTAATAATATCTCAAGCAAACGTTTTATATAGACGATCACCGGCGTCTCCAAGTCCAGGTACTAACGATAATTGATGAGATTGAGATTTTAGGACGAAAAGGGCCGAAAGAAAAGATTCAATTACCTATGTAGCCGTGATCATTCAATTCCTCATCCATCGTAGCCACAAACAAGTCGACATCAGGATGAGCATCCCTGAATGCGTTGACTCCTTGCGATGAAGCACATATACAACACAGTTTGATTCGTTTTAGTCCCCAGTCTTTGATTATGCTGACGGCTGCGATGGCTGACCCAGCTGTGGCCAACATTGGGTCCACCACTATTCCCACGTCTACATTGCATTCAGATGGTAGCTTGTTGTAGTATTCGACTGGTAATAGTGTAGTCTGTTTTGGATAAGTAACGGTAGGGGTCACAACATTGAACAAGCAGTTGATTGTCGCACCTTTTCACGATAGAGACCCAGATGGTGTACTCTGGCCGCGGGCATCATTGTTTGGAATCCTTCAACCATACCAAGACCAGCTCTGAGGATTGGGAATATGGCAATCTTATCTGCCAGCTTTACACCTTGAAAGGGACCGACAGGAGACTCAAGCTAACAGAGAGTTGTACTTTAAGTCAGTTTAAAGTAACAGACGATGGCTTACAATGAATTCAACGAAACAGAACTAGTCATGTCTGACACAAATTCACTGTGTGATGATGATGGCGCAAAGGACAATACACAGGCGGTGCAGGTGCAAGTAAGAGCACATACCATTTTAGTTTGCATCAAATCCAGGCCAGCGGTGCATTCATAAGCCAACATGAGCGAAATCTCGAAAACAATCTCACGAAACTGCTTTGGTTTGACTCTTCTGTCTCGAAGCAATGATATTTTGGCAGCACATAAAGGGTGGTTGACCACTTTGAATACCGTGGTTGATACAACTTCAGTCTTTGATGCCATATCTCTTACTCTAACACCCTGTTTGAAATGTGCTGTTTGTTGCAAGTGTCGGCAAGAGCGCATGTGCAAGAGGCACCGAGCGATAAAACGAATGAATATCAGATCTTGAACAATAACGCGTGACGACACGTACAATCGCCTTCGTCTTCGGTATTCCCCCCACTTCGCCCCATCGATTCGTTTTGTTGGAAATTCTCAACTCACAAAATACGCCAACAGCAGACAAGACAGACAACGGCCAACAACGTCCTTGTAAAAAATACTCGTCAAATATGAGTTCACTAGGGTCAGCATTGGAGCAGATATTGGGTGCGATTGCTGATGTGAAGAAGGACCAGACTGCATTACTCACAAAGGTGTGATTTGCTCTGTTATAGACTCGATGTGGTTACTGACAACTTGTCACGTTAGGTGGAGCACTATCAAAGAGAGAATCGGGACGAATTCAGAAGACTCTCCTCATCCACTACTCCACAACCAAACGCTTCTCCAAAACAAAAGGTGCTTTCAAATGGTGAGTCTTATGATTTCAACACCCCATCATAAAGGTCAAAGGGAAGACCAAGACTTGTTGATTTATGAAGAAAATAACCACATTCTTGTTGTTGGAAATCCTACCATCACCGCCCTACCCAAAATGTCGGTTCCAAACTTCAGGACCATGCTGACAACTTGCATTCATTAGAGAAATACGTCGACAGTGATGGAGAAGACGATACAGAGTCTGTCGTATCGCTGACATCTAGGCCACCGCCTGCATCTGGAAGTCCCTCTTCAAAAGGTTCTGGTCTGCCGCCTTTATACAACCACAGGTAACCAATCTATTGCTGACACTCCTCCAATCGTACAATGACTGTCTACAGTAACTAACTTTTCCCTCTGCTTTTGCCGTTGTTGATATAGAGGTGTGTGATTTGTTGATCTTCCACAAGAAATGACTTTTTTTGTTTGTTTCTGGTACAAGATCGACGAAACAAACAGTCTAACGGCTTACTTTGTTTCTCTCTCGAAAGTGATTTTAACCACGTATCCGGGTCAGGCGGGCATAAGTCCAGTACCTTTAAGTTGGGGTGCCTCTGATCCAAAGATTCGAGGTCCAATAGTAGCCTCTCGCTATCCAGGTTCCATCAAATACAGGAATGCTGTTGGAGCACATGGTGGATCGTATTCTATATACAGAGCACTAGCCATCGCCATACGTGAACTCGAACCAACACACAAACCAAATCTAACAAATACAGAACCTGTTACACGTATTGGGCCACACAAGACATGGCTTGATCCAACAAAGATTGTATCTTTAGATCCATGGGGACATGTAGTTAGTCAAGTATTTGCCAAACAACTTGCTGATGGACTGGACATTCGACCTACCATTGCCATCACAAAAGCACATATGAAGATGCTAGAACTAGAAGCTAGCGTGAAATCAGGATCGCTCAAAGTGGATGGTGACATAGTAGTCAATGAGCAAGGAGAGCTGAATGTCATCAAAGGTGCTGTCGATCCTGTATGGTACCTTCCAGGAGTTGCTGCTCGATTTGGAGTAGATGAAACCACCCTCAGACGAGCCTTGTTTGAAGATACAGGTGGAATGTATCCAGAACTCATTACCAGACCAGATCTCAAAGTATTCTTGCCGCCCATTGGAAACTTGAGTATATACATCTTTGGAAATCCCGAATTCTTGTCAAATCCAGATAAGGAATTGACTGTACGAGTGCACGATGAATGTAACGGGTCTGATGTATTTGGATCAGATATTTGCACTTGTCGTCCATACTTGATTTATGGAATTGAGGAAGCAGTCAAGGCTGCTCAACGTGGTGGTGTAGGATTGATTGTCTACTTTAGAAAAGAAGGTAGAGCATTAGGTGAAGTGACCAAATATCTAGTATATAATGCCAGAAAACGAGCAGAAGGTGGTGATACAGCCCAAAACTACTTTTTGAGAACCGAAAACATTGCAGGAGTCAAGGACATGCGATTCCAAGCCCTCATGCCTGATGTACTTCATTGGTTGGGAATCACCAAGATTGACAATATGATTTCAATGTCCAATATGGTAGGCAGCTGAAGAAGAGCTTGAAGATTTTTGAAGTTCAAGATTCAGGCTCAGAGCACTCAGTTTTTTTAACAATAGAAATATGATGCCATTGTACAATCTGGAATCAAGATATTGAAGAGATATGAGATTCCTGCAGGCATGTTACCACCAGACTCTCAAGTAGAGATTGACGCGAAAATAGCCAGTGGATACTTTAGTCTGAATCAGACTCCCATCAATCTCGCTGACACAAAAGGAAGGAGTTGGTATGTTCAAACGCTCTGTGTGCACAAAGTGTTGGGTGTCGATTGTTTTGATCCAATTTGGATGATGCTTGGCAACACACTCACGTTTTCGTCATCTAGGGACGATTTGGAACATTAAAAAATCTGTCCTTTGTCTCTTCGTTTATTATCGTAGACTTTGCTCAATCAACAATATCAATATAGTAATCAAATACGAATGCTGTTCTACCTCACGCTTTATGGAAATGTTGGACTCGGATGAACGTGAACATAATTATTGCGACCAAAGCCGCGTAAAAACACGTTAAAAGCTCCTGTTCAGTGCACCAGGTGTCTGCGAAACGGTTGGCTCGTTGTCTTGTTTCGTATCACGACAGAAATTACTCACAACCGTCATTTCCGAAGGAGACGGACTAATACCTAACCAGCCCAAGTGTTATATTCCAGAGATCCTATTCGCTATGGTTCTGGAATCGGTTTTCAAGTCGCTGGCAGAGGGGAAAGGCACCAAGTAAGTGTGCTTGTGAATGTTGAGTCGATGGGTTTTTTGGGAGCGGAGGATTACAACTATGCATGAGGAATTATCTATTATTGAGGAAGGTATTCAAGTTGAGCTCTCGCTGTGCGCTTGAAGCTCATTGCTCGCGTCAGTGCAGGGCTCCTTGAAAACTTTGAAAACATGAAAATCTAAATATCAACTACGGCTTGATATGACGCTTACTGGCAACCGATCATTCAACTCGATCCCTTTTATAATGTAATACTGATATCAACATCAATTTCCAGGATCATGGACTGGTCTTTCAAGAATCAGGCAGTCTTGTTTGCTCCTGAAAATGCATTCTCGAGGAAACGGAAACGCGGAAAAGACACTACTCCACAGTCCGATTCGTACATATCTTAAGCTTTTCATTCACATTAACATTAGATTCTCACCATTTTGCAACTTTTAGAGAGTCAAAAATCATCATCTTTCAACCAAAGACTGCGGCCACGAATTTCACTCCTCAACACGTGTCAACGCTCAATACGACAACGTATCATGGAAGTCTAGATCCTGATCAAGCGTTCTGGGATGAACGTGGTAAAAATGTCGCTACCCTGGACTCATCGGGCAAATTCGTGTTATGGGGTGCTCCGCAGTACTCGAATGTTTGGCGTGCTTTAGGTGCAGTAGATGCTGGTAGCAGAGTCATGAAATTCAAATGGTTGCGATATGAAGAAGATTATATATCAACGTCACAATCGTTGGCCAGACCTGTGGTACGAAATAGTACCACTAGCAAGAACAAAAATAATGTAGAACCAATTGATTTGACATCGGATGATGATGGATCTGGTGCTAATGGTAAACATGGTCAGCCAAACCAAGAACCATTCTTTGTAAAAGGTCCGCTCATGGGCCCGAGAGGACCTGCAGCACCTAGCAAACCGGGCAGACTAGATGGATTTGTAGTGGTAACCGAAGACGGTAAAATAATACTGTATTTCCAAGATGCCTCGAATGTAGTTAGGTTTATAACAGCCACCATACCTGGTATGGAGAAACCACCCAACAAACCTTCGGCATCAGATCATGACAACCTGCCAACACCTGATAAATTGACACATGTGGATATATACTTGGCAGAATCTGATCACATGTTTTTGGCCATATATGGGCCGGGGACTAGTGAGAGATGTATATGGACGTATGATGTTGAAGTTGATATACGGACGGAGAGTATGATAATTCATCCTTCCGCTGTTATATCCGTGGCGTCGCCATTCATGAGTGATGGTAGTAGTGCAACCTCGGAACTAGCTACAGAGCTACCAGCATCGTCATCGTCGTCTGTCTTGTCACTACATGTCCTCAATCCAAAAACCGTGATTGCTACATTTGGTAGACTGGCGTCAGCATCTAGTAGCAGTAGTTACGATAGTGCAATGAACGCTGCTTCTGTTGATACGAAACCCGATGATAATGTAGCAACAACAGGTCAAGGTGCTGTTTGTGTTTGGGAACTAGTAGAAACCGATGCACCTCCTGGTGATGATGGAGGTATTTTTGGTCAAGATCGAGATGCGAAAATTATAACATGGGTACTAGTAGCTTCCCATGGAACTTTAAGCAGCTTTCCAACTGCTTTGACAACCATCCAGCCGTGGTATGCACCACCTGGAATCGAAATCAGTGCAGTCCTGGCCATTGGATATTCTGATGGTGCTTTAGAATTACTAGATTCAAAAACGCTCAAGAAGGCGTCGTTACTCGAATTTAGATTCGGACCACTAAAAAGTGAAGCGGATATGCCTCCTCCACCGCCTCGTAAACCAGCAACAGTAAAATGTGAAAGTGTCATACCAAACGGCCGATCTGTAGGATCTACTAGTAGTGTCGCTACTCTAGTTGACGCATTAAGAAGACCATCAGTTGTGATTCGTGAAGATCAATTCATGAACGATATGATGGACTGGTCGTCTGCAGAAGAAGTCAAGGCAGAGCAGCAACAGGACGTGGATGAAATATTTCAAAATCTGATGGAGTCTCCTGAAGCTGATGCTATCGCTGATGCCAAAGATATCGTCTCTAGTCTTGCCACCACCGTATTTAATGAACCTAGTCCTGCTCATACTGTGACTATTGATAGAGAACCATCCATAGCAGTACCACCAGTCAAGACTCCATGTCGAGTTGTGAATGCTGATATTATATTGGCCTTGTCTACTTCTCCTAATGGCGTCAATGTCATGGCTGTCCGACAGGATGCTTTATCACGGAAAATCAAGGTGGATATGGTTCCAATGGTGACGAGAGATGCTCCTGCAGCTCGAGGTAACGTACAAGGTGGTTCCCTGATTTCTTTGCTCCTGCTTACGAAGTTCGCCAACTTTGATTAGCTCATCCAGAAAAAGTCGTTAATGAATTGACTCGACAAGTCACTCTATCCATCCTCAACAACAAGGACGGGCAAGACTTGATTGATTTGATCCACGTCTTGTCTAAACGGCTGCCACTGTACGATCTACCAGAACTGGTTTTGGAACGTGTCTATTCCGTTATTGGAGGCGTATTGAGGCCCTTATCACCACATATCGCTAGTATCTTTCCGCATAATCCTGAATCATCAGAGATGAATGTGGAAAATCGTGTGATTGGATTTCAGTTATCGCTCTATCGGTAAGATATTAAGTGAGCATATGTTCGTTGTTTTTAGCCAGCCCCCTCTGATATTCTTGAAAATGCTCGTTGTAACTTTTTTCAGGTCTATTCCAACTCGTCAATGTCAATACTCGAATGCATTTGTAATGATTTCACTACATCATATTCTACGAACCTTCTTCCAATGCTGTAATGATACTTGGGATTCTAGGAACTCCTTGCTCAAGCTAGTCAAGGAGAGAACGTGTATCGATACTCAGAACATACCCATCACTATGCGGAAAGGTACGGCAAATCTTGGGAACTCCCAGCAAGGTTTTTTTGCTCAGTTCTGTTTCATCAAGTATACCCACTAACCACTCAAAACATTAGATTCATTACACTATTTTCTGCCTCTTGCTCGATGGGGTGTAGAATTGGTCTGTGTCCTCCTCCGAGAATTCTATATGACCGTCCATATTCGGAGACGTAAAAAGGAAGTGTTTCAAACTCCGGGCGTGTCTCAAACTCCGGGCGCAGCCGCTACTCCTACTCTTAATCCTGGAGTTCTATCGCCACAATCTGCTAGTGATGAAGCCAGGAGGCCTTGGAAGGGTGGTAAGTTGGGTTCTGTGTCGTGGTTCCCAAGATGAAATAATGCAATTCTCCCATCTCTTTTTTCTCCCTCACTCTCTAAGACTTTGAAAACCAAGACTTATTGACATCTCGACCAACAAAGCTGGCTTTATTATTCCATACTCCTACCAGGCGGCTCATCAAGGCTATCTTGTTTGCTGCGAGAATCTTCAAGTAAGTTTAGTTCAAAAAGCAAGGACTTTGAGCACTTTTCTCAATGAATGCTTCAATGCAGGATGCAATTGGGATTCAATATTGCCACCGTCAAGAATCAGTATCAGAGTGCTCATGCAAGCGCTCCCACTGCTCAACGGCAAAAGATACTTGAACAATTGAGAAACGACGCTAATTATTTGCAGCGTGCTGACCTCATATTCAGTCGTCCTCGTCTTAAACTGGAGGTGGCTCTATCTCTACTCTTTGATATTGACGATATTATAAGTCGGCCACGAGATATAGCCACCAGTAATTCCCTGAACCCACTCGATGTCTTGCCACCCGATACGAATTTAAGTGAAGCAGAAAGACGAGCAGCCTATGATTCCATGCTTATTCGATCTATAGTACCACCATCGTATGCCACGACTCTTCCGCTAGTTCGCCAAAAGTACGATGGACACTTTATACGCCTATTTAGCCCAATAGTAGCACCACCAAGACCTGCACCAGGTCAAGGTGTTCCACCACAGCCAGAAGACACAATGACGAATCTATCAGCTGCACTCATGTTGTTTGCCACGGATCAATCATGGCTGGAACTCAAACCCATGCCAGAACTTGACACGGTAGATGACTCCAACACTAGAGATGTTGAATCATTTCTCGTTGGTCAGCGGCAGCGATTTGATGTTTTATCGAAAACCAATTTTTGGTTTGCAAAGGGTATTCGACAATGTAATAGATGTGGGCATACGTCTGGTTGTGTTACGGAAAGTGCATCGACAGCGACTAGTAGTAGTGTTAGCAGTAATAATAGTAGTGGTGGGGAGACAGCAAGTGATGTGAAGTCATCACCCTTGAGTTTGATTCCAAACCCATTCAAGGGCCGACAGGTGCCTTGGGGTGATGAATTTGATGCTGCTTGTATATGTGGTGGTTCTTGGAAGCAGTTAGCATCGCTGAACGTATAGAGGAGACAAGGTAGAGCCCGCAAAGTATAATTATCAAAGCAACCCAAAGTGTAATAATAATAATCATCATAGAGGGACCCATTGTGTTTCTTACAATGCTATGTATATATGGTGGGAATGTACAAAACACAGATATGCAAAGGTGTTGTAAATATAACGATAAATATTTTTGGATGCCGAAATTTTCATAGTTCTGCCTTGGCCCTTGGCAGTTTGACACGGATTGGCCCTTCGTAAATGGCATGAGCCGAGTCAGCAAACAGTTCGAGAGCTGAGAGTCTTCCTCCATAAGCTTTGGAGATTCCTGTTTTGTTGAGGAGGATGAGTCAACATAAAGATAAATGGATTATCATTGATTTGTTCCGATTTATGAAGATGCAATAGTTTCCCTCTTGTGCAGTGTCATGAAAAATGTAGAAACAAAACATACCAACATCGATCAGAACGACGCGACCTCCTGTGTTCAAGAAAATGGGAAGGGATTCAGCAAAGAAAAAAAGAAACAACATATCAGCTCAATTGACGCACTACATCTCGATTTTATGCCAGCTAGTTGTGGTGTATGCCCAACGACCATCCGCCTGGCATTCATTTCTCTCAAGGCCTCAGTCAACTTGGAGCAGATGGTCTTTTCATCTTCTTGGGCATATGATCTATAGAGCACAAACGTAGGTGAGCTTCTGATTTCATTTTTTTTCCTTGACACAAGGAGTGACCTGTCCCACAAAGGGCCATCAGCACCGAATACAGGGTTGAGACTGCCTTCTTCTGGAGTCTAAATAAAAAAATGTATCGAGTTTCAGTTGTGGGACTGTTTGGTGAAGTGAAAAAAAAACGCAACAATAGAACGGAAATACGCTTACACGAGAGAAAAGACTCCTCCTGGCGCTTTGATTGATCGTGCTTATCCCAACTTTGGCCCAATGAGGGGTGATACCGCCATGGCAAAAGACGGTGCCGTTGACTATTAAAATGAACCTGTTTCAGATAAAGGTCTGAAGTTTTCATCTTCATAGTTCAAATACCCTTTGCCACTAGATCTAGCGATCGTAAATATTGGCCGAGATCACCAGACGTGCTAAAGTCTTTTGCTCGGGGTTCACGGCCACCGAAAGACGCAAAGTCTTCTTCTGTGACGTATCGAAGGTCGTTTTGCATGTTCATAACCTTTGATGCAAATTAGCGAACGAGAAATATGTGACAGAAACAATGAAGCTCAGAAGCCTACTTCGTGATTCCCCAGTAGAGCTACAACATCAGAGCCAAATTTAGGTGCTTCATATGTTAGCCTCCTCATTAAAGCAAAGAGTTCCTTGGTGTCAGGTCCTCGGTCTACGACATCACCAGTCTGTACAAGGGTAGTATCTAGTTCAAGATGTATCGAAATAAGAAAGAGATTACTACGTGTTTGTTGAGAGCATTCGTCCTCACTTTGAGCAATCCATTCTCTGTTGTCATCAATGATGCCAGCAAATTTGAGAACTTTGAGGGTATTAGGCAGGTCTGAGTGGAGATCGCCAACAGCAATGATGCGTCTGTTAAGCGAATGTACAGCGTTGGAGTTTAGCGGTTGTTTTGCAAAACACCAAATGCGATGTTGATCTCGAATGCCATGACAGCGAGACGGCTTCCACATACCTTGGAGGAGAAGGATCAATATCAGCAGAATTCAGTGAAGAGTCGTCATTATGAATTTTGACTTGATCGAGGATTACAGGAGGAGGAACAATGTCTGGTTTGAAGATGACTTCCTGACCAAACAAGTCCATAGCTTTATGAGGATTGTATACAAAGAACACCAGAACTGATATTAGCATCCCAAAAAGTGCGATTTTCCACATGATCAAGTCTCCTTTCACCCGATCGTCAGAGCGTTCGAAATCACCTGTAAATGTTGCGCATCGCGATCAGGCAGAAGGCACTTCAAACGTCATCATCCAGATACTCCTTTGGAGCCAGTATTCATTCAAAATTCCTCGCGTCAATCGCGTTTCTATGTTGTCTAAGTGCCTCACTTCGATCGCGTAACTCGCATCACCAAAGGTCTCACCTCCTCCCTCTCAAGTACACATCGAAATACCTGGAGAGACACGAGACACTTAAGCTCTATGCTATTATATCTGTAATACAGGATACAGGTACAGGAGCTACTTGAGTAGAAGCCTTTGAACCTATTCGGACTTTTGACTGCGGGCTTGCGTCCAGCTGTAGTTCCAGCATTGGGTGCACCTGATTCTCCCTAGGCCTTCCTGTACTGTGGTCTCATCGTTGTCGTAGCAGGTTATGGTTTTTTTTTCTGGAAGTTGGTGCAATTCGAGCATAGTTTGTAGTTATAGCATTGCGACACTTGTATGAAAAATCACTTTATTTTATTTGCAGCCTATTACGCGTCAAGAACGTGGCGTACGTACAGAAGATCAAGTGGTGGATCGAATGGCAGTCCTTTGATGTTTTTCATCACATTCATAAGAGCACACTTCATTACTTAGAACTGGCGGACATGCTGCAAGAACCTGGCATCGCTCAAGCATGGGAAGACATCAGAAGAATCGCTTCTCCTTCTGAAGTTGCAAGGGGCTTCACGAAAGATGCCGTTGTTTCATACCTTGGTTCTGCCCTCGTCTTCAAAGGTCACAGTGAGATTGAACAGCTATACAAGGTATTTGAGTCACCATATACTATGTACCTGCTAGTATACGTTGCGTTTTCATGTCGTTATGTTGTTGAAGGGAGGGCATCCTCAGGAATGACTTCGCATTTTGAAATCAATGCTTTCCTTGGAATCATCATGACTCGTGCGATTTTCACTCATCGAATTGCGCACTTTTAGGTCATTAGAGAACGTGCTATCTGTATTCGATCAAAGAAGGTCATCAATCGCACAATCAGCAATGATACTGTTTGTGAAGAAACCGTCCTTGAATGCAGTCACGCTCGCCCTATTGGTAGGAATGCGGCCGTCCCGCTGGAGTGATCAACTCGTATCACGTCTTGCTAACCAATGACACCTCCAACTTGCATAGAATGGTTGCTGCCTGGGGTCAAGGTTGATATCAAACATGTTAGATGTTTCTCTTTTCGTCATGTAATCTGATTGTTCTCGACATAGCAAACTGATCGTGAGATTTTATTTACAATGGTGACTATTTCAACTTTCCGTGGGGACAAAATCTGTGCCCAACGTGTTTATTGGGACCAAGCAACCGTGCTTCGCCAAATTGGAATTCTCAACAAGGTGATTCAAGAGACCTGAAGAATGTCGTCATATTATTGCCATTTTTTACATCGCTATTTCTGACTCTGTCCGCTTTCGCCAGGACATCTTCTTACGCGCAAGCCAAACTACAGTCACTCTTCCCATTGCTGGTGCCGATCAAGTCGATATGGTCATGGAAACAATGCGATATCTTTCAGTTGAAGACTCTACTCCAGCTCCTTCTGAAGAAACAGCTCCAATGGTCGAAGAAACTCGTGGCGCAAAAGCATTGCCTGCTGCGCAAGCAGTTGCTCCAATGCCGTATATCGATCAAAAGAAGCTAGCTGCTTCTGGTACCGTAATGGCGCCTCTTGCTGAGGTTAGATCGCTATGTTTATCATTTCAAAGTATATACCGTAACGCTTTTCCTTGATACTAGGTCACCCTGAAAGGGTTGCAAGACAAGGAGCGCTGGTCTGATCCTTGGCAAGATGGGAAGAGTCGGCCTTCTTCAAGAGTTATTAGGCCTCCTGGAGGTGGCTCTAGCATTACCTTTGGTTGAGCCTAGAGAACTGTACAAACTTGTAACCGTAAAGAACGATGGCACCAATATACGAGACGTGAAAAAGACAATACATTGCTAAAGGCTGATTTGTGAAAGGACCAAATTGTAGTAAAACAGCAGTCTATAAATTACTTTAAGAACTTTCCAAATTTACTGAAGTCCGAACGGCATCTCGAACACGCAAACGAGTCTACGAATGACATGCTATCTATATTCCTTCGCCAATTCTTTATATAAGACAAATGCAATATTTTCATTACGTCTTTTTCTATCTACCACCTATTTGAAAAACAATGTCAGCGTCGACATACTTGATAACACACTTCAAAATACTTGAACAGCTCTATGATACTAATCCTTTTCAGGAACATACCTCGTAAAGTCCAATCACCATTGCTGGGATTTCCAGACATTCCACCTGCAGCCATACCACCGCTGCCACCACCAGGTCCATACACACGAGACACGACACTCTCAGCGGCACTGCGATATCGTTCAATTTCACCTACACGGCGATCCAATTGCGAGACTTGAGAATCCAACCATCTTAAAGATGACAAGTGGTGATTGAGAATTCTGACTACTTGAGTATAGGCAGACTCTCCTCCTTCAGCTACTGCTACTGCACTACCACTATCTTCACCAGCAGAAGGATGTATTGTTGCATTTATATCTTCAACCATGGATGACAAGTGGCGAAGCATGTCATCAAATTGAGAGTTGAGGGTAGCAGCTAGACCATAAGCCTTTTCACGCTCTTGGTCGGCTGGTGTCATACGAATACGTTCAGGGCCATCTGAATCGAATATTTTACGTATTTCAGCTTCATATGTGGCAAGAGCTTCATCCATTTGAGATTGCTCTGATTCAATATATTCGAGATTTTGATCAATAAGTCGTTGAGTTTCTTCGGCAGATTCGACTTCCTTGGTCAACTTCGTCAGCTGGAGAGGACAAACGCGATGTTACTTTTGATCTAGAATGAGGATTGCTCGCAATCGTGCTTCACAAAACACTCACCTCTTCACCATTCTTCCATAGCATCAAATCCCATCTTCCAATATCCACAGCAAGTTTCCTGAATTCCTGTTCATGCTTCATCGTTTGGGTCTTCCAATCATTTACAATCTGCTCGACTGTTTTATTCTTCAATGACGAGGATGGTCCAACAGATCGAGCCAACGTTGACACGGCACCAGCTGCTGGACCTGCACCTGTTGATGACGAAACGCCTGCTACTGCAGTCGTCGCAGCAGAAGGAGCGAATAATGACGGTGTTGGTGGTTTGGTTGCTGGAGCTATGATGATCGAAACTTAAGCTTTGGGCAGGATTGCTAAATCATCGGCACATCTGTAACTTACTGCCTAAATCAGATATCTTTAAAGGACCTGGAGTTTCAAGGACGCCTGGAGCAGCAGCTGTTGTTGTAGTCGGCAACGCTCCTAGGTGAGGTACGTCTTTTTAGGCCAGAAAAGTCAATCATTTCTTCCAAAATAGACAAGTCACCTTTTATAGCACTTGCTGGCATTCCCGGAAAGCTAAATCCAGACTGTGCTGTAGATGCAGGGGCTTGCGAAACCGCAGTAGCTGGCGGAGCTGCAAAAATAGCAGGTGCTGAAGTCGGTGGTGCACTTGTAGCTGGTGCTCCAAATGAAATCGATGGTGCTGCTGTTGTAGCTGGTGCTCCAAATGAAATCGATGGTGCTGCTGTTGTAGCTGGCGCTCCAAGCGAAAGCGATGGTGCTGCTGTTGTAGATGGTGCTCCAAACGAAATCGATGGGGGTGCACTTGTAGTTCCAAATGATGGTGCTTGAGCTACCGCGGCAGCTGGTTGAGGTAGACCTGTCGATGTTTGTTGAGGAGCACTTCCAAATAGATTCGTAGATCCTACACCTGCTGTTGATGCTGCAGCTGGTTGGCCAAAAGGAAATGACGGAGCTGGTTGAGACGAAGGAAGACTTGTTGGAGGTTGCTGAGAAGCAGCTCCAAACAGATTCGTCGATCCCGTAGGCGCTGCTTGGGCACCAAATGGACTTTGAGATGTAGGTGCTTGACCACCAAATAGGTTTGGTGTAGGAGCAGCGGGTGTAGCAGCAGTAGCAGAAACTTGAGCTTATACGAGTTTCAAGTGGTTGGCATTTGTTTCAACAATTGGCAATAATTTATTCCATCAAAAACTCACGTTGTGCTCCAAAGCTGATTCCACCAAATCCAGTAGCTGCTTGAGTAGCAGGAGGTTGAGCCACATTTTGACCTTTATTTGCAATCGCATAAAAAAGTCATGTGAGTAATAAAAAAACTTGGGTGCAGAGATTCGAAAGGCTGTGGAGACTAATTGAACCTACCAAATGACATTGTACTGGCAGGAGCTTGACCAAATGACAAACCAGAGGTTGGTGGTTGCTGAGACCCACCACCAAATATATTACTCGGCGCAGCATTAGCAGGAGCCCCAAATGCAGGGGCGGCTGCTGGTGCTTGTCCAAATAATGGTGCTGGAGCTGATGTTGCTGGCTGTGCTGCTTGTTGTCCAAATGCTGGAGCACTTGAAGTTCCAAATAATCCTGTACTATTGGGAGCTGCACCAAATGTAGGAGCAATACTACTAGCTGGGGCTCCAAATCCAAAACCTGCAGAAGGAGCTGATGGATTTCCAAATGCTGGACCTGTCGCTGCCGCAGGAGGCTGAGAAGCCGGTGATGCACCACCAAACAATGCAGATGGTTGTGCTGCTGGTGCTTGCTGACCGAATCCAAATGCTGGCGGAGCTGCAGCGGCTTGCCCAAACAACCCAGTAGTTGGAGCTCCTGCTGGTTGTTGCTGTTGACCAGCTGGCTGACCAAACGATGGAGTAGTAGAAGCTGCTGGTTGGCCAAAGGCAGCGACAGGTGCTTGCTGAGATCCGAAGGGTTGAGCAGGTGGTGTCACGCCGAATCCTAACATACGTGGAGGGTAAGGAGTCATGATGAAAGTTGATGGAATAAATCTCGCAAAAATAACCATTTTTCTCTTGAATATGGCTTTTGATCAAAAATATCGCACAGAGAATAAGCACTTTGTACGTGAAATCTCGTCCACAAAAAGACGTACCTCCAGAAGCAGGATTACCAAACCCACCAAAAGCAGGAGCGGCACCACCAGCAGCTGGCTGTTGACCGAATCCTCCAAATGCAGGCTGTTGAGGTTGCGGTGTTTGTTGTTGAGTTTGACCAAATCCAGCTCCAGGAGTTTCTAAAAACATGTTGGTTCTCGGAGTCAAACAAGGTTGCTGAAACGAAGAGACAAGTTCCATTAATTACGTGCAGCGCCCCCAAAAGAGAATTGCTGATTTCCTTGCTGATTTCCTCCAACTAGAATAGATGGGATGAAAAATGAGTCTCGATGAAAACAATGTAATGGATGCATTGGATTCCGAGAGTTATAGACGTACACATAGCTGTTGTACTTTAATTTCTTAGTAGATTCACTATTCTATTATTGTCACCTTATGGTGTCCTAGGCGAAAAGGGAGTGGTGAGCTTTTGTCCTGATTATCAATTTCTCGCGGAAAAGAGATACGAGACACCAATGAACTGGACAAATTGGACGCTTAGATGACTTACCTCAAAGATGCACTCTTCCTTCAGACGTGAGGTCTGTTTTTAACCAACAAAGTATCGAAGTTGACAAGTGATGACATGCTTGAAGTTCAGGTAAGTTAGAGCATCTGACAAATGCTCAATCTGAAATATCTGAGTATGTTAAAAATGTTAAAAGTTCAGTATTTGATTTTACGCGTAATACGCGTTCCTGAACCCATTTGAACCAAATCAAACAGTGCAATCGCCAGTCTACGTCGCACAGCACAAGAATGCGATCCATTTAATTATTATTCATATATACAGTGCTCGATATACAGTTCTCTATGCATACATATTAAGACTATGAGGATATTCTACCAGACCGAGCAACGAGCCTTTGCAAGTGTTTGGCACAGCCAGCTCAAGGTCGTGGACACGACCAATACGTTCAGTCGGTGGGGAGTCTACTATCGTTTTGCGGATAGTGCCAAGATTGGGTGTAGCTAGAGCTGATTCATCACGTTGCAGCCCCGTCAAGACCAGTTTAGACATTACATCCATTCTGCTAGACAATGTCTGATCCAGTGCACCATGTACTTTGCCATAATTGTTTCTAACCCAGCCAGGATATCTACCGCTGCGTCCAGCTTCGCCACTGCGTCCAGCTTGTTCCTCCCGCAAGCTTGCTCTAAAGTCAACCAATCTCTCTGCAGTTCCTTGTAACCTTTTTATAGCCGTCCAAGCTTCGACCAACTGAAGATTGACAAACTGCGTCCGTTGGACCTGCATATTGTATACATTAGCGATTTGACACAGATGGGTAGAAAACACCTTCATGGCGTGTGTCATTTTGGCGGTATATTCCGGGCTCGGTTTAGCACCACTGCCTATTGCTAAATCTAAATACGTTGTCCAAAGCTGAGACGTCATCGAGAGCAAAGGAGATGGTTTAACGGTTTTGCTGTGTTCACTACTAGCCGTCCTTTGTTCTCTGTGCACTACAAATGGATCAATCCATCTCGACACTTGTGCACTCTCAGTCATCATAGACTTCATCATGTCTCGTGCCCTATCATATTGACCATGATGTATGACAGATCTGAGCATGTTGGACATGGTCTTATCCCCGACATCACGACCTTTTGCAGTACACTCTGCTACAAACTCTCTGGCTTCACCAATCCTTTTCAATCGAAGAAGTCCGATCACCATGGCGGCAATGTGAGTATCACTTATAGGAATATCGCTGGCTACTAGATCATCCCATACACTGTAAGCTTTTGATACCTCACCAGAATTGACGAGACACGACATAATGGCACTGTATACGAGCGAGTCCACGAGGCCTTCATTTCTGGCTTCCGTAAAGCAATCTACAGCTGCTTTGTACTGATGAGCACGATGATGAGCATGAATCAGACTGCTATATATACGTGGAGATCGTGGTATGCGTCGAGATTGCATGTCGTAATTTAATTTTTTTACTGTATTATATCGTCCAAGCAGCTGCAATCCATGAATTATAGCGAAGTATGGTGGCTCCGAAGGGTTGACTCGGGCGGCTGCAAACAGGTCCATGGCAGCTTCGACCTGATTCAGTCGAAGACAGGCTTGTATAACTGACTGCTGTAGTTTCGGAGTAGGTGTTATACCCCACTCTATTGCACGTCGATATAGCTGTAGATTCGTTTCATGCTGATTTAGATTGCTAAATGCATCCATAGTGAGTTCAAAAGTATCTGCATTGGGTTTTAGCTTTTGAGACTTGAGAGCATCTATACTCTCAATCAGTCCGTCATAGGAATCAGCATTTATAGAGTTGGCCATATTCTGATGGACATCAGACAACGTCAGGCCGTTTCCCGTCAACACCTGTTGTCGGAGAGACTCTGACTTGTCGAGACATTGTCTAGCTTTGGCTGCAATGGTTTTAAACTCTGCAGCGACTCGTTCATGTCGATTTAATAGTGCTCTAAATTGTAATCCAGTGATACTATGTCCTGCATTTTCAAATCCATGAGCTAATGACAGAATTATTGCACTATGATCCCATGAACCTTCAGACTCCCGTTTCGCAAAGTCATACGTGGCATAGCCTAGAGCTTCTCGTAGCAAGCTATATTGACATAATTTATAAACCAGCGTGTTGGATAAACGTTGGGCGACTTTAGCCTTTCTCTGTTTGTGTACGTGGTTTACCATATCTAAAGCAGCTAGACACCCATCAGCACTGTTTATGTGATCCAAAGCTTGATCCAGACCATTACTTCGTATCAAGCTAAAAGCATGTTTAACCATATCTACGCTTATGATCGAAGAGATGTGCTTCTGGGCAAAGTAATCGTTGAGTATGCTCTGGGCCAACACTTGGCGCTGTGTGTCGGTCAATGACTTCTCCGGATTCGGTTTCATTAGAGCTAGTTCATATCTTTGTGTTGGTTCACTACGACTACTGCTAGGTGCCGCTAACTCCTTGCTAACTAGAGTAGTATCCTCTTCAATTTGGAGTTCTTTCAGCTGGTGAGTACTCTGACTAGTACTAGCATTCAAACTTTTACTATTACTAGTGCAAGTACTGGAATATGCCCTCCTTTGGGGACTAAGCAGGTATGAGTCTTCAAATATCAGCAATGGCACCACGACAAATGTTTGGACCAGCACAAGTCTGGCGCACATTCCGAATATCTTTTTGCTGCGTTTAGACAGAACGGATGCGCTTGGCGATGTTGCCAGCGTGGATGACCGACGTATGACGTCTCTCGTCCATCGAATGCACTTTTTGCAGAAAAGGACATTTCGTCGAGACGAATGCATCCTATCAGAAAAGAGGGATGAAAGACGGTCAGTACAGCATTCCGAGTGACCGCACACACCCGACTTGCCTCTGTTGTCCCCTCAGGACCTTCACGCGTAGTCTTGCTCAACCTGTTCAGTAAACCTGAAGTGTGAACGCAACGGGGCTTCAGGATCGCACAGTCCAGCGAATATGGCTCTACGTGCAATGATCACGTTGATATTTGCATTGCGTCGAGACTGGCGGGATCGTTCGAAATAATTATACCCTCTATATTTTATAACACAAGCAGCATTCATAAGCTATTAACAAGCAATACTAGTAGCAAGTTTTCAACTATTTACACGTTCTAGCGTTCGTGTTTACTTGGGTATTATCGGCGAGAGAAGAGAAAAAGCAATCTTCTCCCGCAGCTCGTTTACGCTCCCTTGTGCGAATCCTGAGAAGTCTTCAGATAGACAAAAGCGTTTAGCAAAAGCCAACGTGAAAACTCCACATGAATTGTAGTCCTGCTGCTTGTGGGTGAGTGTTGAAACTAGCAAGGAAGTTGAAATGAGTGGAGGATAAAAAAAAATAAGAATTAACAAGAAATAATACCAAGAAGCCAATTGGATTTGATAGTGTACTTTTCAGTCGAAGGAGCCTTGAGTTTAGCTTCTTCAACCAAGTAATGTAATATGGGCTTCAAGATATGGGGTGCAGCTTTCGACCCGCCTGGGATTGAATCATAATAGGATACAACCATGTCTTCTATATCTATGCCTACAAAGGACCTGAAAGTACTTTGAGATCACAAATTGGTCAATTGATCAACAAGGAGAACCATGAACCTTACCAGTGTTGCGAGTCTACATGTATTGGAATTGCGACTTTCTTGTATTGGTAGATTCCGCTTGGAAGAGATGTCCATTTCGATACGCCATCGTATCCTTTTGTTTGCAAGAAGGTATAAAAAAAGGAGCTTTTGCCACAGCGTGAGATACGGGATATGTCAGACCAATGTCAAGAACTAGACTCACTTGAAGATCTTGACTGTAGGACCACACCTTACCTGCAGTATCGATAGATAAGCGTTGATCGCTTCATCTAGAAGAAGGGCAGAAGATCAGTAAAATGCGAAGCAAAGTGAGTTATGGACTAGATTACCGTTCAACCAAGCATGAGAGTCTACTATTCGTTCGATTGTAGACTGTTCGATGGGATAGTTAGCAATACGACACAGTTCTACTGATGCGACAACAGGTATGGGAGGTAATGAATCGTTGTCTTGGTTGTCACTAGGTGTGGTTTGAGGAATGCTAGGCAACCAGGAGGGCGATGATGTGTTGAATTTGATACGATGTCTTTCAAGAAGATGCAGTAGCAATTCATGTTCATCAGCATCGAGCTTTTCTAGGTGGACTGTGTCGACCACCCAAGCAGGAAATGAGGTTTTCTTTGGCAAAGGCTCATCAGACGTGTCCGAGTAGTCAGAACTGTTTGATACTAGATCCACTATCTCCTGTCCGTTCTTGTCCTCGTTCTCCTCCTGTTCATCGTCGTCAGCAACATCAGCCGACAAGTTGATCTTGTCCAGCTTTTCGATCAGGTCGTTGTCATCGTCGTTCGGCCCCTCTGGAGCAGCTTGACTAGTCATATCATCGAGTGAGTACCGTCTGCAATCTATTGTGTCTTTGCTTCTGGATGTAAGCTTAAAAGTTGACACTGTTTTGCGTCTTGTTTCAAAAAGATGGCAATGGACGAAGAAGCTGCTCCTGAACAGATCGCTACTTTATCAGCTGATTCTCCTCATGTCAAGTTTCCTGAATGGATTGACGCCGTACAGAACGACAACATTGGCTTTTTTGCCTGGACATTAATGACTAGCCTCAAACAACCTCAAGGCGTATTTCCTGCTGATGCATTCACGACAGCATTGAAAGGTATCCATTTTTCATTATTGAGACGCCTGTGTTGGAGCACAAGATTTTGGACTGCCAGTTCTAACAACACAATCTCTGACCCCGCCCCCCTTTCTTTCAGCTTCAGACTCTCCATTTACGCTGTCCATAGACGTATGCTCTCATCCTCTGATAAACGATGAGCCAGACATGCAGCTCAAACGACGAATATTCAAGGGAATCAACGGAACCCTGTCGTCATTTGTGTACTATTGTAACCGACGATCCCCAACACCATCAGACATTGCTGTTGACTCTATCAACAACGAGGAGCCTCTCAAAACACAGTCAACTACTAAAGATCAGACAGAACAGCCCGAAAGGCCAATCCTACAGGCAACAGAGAACGAGCAACGGCGTTTACTTGATCTCGCCAATAATAGCAAGAACGCAGTATTGTTTGTAGTCCTTCTCAACACCTTTAATGTAGTACCATCACCATCTGAATTGATTTACCTCATAAAACTAGCTCAGAAACGCAGAGCCATACAGGAACTAGTCATTTTAATGACTAAATTCACATTGCCTCGTCAAGTAAATGTCTATGATGTGGCATTCTATTGTGTGATGCATGATGACAGCAATGCTGCAAGCCTCATAATTGGTGAAGAGGGGCAGCTGCCATTCATGAGCACGTTTGAAAATACAATCCAAGAAGAACTAGTGCGTCTGGACATGAGGCTTGAAGCTGCAGATCCAGCTTCTCCTCCGAGCTACAGGTCTAATTGCTTTTAGGTTAGTTTCATTTCAATTGAATTTCACTGAATTATGTGTATTCTTAGGTCGCTGTCAACATATGCAAAAAATGCTGGGAAACTCATCAAAGCTTGGAAGTTGAATCTTGATAATTATCCTTGTATTGCATCTGCGAACGCTCTACGTCGAGCTTTATGGTTGGCCAAAGAAGCCATGACCATGCAAGGTAATACATTTTTGCAAAAGTCTCTGTTTTGAATCTACGGCAACTTGATTGTCTTCATACACTTAGCGAAGGCAAACGATTTTAGTCCAGAACGTGCAGCCGGACCATTGGAATTGTTGGACCAAATACTGATACAAGTTGCGGACATTCACCAATCAACTTTATTAATGACAGTGATATGGTGTATGACTGTGCATCAGCAAACCTGTGATACTGCTTTATTTATTGCCCGCAAATATCGAATGTCAGAATATTGTACTCGGGCCAGACAAGTAGCTCCCTTTACGTCTTCGATGGGATCCATGCTATTACCACCACCCGACAAAATACCAGCAGGAATCACAATTTACGAATACCATGGAAGGATCGAGTTTGTCACTACCTCAGGAATAGACGAACTCGTTGATATCTTGTATAATCAAAACACAAGTATCGTCGGTGTGGACTCAGAATGGAGGCCTGATGTCGATGGAACCCTTGTTGCTACGATGCCGTCACTCTGCCAATTGGCTGTACAAAGACCGGTGCCCAACGATGGGTGGGTTCGAGATACTCCCACGCCAGGCTATGAAATTATAGTATATATCGTAGATTGCAATGAGCTTAGCAAAAGTCCAAAGAAATTGCTAGAATTTTTCACCAAGTTCTTTACTACTACGAGCTTTATCAAGATTGGTAAGAAACGTGGTGATTTTTGATTGTAGGTGGTATTGTGTGTAATTAATCTAACCCTATTTTTGGCTGCTTTCATTTGCGTAGGATTGGATTTGAAATCAGATATCTTAAAGTTTCGATCGGGCTTCAAACCTTTGGCTGATGTTCCATGTCACAACGTATTGGATTTGAACAGTCTTCCAACCAAGAAAGCAGATGGAACTGCATATGGTCAAAATCAAAAATGCAGTTTATCTGACAGTGCTTTGTATTATTTGGGGCAAATGGTGGATAAGTCAAAGCGTTTATGTGATTGGGACCGCAGGCCACTACGAACGTCGAGTCTTACATATGCAGGTAAGAGCACTGATTTTTGGACATTCGCCGCCTTTTCTCGTTACGGCGCAAGCTGACCTTCCAATTCACCCTTGGTAGCTTCTGATGCAGCAATTCTGATCGACATTTACAGGTGCTACCTGAAAAGGGATGGAAATCATCACAACCTTGTGACTCTCTAGCTACCTTGTGACACTATAGCTTATTGCTACTGTAATTCTGCTCTTCTGATTGTACATATTCTTGGGAAAGTGTGCTGTAGCGTGGATATAGGATATGTTTGCTGTAATTGCAATAAATAAGATCTATTTTTATACAATGCCCAGATACGTACGCAGAGTCAAGAGCCTCTCTTCGTTCAGCAATTCTTTTTTGGGTATAACGCCATCGAGTTTGATTTGGTCGTAAGGGATTCTGAAGGTATCTACAGGTTTTTCGTCGTCTAGCCATTCAGGTATGGAATCTAGTTTACCGAAATGGGATCTAGCTTCATCCGCAGACATGGTAGCTAGTACTTTTCCAGTTTCTTTGTCTCTGACTGCTAAATCCCAAGTCTTCTCGTCGTCGAGGACATAGGCACCGCGATTGTGAAGATATTGTGGATGATGCGGTATGATTCCAGCCTATAAATTGATATTCGATGATTATTAAATGGTGATAACGTAATATTCAAGCGTTTGAAAGTCGGATGCCCAGTCAAGAAGTAGGAAAGTCAACTTTTTTTTCAAAGTGACCAAAATGTTGATGTGCACCACCTACCTTTGCAAGTAGCCAAGCGACACGTTCCGACGGCTGGCCACCTACAGCTAGCCAGTATTTGACTCTTTTTGTATCTAGTTCTATATGTTTGACACCGAGCTTGTCTGGAATTGGAGTGTATGTGCCTAATACTTCGAGCGGTTTCTTGTCGCGAGCAGCCCGGGCGTGAGCAATCACTATGCCGTAGAATGGATGGCGACGGGCGCCCCATCTTGCCAGTCTTAGTCTCAACGACATTGTAGAGATGTGGGTGTTTTAATTGTTTTGATAAAGCTGAGAGACATGGCAACAATTACCGTGAACGCACCAGTAGGTACTATCATCGGGTTACAACATGAGAAAATTACCGCTTTTCGCGGTATCCCGTACGCTACAAGTGCACGTTTCAGTGCTCCTGTGGCAGTTACTCACTATGGAGCAGACTGTGATGCTACCGCCTTCAGGTACTTTCAGCTCACCGCAACAATGTATACGTATTCACATGATGTTTAAATAGAGATGGGTGCCCTCAAAATCTATCTACATTAGCCAAATTCTTTCCGGACGTAAGCATCACAGAATGTGATTTCCATGGTGTTACAACATTAGAGGACCTTGTTAACACTCTTCTTTTTCGGAATATCTATTCTTTTAGTTTGTACATACTAGTTCATCTTCTGAAGATTGTCTTTCCTTGGCGGTATTCGCTCCAAAAGTCATTGACAAGCCACTACCAGTTCTAGTCTGGCAAGTCATTGGTTTACAACGGAAGTAGCAATAGCCCGCTGATTCTTAACGTAATTCTAGGATTTACGGTGGTGCTTTTGCAACTGGTTTCATCGATAACGTTGGATACGATCCATCGAACTTGGTCGCAAGGTCAATAGAGCTAGGACAACCAATTATAATCGTGTCAATCAACTACCGCGTAAACGTCTTTGGTTTCCTGGCTTCTAAAGAACTGCAGGCGTACTCGCCAGATGGCTCTTGTGGGAATTGGGGCTTACAGGATCAGCGACTCGGATTGCTTTGGGTAAAACGTAACATTGCTGCTTTTGGAGGCAACCCTGACCGTGTTACGGCATTTGGTGAATCGGCTGGATCTATTTCGATTGATTATCTCTCCACGATCTTTGCAAAGGACAACCTCGTAAGTGTTGCAACCAATTTTAGTGTGATAAAACGATTCATAGCTTAGTAAGATACAAGGACACCGGATTTCATGACTAAACATTTAGAATATTCCCAATAGTTCTCAAGAGCCATTATGCAAAGCGGAACCGCTCTCACCATGCCCATCAAAACAGTGGCAGAAACGCAACCGCTCTTTGACGCTCTGTATCGTGCGGTCAACGGACCAGAAGAGTACGAAGGAGTTGCTAGAGTGCACTTCTTAAAGACGAAAACGCCAGCCGAATTACTCAAAGGTCTAACCATGATTAAACCCAACTCGCTAATGGCTTTTCAACCAGTCCTCGATGGTGTTGTTGTTCCCCAGCATCTTAGTTTGATGGAACGGGGCCCAGGACTTGAAGCTGTAATTATAGGAAATACTAAAGATGAAGGGACTATCTACGGGTTTCCGATAAACGACAAGAAGCAGTTTGAACGATTGGCGTCCGTGAGAGCAAAGTCAAAGGCACCTGAAGCTATTCAGAATCATTACTCTCTGAATAAATGTAAGCATCAATATTCCCGTCTCGTTGGAGCATCTGTATTGTACTGTTATCAAACGATTTGACATTATGAACTTTATAGTCAGGACAATCCGTGAAGCCGCCTCCGAATTAATAAACGATGTGACCTTCCACCATCCAACTGTCTTGTACTGTGCAGAGCAAGCCAAACGAATCCCAGTCTACCGTTTTAGATTCGAGACTTTGATCAAGACTACCGAAAAAACTGGGCTGGGCTGCTTCCACTCGGGCGACCTCCCATTCACATTCTACAAGATGGACAGATTTATCTCTGAAGAGGTTTGTTTTTTGATTCAGAGTCGTCTTTGCAACAATCCCCTTGCTAACATAATATGGATAGGAGCGACAAACAGCAGATCAACTGACTAAGCATTGGGTCAATTTTGTAAACCATGGCCAGCCTGCTAAAGGCTGGAGTCCTTACAAGTCTCGCAATGGAAGTGTGTTGGTCTTTAGGGAAGGCAAAATGATTCAGGAGGAAGGGACTGAATTCCACTCCGAAAAGGTTGACTTTTGGCAAGAAGTAATGAATGTATCTCCACCTTCCAAATTGTAAACTCTGACTCTGCATACGATACTAGTTTAAAATTACTGCCTTCTATTTTTTGGATATGATTGTCTACACAACTACAGTTTTGGTTTTTTGCTATGCACATATATTCACAACAGCCATGCGAGTCCTTTAAAAGATCATTCGTAATCGTCATCGTCATAATCATCATCGTCATCATCAGTATACCCTGCATCCTTATATTTGCCAGGCTTGAACTGATTACCCCTTCTCGTACTAATTCCATGTCGCTTTACAACAACTTTTTGTACTGGAGGAACAGGCAGCGGCGGTGGTGGTATTGGTGGTGGAAGAGGTGGAGCTTGCTTTACTTTGAAGATGCCCAACAATTCTCCCATTTTCCTCTTTTGATCATGCACAAGACTCAGCTTTGTGCGAATACTTTCCAGGATGGAGACATACTCTGTCTCGCGCCCCGAGACGTCCTAGAAAGGTTATCCAGCTTAGTATGAAAGAAATGTCACGCCCAAGATAACGGTAATTCACCTCCGCGGAACGACGAGCCTGCAGTAGGAATTGATGACCTTCAGGCGAAAAGTCAGTTTCCACGTCAAAGCATACCGTGATGGGATCATCACCATTCAATACATCTGTGAATCTATCTACCACTTTTCTGAATGACTGAGCGTTTTCAATCAATTCAATAGCTGCTTGCGATTGCATTTGCAGCAATCCACTTCTGAATGCCTGTTTGAGTGGCTTGCTCTTACACAGACTTTGTACGTCTGTAGGCTGCGACCACAGGTCTAATCGAGACGAGAACAAAAAATCAATCTCGTTGGCAGGAGTACTTTCAGATGTGAGACTTTTTCAACAAGAAACAATTTACCTTTGAGTTGAATTCCTACATAAGGCGCTTTTGGATCTGGAGGTGGAATACGACGAGGGCGTTTCGCAGGAGATGGTTGTATCTAACAAAAAAATTGTAAATGCTAGACGAAAGTACGAGAAAGTACACAAACTAAAGCGTACAATATCATGCGTTTTACTACGAAGTGGAGATGAATCAACGACAATCAAATCTGGATCAGATTCATCTTCAGTCATGTCTGCATCAACATGATGGGCGACTGCTGCCTGGAATTGAAGCAAAGCTTCAGCATCTGCTTCATCTTGTGCTGAGTATTGATTATGCTTGTTGTTGTTGCTATTGCTATTGCTGGTGATTTGAATTGGTTTGATGGGTTGGGGCAGCACTACATGGGGTTGTTCGACAAGTTCTCTGTGTATGGGTTCTCTGTCTATGGGTTCTCTGTCTATGGGTTCTCTGTCTATGGGTTCTCTGTCTATGTTTACCACAGGTGGACGAGCTGCTGGAATTGTCGAGTTGTAATAGTGAGGATGCTGTGTGGTTGGAGCGGGGAGCTGGATTGCTTTTACAGGCGGATTGTAGAGAGTTGGTGGATATGACGTGACATATGACGATGAAGATGGGGGTTGAAAATTATAGAAGTTGATGGGAGGTATATTATCTATTGCTTGCGGTTGAAGATGATGATTATTGAGAGCCGTGTGTCCGTTAAAGTGTTGCGGTGGCGGAGGAAGCTGGCGAGGTCTTCCACCACCCACAATGACGCCAAATCCCTGGCCCTTATTTTTAAAGCGGAGATCCGACTCTTCTTCGTATGGCATATACGGCTCGTGTCGATAGTCTACAGTGGACGACATGTCAGGTACAGGTGGTAATAGTAATTGTTGAGGTTGCAGTGGTGATGTTAGGCGTCGTGGTGTCATTAATGGGGAATTATTCAAACTGGGCATTGATGATGATTTATTTGTATGCACTCGTTTTGCGTCTGATCGTGATGAATTTCCTACACCAAGAATGCGAGTTTAGTGACAAGCATCAAACCTCATCAACGCAAAACTTCTCCGTACCTTCTTGAAAAGGATCCACAGTGGAGTCCTCAGTCGCCATATGACGTTCAAATTCCTCGAAAATATTGAGTGCATAAACCTCGTCAAACAAATGCGTCACGTTTGCAGCTTTACGCATTTCTGGTGCTGTATAGTATGAGCGAGGTGTATCACTGGCCGTCTTTCTAAATCTCTGTTCGAATAGTAACTCTTGCGAGATGGGCAATTCAGCGAGCCCTGGGACCATGGAGGGTCTTGGCAACCTGTTGTCGGCAATAAATGATCCTCGTGAGTTTCACGACGAATGACTTGATGAGACGTGCTGAATACCTCTTCCTCAGTGCATCCGACTTTGTAAAATAGGCGACAAGATGTTGGTTGTGACCATTGACAGAAACAGAGATGGTCTTTTTGAAGAGCCCATCTTCCATCACGGTATAATTCTAATGTAAATCACGTCAGATTCAAAAGATATCAACTTAACGTAAATTTCAAGTTCAGGACTCACTTTGGACTGTGCGGCAGCACCGTCTTCGTTGGAAGCATCCCTGTTTTGTGTTTTGCCTGGCGAGTTCTTTACAGCCAATTGCTTGTATCTATAAGCAAAAGGAACGAATGAGGTACGTTTCAAGGACGAGAGAGACAAAACATTCCAAAATCACATTAGAAAGTTTCCTAGGATCTACAGGCGAGTAATCATGTAAGTGCATGCGTTTGTTTGGGAGTAGACCAAGTTCAAGTTTACCCGACTTGGACTCCAAGCGATACCATCAGTCCTATGATAATGTTGTGAGAACAATGATGGAAATAACAGTCCATGAAGGTGAAATCAATCTTGTAAGCACACCATCGTTTGACACTTGATTCTGTTTCGTCATAGAGAAAAACACTATTATTGATGACATTGTAAGTCCACCAGAATGGGATGATGAAAATATCACAGTCCCCACCTTCCGCTCTTGATGAGGGCCCTTTCTCTGTGCTTTAACCTTTGGGTTGAACGGACCAGCCGACCAACCAAACAAGCTTCAAAGACAACCAAAGCATCCACAGTGGTTTCGATTAAGCCTATTTCGAGCGATTTCAGCATAGTCAAGTGGGAGTATGTAGGAGAAGGAATGGTAGATGACATGTGAGCACAGTACCAGTGAATGTGATGACGGCTCTTGAAACAGGTATGACAGGCGCGGTATTAGGAGCCTGTTGATACCAGTTTGGGAAGGTAGGAAGCATCATGTCGTTTACATTCATATGATTGACCTCAGTAATTGGTCTGGGAAGATTGTTGTTGTATTGCACATGCTGGTTTTGGTGGTATTGGTCCATGGTTTTGGAGGGAGGAGAGGCAGGCAGGGCGATGGCAGCTCCTGGAGGAATAGGCAGCACCTCTTGCTTGGACGCTACTTGTCCGTTTCCAGGTTCGCAACAAGGTCAAACCTTATTTGTTTTAAGCTTCCACTAAAACGTCAAAGCCTTCTTCGACATCAACAACACAAAAGGCACAAAACAGCTGGGTTTTTGATGTATACATTCGCCAAAGTGCTTGGAAAATTATATTGCGAGAATGTTTTTATATATGGAGCGAAGAAAAAATACATTGAGCAAATACGGTATCATGGTAATTCACTTTTCGATACTATGAGCTAGATAGAGGGATTTGATATCATCAACGTTTCCTTCATTCCACACTATGTATCTTTGACTCAATTCTACTGGATGTTGGTTGTTGATTGTTGACGCAACAACAGAACGTCGGTTTGTCAAGTCGATAATATACTCTTCAACGTTTGATACTGGCATGAATGATAGCAGGTCGTCCAAGCGTGCCAAATCCATACCAGTTGGACTAAGTCCTCGACGATTTATGGTGGACAATACACGAGCTTTTTGAGTACCAACTTCATTGTCTTCCAATTGCAGATTGTGTTTGATCTCGTAGCAGTTGATACACACCCGCCTAGGATGATACGAATCGTGGATACGGAATATGCCACTTAATTCCACTTCATCAAGTGGCATGAAGCAGGCCAAGTTTGAGCATCGCGCCCATAACATTGACAAGGTAGTTTCATCATCCTTGACTTTCTGACGACGAGCCTGCAATAGATCAGAGACCAGATCCCGGACAGCACTCCTCCAGCTTCTCGAAACTAGCGATGAAGGATTATGAGTCAACCAACACAGGGGAGGGAGGGGAGGCAGGAGCTCCATCTCTGTTACCTTTTCCGTATTCAAGAAGTGCTTGCGCTGTAGATCCTTGTACGAGAATATATACAGTGTGCTTGATTACAGGTTGTGGCAACGACTGTAGTGGCATTGATGTTGATGTGGTTGACCTCGAGCAGATGTCAAAGTAAGATTCTAACGAAAGGAATATATATAAATATGTGAATGAGCCAAGATCCTTTAGAGCTACTTCTGGTTTAACGATCGAGAGCTTGTCACCCGTTCCGGCCATTTCAAAAACTTAAGTAGATAGATACCTCAATATGACTGTGGACCAAGCAGTATTGGCCGTGAATGCAGCTATTGGGCAACTGGATATAGCTCTAGTAATCGCGTACTGCGAAGAATTTGAATTACGAGAAGCTACTATCCCACAAGCAGTTGTAGAAAATGTCACAAATGGGAATGCAGCTCAGCCCACTGTACATCCACGACAGCACATATATACAGCATCATTGGCCGCTTACTTGATTTCAGATGACCTGGCCTCTGCTAGGATGTTGTGCAAACGAGCTACTGCCGACATTAAGGTGAGTCGAATATGGATTGCTGTTTGAGTAATGATGATCATATAACGCATGGACTACGAGCTGATTCTATTTATGATTATTTCTTATAGGCCTATCCTGCTTTTGCTTCACTACACCAAGTCTTTACGAGCTTGTACAAAAATCTACCAGCCGCTACTTATACTCATCTGGACGCTGCAAACTACTCGACAGATTTGAGGCCTCTCATAGAAGAACTGAAAAAACGTATACGTGAACGTGTCTTCGTCTTGATCACAAAGGCTTACACGGATGTCCCACTATCAACCATTGCAAACTCTCTGGGCTTGTCCTTGGATGATACACGTGCTGTATGCACTCAGGCTGGATGGATGATAGATGCCACTACCGGAATCGCTACGAGGCCTCCTGCTCCTCCTACTTTGGCTGCAGCTGCTACAGGTGGAATTGTAGGGGCGGATGGATTGAAGCGTATGGCTACCATCTCTGATTACGTAGTAAACCTAGAACGTGCATAAAAGAAATGGCATAAAATGTATAACTGTTGCTGTAAAATATATATAGTGTAGAGTACAAGACAACATTAGTTTGCACAGTGTTGGTTGTTGTCGCGTCTTTGGGAGTCAAACAGACAACGCACTTGATATCAGATCGCGTAGCTAGACGATCTGTGTCCCTCAGAGGCAGGTGCTCTTCGTAAAGTGTCGGTATGAGCAAGTATGCACATGTGGTTTGACTTGACTGCTTTGTCTCGATCAATATCACACGAGGAGGGAATGGCATCATTGGGAGCGAGCAAGCGGTTGCAAAAAGAGTATCTCAGTCTCAAGAAGAATCCGCCGCCGTATACGTATACGAAACCTCTTGAGAGCAACATACTTGAATGGTGAGCTTGATTGATTTGGATTAGTTTTGAGACTTTCTGACATTTTGAAAACAGGCACTATGTGATACGAGGCCCACCGGATTGTCCATATGAAGGTAAATCCTTATTGCTCTCTTAGTGTTTCGCCTGCAAGTTTTCATCGTAGTTCGATCATTTGACATTTCATTTGAAACCAAACTTTTAGGCGGTAAGCAGCATAGAGCCGTAGTGGAACCATGCTCGATATACGTCTTGTCGCCAGTTCATATCGGGCACTTGGTCGTGGAAATCACAGAACTCTTCTGAAGCATTCTTTTGGCTCACATCATACCGATACTTTTATACTTGCTCAATACCTTACCTGCTGCCTGCTCACTACCATACTAATTACAGGCTACTATCACGGCAAGCTGATCTTTCCAAGCGACTACCCCTTTAAGCCACCTCAGATACGGATGATCACTCCCAACGGACGCTTTCAAACGGATACAAGGCTATGTCTTTCTATGAGTGACTTTCATCCTGGGAGCTGGAATCCAGCGTGGCATGTGGAGAGTATATTAAGGTAAATTAGCGGGTGATTCAGCAATCAAAACATTTAACTACATGAATCTCAAATCATCTTAGTGGGTTACTGAGTTTTATGTTAGAGGACACGCCGACGACTGGGAGCGTAAAAACATCAACAGCAGAAAAGAGGCTATTTGCCCAAAAATCTCACCAATTCAATCTGTCAAATCGAAAATTCCAAGGTATTTTGATGTGAAACTGATGCAATCATAATCTACAATTAAAGCATTCATTCTGCTTGCCAAACAGAGGTGTTTCCAGAATTATGCACTCCCGAACCCAACACTTCACTGTTCTTTATGCCCACAACAACACCATCTACTACAACATCGAATCCCACTCCCACAGTTGCAACACCACCAATACAACCAGTGCAGGCTCCTATAGTTAAAGAAGCAACAAATGGTCACGCATTACCGAAACCAGCAGCACCAATACCGCCACAAAATAATAGACCTCGTACAGCCCTAAGCTTAAATCACTGGTTTGGAATCGCTGTTGTCTTGGTGCTTGCTTGGCTTGTGTCTTCTCGTGCCATGAGTAAACTAGACCTCATTTCGTAAATCGTAAATTTTGTACGTCGTTGTTATTAGATATAGATGCAAGTTTTATTTTGAAATCACGTTTCATGTTCCTTTCTGTGTATTTCCTTGGTTAAGGCCTGCAATTGCATTTATGGAGGCAATAGAAAGACTAAGAGCTCATGTAGCGATCGCATCACCCGCTGGACTTGATGGAATTTCATAGTAAGTGTTGTCCTCTTGTTCAGTCAAAGTGCAAACAAGAATCTAATTGTTCAACGATAGTAATCACAAGGCTGCAGTGTTGGTAGCCCTGAAACTAGATCGAAACCAAGACCTACAAGTCCTATTGACAGTGAGATCGCGCCACATGAGGACATTCGCTGGAGAGGTTGCTCTGGCCGGTAATGATCAACGTTTCATTTTTTCATGCCTTTACAACCCATACAATGACGAATTTTTGATAGGAGGCAGACGCGATTCTACGTGAGTGATGTTCCGTTTTATCTTGAAGATCGCTTCCGTAGGATCTCGTCGCTTTCACGACACAATTCCCCTGAAGATTTATGTTGTGGACGCAGTATTCGCCATAACTGAATGAATTGGACGTTACTGACAATTGAAGATTCTTCAGCGATGCAGATGAAGTTGAGAATGCCCTCAGAGAAGCGCATGAGGAGGTTGGGCTGTTGGCAGAATCTTGTGAGGTCTTGACAGTTTTACATCCAATGGTAGCTACGATCTGAATCTATTCAATCTACTCAACCGAGTACTGATTTCTATTTCTAATAGGTGTCTCGCGTATGCACCTTTTTTTAAAGAAGTCCGGGTGTTTGATGCTAGTGTGCTAACCAATCCAACACCACATACCAGAATGGCCTGATTGTCACTCCAGTCGTGGCACTTTTAGATCCTGCTTACGTTGCCGTACCCAATCCTTCAGAAGTTGGAGAATGCTTTTATGCTCCACTGAAGTCGTTCTTGACTGGAAATGAAAGATCTGGATGGGATCATACATGGTAAATATTTTATTCTTTTGTCGTTAAACCACTATGGGCGTCCCTCACCGTTACAACAATCTAACGTGATTCCCAATCTGCACAAGGCACGCTCGTAATTGGCGCATGCATATGTTTGACCTTTCAGGACATAGAATGTAAAGACCATATTGCTGGACCATTAATGACAATTTCCACTAACAAACTTTCAATTAGAGCTGGATTTACTGCAGGTGTTGTTTTGGAAGTTGCCCAAATAGCTTATGGTCAGCGGGCTTCGTTTGGAGCTTATGCTGACAATGAGACGTCTATACCCGACATTAAAATAATTGAGAACTTTATCGCAACGGGGGATTTCGCTCGGTCGTCGAAACTATGAAAATATGAACTCATTGATTTGGTGTTTTTACCCTAATATATTGCTTTTCTCAGACTACTGTCTTTTTCAGGCCGTTATATGACAATCTTTTTACTAGTACAAGTTTTGCAACTGCGATGTTACTGGAATTTGTAAGTTGCAAGTTCGGGAGCCATTCTATCATCTTTGGCCTCACTGAAAATGCAGGATTTAAGTAGCATGTTCGTGGGCCTTTGGCTCATTCTCGCTGACCACCACCACAGGGACCTCGGAGTGACGGATACAGTATCTATAATGTTTGTGGTGATCGTTGGTGGTTTACTTTTGCACATGGAAACCATGAACTTTACTTACTGGCTAACGCTTCCCATCAACCAATTGGACACTAGGCCTCTTCCATGGGTACCGAGAATTACGAAACGTGGCGACCACTTCTGGACCTTTAAACAGATCAAAGGACCGGGACTTCCAACGTCAACGTCGACTTGAGTAGTGATTTCCTGAGCACGAAAATGTCGTTTAGTGTCGCAATACTCCAATGGCAATATTGCCGAAAGTGCATTCTCCACCTTGTTGTTTTTTTGGAGTGCTTCCTTCAATGTCGACGCCCACTGTTCGGCAAACTTGGCAGCTTCAGCAATTTCGGCCTAGAATGGTAGCGATAAGTTTATGTACTCTGATCGTGAATTCAAGCACACACTTCTTGTCCAGTGTTGGCGGAAGGCATAAAGATCGAATCCGTATCGATGTTGGGCTCTGCATCTGGTACACAATACAAGATGACGACTTCATCTCCGTTCTGTAGAAGCTCTTTTGAAGACCATTCTGCGAAAATGCAAATATTGATAATTGTAAGCTCAAGGGGTGCGAGAATTGATGATTGTTGTAAGCTCCAAGTGGATGCCTTCCCGTTCAAAAGCATTGCAGTAATACCTAGAGCACTAACACTAGCCTTGCTGAAGTCTGTTGCTAACAAAACTCGTCTTGTTCCAGTCATGGTTTTATGTGTGTGGAGGAATCTGTTTGACAGGTGACTACGAGTTAGTTGCGATATACAGTACTCCAACTATGTTTGCAAGCTTGTAAGCAAATAATTATACCTTTTGATAGTGATTTAAGCGATGGTCCTTTTGAGAATTTGTGGGAAGTGCAGAGATCACTGGCTGAGTCACACAATGCTATGACTCAAGACAAGGAACGGCGAAACGCGAAACTGATTTGCGAAACTCACGTCTAACGCTTCAAATGAAACTGAATCTCATGTCTATGTATATAAAGATTTTCTAAGTGTCACAGTCTACTTGGAATCGTTGTCAAGGTGACAGACGGTGATTTGTCCATACATTATTTTCTAGTCGATACTCTATTCGATCATGGAGTCTACTCGGTCGGCCTGATTTCCGAAACATGGATAAAAATGGGTGCGTTTAATACGAAGAGTTTCAAGTAAAACCAAAAAACCACGACACACGTCGGCATACCTTGCCAAAACTCGATTACTTCAGGTTTGACTCTAAAACCACCCCAGAAAGGCGGCTTAGGTATGGCATCAGCATGTGCATATTCATGCTCTAGCCTTTTATATTCTTCTTCCAGCGGCTTGCGACTAGGCAACACCGATGACTGATGGGATGCCCAAGCTCCCAAACGTGATCCTTTTGGCCTTGAGTTGTAATACTCTGTTGACTCTTCTTCAGACACCTTTTCAGCCACTCCCTCAATCCGTACAGATCGTTGTCCCCACCAGAAATTGAGACCAACATGAGGATTTGCTTTGATCTGGGAAGCTAGTGTGTAAGAAAAGGCACTTTAGACAAGTTGCATACGATGCTGCTACAACAAGTCACAAGTCGAGTGCGATGCAACTGTGAGCTGCGATGCGATCTTGTTTCAACGGAACTGACGTCCAACAATACGAATGACGTGTAACATCAAAAGAGCCCTCCTTCAACTTAACAATCAGGTCAGATCATACCTTTACGAGATTCGTAGTTGGTATAGAAGACAAATCCTCGTTCATCGTAATCCTTCATCAAGACAACACGGGATGACACACGATTGTCGACTGATGTTGCCAAGACCATCGCATTGACTTCTCGATCCGGCGGATTCGAATCTTTTGCTTCTTCAAACCACGTTTGAAAGAGCTTCCATGGATTGGGGTCGACTCCTTGCTCCTCGACTAGCACATTTTGTGAGTAATTCACGCGCATGTTGGCAACATCGGGCTTCTTTATGACTTTGGGTATATAAGCTTCAGTGGACATTGTCTTCGTGGCAGTATATTGTAAGGCAGGAGTAGAAGCCCTTAGTCTTTGGATCCGGAAAATCATTCACAAGTTGCAGAGTTGTTTTTTGTAAGAGTGTGAAAGCACTGACACGCATCGGCCTTCAAAATTTTAGATCACGAGCTCCAACGTGGCTAGGAAGGTTTTCTTTCCATTGAGAGGTCACTCCTCGGCCTGTATACTTGCTTTTGGCTCGACATCAAGGTGTGAAAGTCAACTCATGGTTTTCACTTCGATCTGAGTGTACCAACAATTAACTCGTTGTTGAATTCTTTGACTATTTTAAGAATCATACAATGCCTTATCTCTACATTTTCATCGTGATTGCTGCCAATGCTATTCAATCAACATTGGCTTCATCAGGGGACAGGGACTCGCTATATTTAAACTGTCTACAGCGAATGGCTCGTACTAGATGTAGCTCAACATCACAACCAGAGACCTTGTCATTTTTCCTGGAGCTCTTGAGATGGAGCTGCCACGACAACATCAAATACGAATGTATGCACGCTATAACAGATTATCGTATAAAAGACGGCCAAAAAGTCCTCCAGTATTATGGAAAATGGCCATTCACTCGCTTCATGGGAATGCAGGAACCAGCATCCGTGCTATTCTCTCTCATCCATCTGTATACGTGTTGGATTGGATTTAGGAATTGTAGAGAACGAATCCGATCTAGATTCCCTCTGAAACGTGCCTATTTATTTTGTACTATTGCAGGAATGCACGCTTGGCTGTGGTCGGCCCTTTTTCACGCTAGAGATAGACCATGGACTGAAAAAGGAGACTACTTTGCAGGAGCCTTCTCCATTATAGTCAACACTGTAGTTTGTATTGCACGTGTCTTTGACTTGTCTACAACGGGATTCGGAATATTGCTAGCTGTATCTATACTGTATTTTGTCTTTCACGTACTGTATTTAACGTCAGGCCCATTTGATTATGGGTATAATGTCGCCTCCATGGCTATTTGGGGTATCATAGGTTGTATGACGTGGCTAGGATGGTATTGGAGACACTATAAACGATATTATGCTTGGAGAGCCGGTGTCGTCGCTATAGGGTTGCCTCTTTGTATGTCGTTGGAGGTGTGGGATTTTCCACCTTGGAAGGGAGTGTTGGACGCGCACGCCATTTGGCATGGAATAACGTGGCCGTTTGGATTGTTGCTATATGAATTCTTCATTGTGGATGCGAATTATGAGTCGACGATGCTCCGAAACGACTGAATATATTTAAGCACGTGTATATAAGCATCTTTTCAGCACATTACAATTGTAAGGGAACGAAACAGCAGGTACATATTTTTAAGAGCCTTACGATTTGTGCTCCATTTATGGTGAGATGCGACGACTGAAATACACTTATAACACGTGTAAACAAAACCTTACATATCTGTAGCACAATACACTAGCAAAGAGACCGAAACAGCAGTCGCCTATTCTTAAGAGCCATGTCTTACGATTTGGGCTCCATTTATGGTAAGCATACGAGTACTTTTTCAAAGCACAAACTCGATTTTTGAGTGCCTTGACAAAACATCGGATGTTTGTTTCTGTTTTGCATTGTAGAGACTTTGTATTTACCACTTGATCATATAGGCGGTGGTGCCGATGTTGCCTCCAGACTCCACTCGTATCAGGAAATGCGTCTTAACGAGAAGACATCGGCAATGGTTGTGAAACCGTCACAGTTTCCAGCTTCAAGGCCATTACAGAAGTTTGTACTTCCAGTAGATGACATCGTACGTGAGCCTCTGCCACCATTTGAGGCTTGGAGTACGTTACGCGATGCCGACAGGTAAGCATATCTCTCCTTTTATTGGTCTTGAAATGTTGACGATGGATCGAACACAACTACCCGAGGAGACATATGTGTATTTCACTGACAATCTCAATTTAATTGTAGAGCTCGATTGATTGGACGATTCTCAGCTACCTTCATTTATAATATTGGTGATTCCAGGTAAAAAGAACGATGAGCTGTCCTTTGATCTTGAATTCTCAGGTACAATTCACAACAGATTTGCAAAACGTGCCACTCCATACCTGGTTTTCGCATACCTGTCAGGGTTTGCACTCTTCGGAAGCTGGTATGCCTTGGCTACGTTTCAGGCGCACCGAAATCGAATCGAACAAGACAAGGGGCGAATTTCTGTGGATGAACTCTTCAAAACATCATGAGGGTACCAGTGGCTAGGTGTTGGATTGTATAGTGGTAGTATAATCATTGTTGTTAAAATCTAGTTTTTTCTTTTCTTTAAACAAGGAATTATATCTTTGGGAATATGCGGCCATTCATTTGATCCAAGTCGTGCGAGACAATGTCGAATGCTGCACGCATTGGTGTTATGGAGATTTGCTTGTTGAGGACTGCCCACAGGTCAGTTCCCTCTGGTATTTCTGTGTTTGGCATTTTAGGACGGAATCTGGATTTACAACAGTGTGAATCTCAAATGGAATACAAAATTTGTTTTAATGCGATTCCCTTCTCTGTAATACCTGAACTTTGTTTTGCCATCCTTTTCATCAACGTGTTCCTCAAAGACACCACCAAAGTTATTCCTGTGAATTGTCGTAAAGTGTATGAGAGGAACAGGACCGTCTGGAATCACAGGAATATTCACATTGTATCTAATTTCCAACAGTCATTGGTGAGTTGGAAGGTTCATCAGAATATACAAGTGGCGACTCACAGTTCAGCATGATCCTCAGGCCAATTCTCCCATAGGTTTTTTATAACGTGAACAGCTTGGTTACAAGCTCGGTTGACGTTTGCCTGGTTTTTGGTATCATCAAAAGAAAAGAATGCGAATGACAGGGCAATGGATTTCTTGCCGAGCAGAGCACCTATCGTGAAAGTCCCATCAGTTTTTCCTTGATTTTGGCATCACCCTGAAAGGCAAAAGATACCTTCTATGGCAGCTCCTATAGTTCCGGATGACAATGTGGAGTAATTGGACGCGTTTCTTCCAAAGTTTGGCCCGCTGATGACGAGGTCAATATCGTCGATATTGAATACATTATGGAGCCCTATGTTGACACACGCACTAGGTGTCGCGTCCAAGAGTGTCCAAACCTGTTCATCGTCTTCAGAGGCAGGTTTTGCGTTTGTGACTAGACCTGTTCGACGGTCAAAGTACGATAGAGTAATCTGGAAAAATGAGTAGTGATGAGAAAATGTTGCAGTTATGAGATACAAATTCATGGGCTGACCTCATTAGAAAGCAGAAACCCTTTGCCAATCCAAGACCGTTGAGAATTTGGAATGGCGACTCTGGTTTAAGAATGCTTGTCATGTTAGCAAGGTAAATGATTCCACGCTTCCTGGCAACGTACTTGAAATTCCAACCAAGCGTTGTTTTCAAAGTGTCGACAAATGTTTCCAGGAATGGCGATGCAGCAGATGGAGGGCCGTCATCATTTGAAATTAGGACATTTACTGTACGTTTAGCCATTATTTGCTTGATGCTGGCTCGATTCACGAGGCCCAAAAGTCTAGACACTGAGAGGAATGAAGAGTTCAGACGAAGATTTTCAACAAAAGTCTGCAAGCCGATCATTAATCAACCGATTCATGGGCTGAATATTGAAATGCAAACATGGAGTGAACGTCATTGCGTCCAAAAAGCAAGAAACTTGTATCGGTCGCTGTGATTCAGCAAAACCACTGCATGCCATCACAGCCAGCCATGAATTCAGGGCAATTCCAATAAGCGACTAAGGGCTCATCGTCGCCAAAAACCGTTGTCCATGCTTTACCTTTGTCTTTGTGTGTTCAAGTCCGGTGGTGAGTGCCGCTTTGGAGATTCACGTATCTCTAGCTCGACGGGCGATCGTATTGCAGCTGTCTTCCTTGTTTCGTCGGTGGGTAGGCTCGCATGTGGTTTTGAGCGAGTTGTGAGGAGTCGAAAATACTTGAAGACGATGTTGAAACAGGTTGCTAACAAGTTCAAAGGATACAAGACGCGTAATTTAATTGTGATCATGCTTCTATGGCCTTTATACCCCCAAATTCGAGGTTTCTGAAATCTACTTGACACGCCAGAAAATTTTCAACATCCAAATACAAAAATCGAAACAAAGATGTCTGCCAACAAGTACAAAGTCGGTACGTTCATTGTTACTGGATGCATCCTATCCATACGTTGGCGCTAGTCCTGTCTTGTTTTCTTTATGTACATCCACCATCGTCTTTTTTTAACAATTTTTCTTTCTTGACATTTTAGCTGATATTACTCTGGCCGACTTTGGTAATGCATCAAGCAGCATGCATTTGAATTTTACGTTTATTTGTTTACATCTCATCAGTCGATGAAAGCCTCTTCATCTTTTAAAAATATCTGCACATCAATCCAGGTCGAAAGGAGATTGAAATCGCCGAAAATGAAATGCCTGGATTGATGTCGCTCCGTTCTAAATACGGTCCAGCTCAACCATTGAAGGGTGCACGTATCGCTGGCTGTTTACATATGACTATTCAAACTGCCGTCCTCATCGAAACTCTCACTGCCTTGGGTGCCGATGTGACTTGGTCTTCTTGCAACATCTTCTCCACTCAGGACCACGCTGCTGCTGCCATCGCTGCTACCGGTGTCCCTGTCTACGCTTGGAAGGGTGAAACCGATGAGGAATACCTCTGGTGTATGGAACAAACCATCTTTGCCTTCAAGGATGGTCAACCACTCAACCTGATTCTCGACGACGGTGGTGATTTGACTGGATTGGTCCACGAAAAATACCCTCAACTACTAGCTGGTAAGCGGCCGCTTACGTGGACTTCGAATTTCATATATGCGCCAGTGCCACCAAAATACCATGAAATGCCTTTGCATCAACCATCAACCGTTACTTCAATATACAATCATTCATTCACTCAATGACTCGCTAACACACTTACTTTTCCCATCATAGGAATCAGGGGTGTATCTGAAGAAACCACCACTGGTGTCCACGGTCTTTACAAAATGCTCAAGGAAGGCAAACTCAAAATCCCCGCCATCAACGTAAATGACTCGGTGACCAAATCCAAGTTTGATAACTTGTATGGTTGTCGTGAATCTCTCATCGATGGTATCAAACGTGCTACTGACGTGATGATTGCTGGCAAGGTCTCGGTCGTAGCTGGTTATGGTGATGTAGGAAAAGGTTGTGCCTTTGCTCTAAAGGGTATGGGCTCTCGAGTCATCGTCACCGAAATCGATCCAATCAATGCTCTACAAGCTGCCATGGAAGGCTTTGAAGTCACCACCATGGAAGATGCCGTCGCCGAAGGAAACATCTTTGTCACTACTACAGGTTGTCGTGATATCATCTTGGGTGAACACTTCTCTGCCATGAAGGATGATGCCATCGTGTGCAACATTGGTCACTTTGATATCGAAGTCGATGTTGCATGGCTTAAGAAGAATGCCGTAAAGCGAGTCAACATTAAGCCACAAGTAGATAGGTACGAAATGGCTTCAGGTCGTCACGTCATACTTCTGGCTGAAGGTCGTCTTGGTATGTTGTGTTACATGATGTTTGATTATTTCGACTGATGACATTTTTATTGACTTCTAACTGTCCCAACTATCAATCACACTCTATAGTCAACTTGGGCTGTGCCACTGGTCACCCATCGTTTGTCATGAGTAACTCCTTCACCAACCAAACCCTTGCTCAAATCGCACTCTGGACTGACACAAAGTCATACCCATTGGGTGTCCATTTGTTGCCCAAGAAGGTAAGTGTTGATATTCATTGAAGATTGACTTTTGGTTTTGGGAAGCAGTAACGGATGATGGGTGTTGTGATTTTTGATGCAAGTCTTACTTTCCTCCAATTCTCATTATTGTTATCGATATAGCTCGATGAGGAAGTGGCTGCTGCCCACCTCGATAAATTAGGCGTAAAACTCAGCAAACTATCACCCAAGCAACTTGAATACCTTGGTGTCAACATCGAAGGTCCCTTCAAGCCAGACCACTATAGGTACTGAGCTCTGGATGATGATGGGTACCGAGCAGCTTATAGTTCTGTAGAAGCGCTCCCCGAACAGTATTATCCATAAAAATTTGAGCTTTCGAGAATATAGAGTCATGAAACATCAAACTTCTGCATTCATCGTAACATCTTCCACAGCTCAAAGACGAAGAATCAATAGGTGCAGTTGGGGGAAGGAAGCGCTGCGGGAATGAAGGAGATCAGAAAGAAAAGATATATCATCAAAGGCTGATACAGAGGGTCCCTCCAAAATAAGATAGGATAGATGATGATACTGATGCCATCGGTATGTTCCATTAAAACGGAATTGCATGAACAGGAGATCGACGAATAGATGAAACAGCGAATAGTAGAAGGAGGAAAGTGTCATCCTCGCTAGTTTCCAAAAAACGCAGCAGCAACAACGTCGATTCCTGATAGATCTTGCGGTGGATCAGATAGATATGGCCAACCGAGGTGGTGGTATGGTAGCAGGAGATCGTAGTACGTGCCGTTCTCTCGCTCGTTCCTTGTCGTATTCATCATCGTCACCATATGTTTTCTCTAGATTTTCGACCTCGACAACAGCCAGTCCAAGACAACGATGTACAGACAGTAATCCATGCAATTAAGGATGACAATCTATCTCTTAAACGGAAACTGAATGAGCAGGACGATAAGACCAAAAAGTGATTGAAAAACAAAGCAACATTCAGGCCTTCATCATTTCATTGACATTTAGACTTTGCTTTTCAGGCTGTTTACAAAGATACAACGGTTGACGGAAGAATTAAAGAGAGCTAAAGATATTCCCGGTCCACGATCGGGTAACAAACTGGTTGCTCCCCTTGCCAGTCTGCTTGTGATCTAACTATCGACAAATAACAACTAGGAGTCGCGAGTACTCGACCAGATCAGGAAACAGATGATCTCATTAATGAACTGAGATCACAAGTATCTGAATTACAGAAATCAAATTCAAACCTGAAGGGAAAGGTGTGAAGGCATTCAAGTGGTCGCCTTGGCCAAACACACATTCGATTCTTATGAAATTATTACAACGTTTAGGCCCAATATTTCAAGTCACTCCATGATGCTGATAGTAGGAAAAATGGTCTGTTTGATCATGTCTCGCCAAGAGTCAACTCTGTAAGAGAAAGCAAGATTTGAAGAACTCGTCGTTTTGATACCTCGCCTTTGCAATGCAAATCTCGTTAAGGCATGAAATTACTATAGGGAATGCAACGAAGATTGGTACCGGCTCTTGTTGTCAAGAGCCGGCCACCGCCGTAAGTAATGAAAAACGTACACTTTGCCACATCACGATCTAAAATAATTCAACGCAGTAGGAGAACGGACAACCACCAGTATGGAAATACGATCCGTGTCTGTACTATCATCGTCTCAATGTGCTTTCTGTTAGATCGAGTGCTGACTATGGCGCAATGGTGGAAGAGATTGAAAAACTGTACGTAAAATCACAATTCACTCCCCTCACGAATTAATTTAATTTCATTAACACTTCCGAAAATCTAGGGACGATATCGTCAACATGTTGCGTGAAAAAGAAATGCACATGGAGCATGAAATGGACGAGATGCGTGCTGAAAATAGATTGCTCCGTGAATCTCAGGATAGGTAGACTGCTTTACAGTACAAGACACAGCATAACGTTATACCTAATGAATTCTTTTTTGTGAAATAGCAATACAATGAGAGGCGACGTAGATCGAGTCGCATTACAACGTGAACTTACAGAAAAAGCCAAACGTATACGAGAATGGCAGACACGTTATGATCAACTTGAAGACAAGTTTCGGTCTACAAGTGATGCTCATCAAGAATCAGTTCGAGCCATGGAAGACTTGAATGCTCAAATCAAGGAAGAGAGACTGCGTAATGCTGAACTAGAACGTCTTCATCGTAAGAATGAGGCTGCTAAAGGATCTGAAGCTGAGGTCAGCTATTGTCAGAAGTTAAAGAGCCCCTACGGATTATTTGCTTACACTTGTCCCAAACATTCATACATTGATTGCAGCTGAATGAGATCATAAATGATCTCAGAGAGGAAAAGAAATTGCTTGAACAAGAGCAAGCCAGAATGCTTCAGAATGCTCTCACCTCTGGAAGAGGTGACAGTGTAGAAGTGGAGGCACTGAGAAAAAAGATTCTTTCCCTTGAGCGAGAACTTGGAGAGAAACTGAAAGAAAATGCTGATTGGGTCAACAAGTACCAGCTCATCAATGGTATGGCAGTCCCATTTTCCTACAAAAGCTAATATGAGACTCCACCAGCTGAAAATTGACTGATCTGACATCAAAATGGAATAGAGGAGCTCAAATCAACAAAGAATGCTGGACAAGATGCTAACGTACGAATGTATGATACGCAGTCACGGCTAGAAGAGCTGGAAGAGAGGTTGCGATGGTTTTCGAAAAATGGAGAGATCGACCTTGCTGATTTGGAAGAAGCATTGACCATGATTCGACTGAAACGAGAGAGAGGTCTCTCTCTAGACTTTCTCATGAATTTGGATGAGCTAGAAGATGTCAGTAACTGGTGATGTAACAAATCTTGCAAAAGGCTTTTGGTTGAACCCTCTGCCGTTTAGGACAAACGAATGCTGCAAGATTTGCGCACACAATATGCTCAATGTATACAAGAGCTGGAAAAGGCACGACGATTACTCGCTTTACAGGAAGAAATCAATCGAGATTACAAGAATGAATGTGAAGCACTGAATCGTAGAATGCAGGCTCTCAAGAACGAATATGGTGAGCTTGCAGAAATAGTCGTGTTCTTCTGAGACCAAATTGGATTAACTCTCGGCTTGAAAGAATTGAGATTGGAAGAAGATGCAAGACTGCTCGACCTGCGTGCAAACAAATTGGCTTACCTGGAAGGTCAATTGAAGAATTTGGCCCATGGGACTACAAATGGTATCAGTTTTTCCCGTTACACTTTGAGGATTTTTTCATCTCATCTGTTTTTCGCTAGTTCATACAAGCACAGGAATCGAGGCGGATGACGACGTCGTTCTCGAAAATGGTTGGTCAGCAAAACATAGCGTTCAACAAAACAGGAATTTAACACTGGCTCGTAATAGGTCAAAATCTAGTACAAATACACGTAGATGGTGCTCTGATCAGTGAAGAAGGATGGACAACTTTGCGAAAACTTGGTCTTGACTACACAGATTCTACTCAAGCTGTATTTTTCGTACATTTTGATTTCTTCAACTTTGAAACTCAAGTCTCTCCGCTCGGTCTTGGTTTACGACCTCAATTTAATCTGTCGTCTGGGTAACTGTCGGTTATATGATTGTGGAATATCCTATTTACTCAGAACGTTTGTAATAGGTTTAAAGTCTTTACCGACGATTTTTTCTTGACGTATCTCAAGAGTCATTCCATGACAATGACATTGTGTCGTGCTGTCGGTGTTGAATTTCTTCCCGTTGCATCATGGTTGGTTCAGTATTCACAGGTACCTACTCATCATCTAATTACCATCTTGGTTTTAGCTCTGTATCATTCCAAGGATTGACAGACCCCGGCCGTACTGGCAGACTGCAATACTATGCAGATCTTGTCAGCCTACATGACGGGGTAAGTTACTGGAATGTCTGAATATTGTGCAAGGCCTCCTCTGAAAGGTGCAATTTTTTAGAAAAGTGTTATTGGAAAAATTGACTACTCGCTTCGTGTGCATTTGCCAATGTCTGAAGTCATCAAGGCATTTAAGGAGAGATCTTTTGCGTTGAATTTACTGCATTCAAGTGATTTCCAAAAGTAAGATCAGGGTGTTTCTAAAATCCTGATGGAATTCTCACACAACTCAATTAGAGCACATGTCCCAGCTCAAGCAGCCGTGAATCACCTCGTGATACGCATCAACAATTGCTCGCGGCTCGTACCACCTTCTGGTTCGTCACCCGCAGTATTCGTAGTATGCTCGTTGTACGGACAACAGAATGTAGTCACGGAGACCATTCGTAGTACAACTCATCCTCTTTTCAACTTTGTCAAAACGGTGCCAATTCCAGTCACTCATGATGTGGACCGGTACTTGCGAACTACCAATGTGAGTCTTTTGAATAAACATTTTACGATATTTAACAGTTTATGGAAATGTAGTTGGAATTCCTCGTATTGGACGAAAACGAAACACATGGTGATTACGTGTATGGTGTTGCCAAGATTCCATTGCTTGGTTTGGCTGTCAACGAATCGATCGAGGGAGAATTTGAACTCTTGGTAAGTGAAGTTCACTACGTGAACCTGAGCAATCTGATGATACTGGAATGTTCACAAATAGGGTCAATTTGTTGGGGATGGTGCCAAAATACGTGTTTCAATAGAATGGGAACGGCCATATCGACTAGATGATCCCAAGGTACAAAAATTGGGTTTCAAATTATCTCAAGTTAAATTCTCAATTCATAATTCTCTTGTCAAGGTCGTTTCACTGTTCGACGCTAGGTCTACTATGGCTGAAATCAAACAAGACGTAACTCCAAATTCGTCAAGCAAAGGGGTTACAGGATCTAAATCTAGTTTGGCACACAACAATCAAGGGGAGCCCTTCAACTCTGTGAAAAGTACAACAAACCACTTAAAATCGTCTGAAATACCCATGTATGACATGACAGTCTGTCTCATTTTATGTTTTTATCGGATTGATTTACCATTCGTCTGTAGAGTCAAGCCACAATCGGTGCAAACTCTGGAGGAAGTTGTCTCGCCGATAAAATCCGCGACACCAGCTCATGACCGATCTCCCACGTTTACAACGCTACCATCCAGTCAGCTGGAAAAGGCAGCGTCCAGTCATTCGACTCATCACAGTGTAGCACACTTGAGTAATAGCAGCCATAATTATGTCGCCGAATTAGTCAAACCAGTCGTCTCAGAGCAACAGCCGAAAAGTCTGATAGACCAACCCAAAGAGAAGTCGATAAATAGACTTGATGGAAGAGCCAGTAGTCATGAGAGAACACCGTCACCGTCAACTCATATATCAGACACAGTGCAGTTGGCTTCTTTTGATCACCCACGAGAAGCCTCTGCAACCAACACAAAGCACTCAACCACCGAAATAAAACACTCATCACGTAATCTAGATAAACTTACCAGTGATTCTCGAGAATCTTTACGGTCACGGCAGGCTCTCGCTGCAGCATTACCACAAGTAGAGACGTTACGTCAACTACACCACCATCGTCCTGGCTCGGCACACAGCTTGTCAGAGTCGGAGACCACTCCAACCCAGCGAGATGTAAGAGAGGACAGTGAACTCCGCACGACAGAATCTCCTATAAAATCTCGTATGAATCGATATGATAGTGAATCAAGCACCGCAGAGTCTCCTATTACGTCTCGTATCGATCGACAGGATAGTGATCTCAACACAACGGAATCTCCTATGACATCTCGCATGAATCGACAAGACAGTGAATTCAGCACGACGGAATCTCCTATAAAGTCTCGTATGAATCGACAAGACAGTGAACTCAGCACGACAGGAACACCTATCAAAGCTCGCATTATTAGACAAGACTCTGAATACTCTACCACTTCTCCGGTCAAAGCTGGCGATTCTAGACAGAGCAGCATTTATAGACAGGGTCCCCACAGCGCTGATGAGGCACTCGAGCGAAATCAATTTGGTGGTATTGACGCCTCAGAGTCTGAATACGAAACGGATGGCCAAAAGTCTCGACCATTGTACACAGCATCTGATGCAGAAGGCAGCGAAGCAGCTGCTCCACCCTACCGAAATCTCGCCCGTTATAAATCAGAGTCGTCGTCGCCTTCCGTATCCATGTCTGAGGGAGAAGCAGTAGGATTGCAATCACAATCACAACAAAGGGCTTCGCTGCTCTCTCGTTACGTCTCAGAGACAGACGAAGAAGAGGAAGATCCATATCCTGGTATGCGTACTATGGATGAAGATGATGACGATGACTATGACGATGAAACCGACGATGACGACATAGAGCCAGTGTTGAAAGTCAATGAGCAGGATGATGACGAGGAGGATGTGAGTCCCTGAGTCTTGCACGGTTTCACAACTCAACTGTCGAGTCGATTATGGAGTGCAGTGATGAATGCTGACCTATTTCTTAATAGGATAACTTGTCTCTTGAAGAAGGAGACCAGCGGAACGATACTAAATCGTTGCCACCGCTACCAAAAACGTCGTCGAAGCCAACCCTTATCACAACTCCTACTCCACTGGAAAATGGTGTGACTATATCAATAGGAGGCATTCGCTTCGACACAGAGTCTGAGGAAGCTATGGAGTTGCTCAAGAGTGTGAAACAAGTGTTTGTAGGGTTTGAGTTCTTGGATGCAGCGCCAGAGGAGTTAGAAACCCATTCGGTCTCTATGGTATTCGACAAAGGAATTCCTCGGGACGTCATCTTCTCGTTTGCCAAATGTAAGTACCTTTAAAACAATACTGCCTTCAAATCCGTAGTACGTACTTACAACTTTCGTTTTAAACCTGTATTAGTCTTCGATATGGACGCCAAGAAACAGGCAAAGGACAGATCAACGCTCTCAAAACTGATAAAATCCCGAAATCCATACATTACATTTTGTGTGGTCAGTGAACCACCCGAGAACGGTACTCAAGACGAAGAATGTGTTGATTTGGCTACTGCTAGACTTGATTTACGTGATGCCAGACGAGAGGATATGATTGAAACGGGACTACAACTGTTCAATATGGAAGGAGACGTGCAATTGGGTGAACTTGTAATAAGTGTAACAGGGCATTCAGTGTTGGATGAGCTATGTATGTAACATTGTAATTATTTTAATGACAAATAGTTGTATCATACTACAAGGTGGTGAATGCGAATCTATACAAAAATGTTGCTGAGGCGCTAAAGGAGATGGATGATATAGCCAGGGTTTGACAGATCTAAAAAGAAATATCGGGTCAGCTCGGAGACCAAATTCTACTTGAGATGTTCAACTTGGCAGACAAAGCCTTCCCCGCAACAAGACTCGCAGCCCACAAGAGGCGCAAAAAATGCCACAATTCATGTTGCCCTCCGTTGCACAGAAATAAACCAATCAAGATGGTAAAACCTCGGCTTAATAGAAGGGCGTAGTTTCACTTTTGACTCTAGTATGCTTGTTCGTTCCTTACCAAGGCTTCAAGACCGTTCAAGCCAGTAGCCTTAATCCATCGCTAGTGACCATATTCACAGCACCACCATCGATACTGGTACTGACAGTGTCTTCTATGCTGGCACTGTTGTTGTTTACGCCAAACAGACCCTTGAACAATTCCCTGGTCTTTTCAACAGTCCATGATCCTCTTGGCTCTGGTGGCATAAATCCAACTAGCTTGTCGTGTACGTGTGTTCTTATTTTACGGCCTTTGGATGCTCGAGTATCGACCTTTTTTTTGCGGCGTTGTAGTAACTGTAGTTGTTTAAAGTCGGCCCATTTTGATGACGCTGCAAGTGGATCATCTAAAAGAATTGAAACGTTAGCTTGTGTAGCGATTCCTATAGTTGAGTCGAGGATCTTCCTTGCAACATCTGCCTTTTTTGTGGGGAAAAAAATGAACATCCGCAAAACGTGTTGTACTTGCCTGCATCAGCAATACGAGTTTCAACCAATTCTCTCAACTGTTGTTGATAAAAGTCACCATCATCAAAGATTTCGACATCATACAGTTCGTCCTGGGCATCAGCAGCATCTGATTTCTCATCACCAGCAACATTGACATTACGTTTCCGTTTACCAAGCACATCACCACCAGAACGTCGCAATCGAGTTCTCTTCAAGACCCGATCTCGATCAGCTAGTACAGCCTTGATTTGAGCAGATGCAGAAGCGTTGATGGCCTTGAATGCTTTGCCAGATGTGGTTGCCAATTGAGCTGATGATATTTTTGAGCTCCACTTGTCTAGAGTCGCGTCACGGTATTGTTGGAAGGATGCGTCTAGACCTGTGATGGTTTGATGTAGCGAGTCTATGTCGGTGGCGTCGGTCGTATCAGGGAGGACGACATTGTCGATATCTGCGAGCAGGTCCTAAATAGGTGTAATTTGATGTGAAAATCCAAGCGACAACGCATATGCTGGCGGATACTTCCGAGGGGGTTTTGCTTCAGTGGATTGACTTACACGACGAAGGGCGACTAGACTACCAAGCAATTCAACTAGACTATCGCAAGTCCTTTCTTGCGCTGATTTTAAGTCGGGATGATTGACAAAATCAGGCATATCAGTCGAGCAAGGGAGTAGATTCACAAGAGCGATGCCACGTTGCAATCGAATTCTAGTATCTAACAATGCATCCCACATGGCCTAAACACCAATGTGTTGTTAAAAGCGCTTCCCAAACAAGCAAAAAAGAATAGAAATACATTTATCATGACTTACACGTTGATTTCGCACATGTTGACCTTTTTCTACATCTTGTTGAGCAGCTTGAGACAAGGAAGCGACTAATTCCTTTTCGTCCTTTTCCAAACTCTTTATAGCAGTGCGTATCTTTGCATTTGAAGCCATGGCTCTCTTTTTGACTTTTTTAATGGCTTCTTGGTCACTATCATTATTTTCTTCATCAACCAACATCTCGTCATGGCCATTCACGCCGTCAGAGTCATCACTTTGAGTCTCATCGTGATTTGAATCATCATCAGATGATGCATCAGTGTCGTCTCCCGTATCACCATCATCACTGGCCTCTTCTACATCATCGTCTTGATGGATCATCAAACTGGCACGATCGGTTCGTTTTCCAGCATAGGCAGGCATATCGCTGATATGGACTCCCTGTACACGAGTTCTTAGAGCACCACGGCCGACTTTTACATAGTGCTCTCGTCCCCAATCTTCATTTTCGTGCAGTTGCGACAATAGCGAGTTCGGCTGTAGTGAATCGGGAGCTACTGATTCGGGGTCGTATTCAAACGGGGCTGGGTTGGCCAAGTCTGCTAGCTCCTCACCAAGAGTCTTGTTTTTACTCCTCTTTGCCATTGTTGAGGATGTATTGGTTGCGTAAATGTCTTTTCTTCTGATATTTGGTTTTTTGTGCAAAAAAACGAGAGTAAAGATAATAAAGAACCAATCCCCACGATCCTACAGTTAAACAGCGACGCGAAGTAATATATAACACGTTCAAGTATTTAGAGGCAAAGAATGCATCAAAGATACTAGATACACGTCAGATGTCACAATGTCGTCAAGAATGTACTCCTACACACCAGTCTCAACTAAACACGATCAGTCGATTTGGTCAAAAAGTATATTCGAATATGATCAGGCAAGGACACTGCCTACATTTTATCAGCTCCAATGATTTCGCGGAAGCTGTTGACAAACTACAATTTGGACGCACCAACGGTTTCGTTGTATGGGACTGTCAGATCAGGACCATTGTTCAAAGGAACTATTTGGAATGGATTGATTTGGATATGACTAACATAGTAGTGACCCTTGATGTGCTCCATGTTGACTGTTTGTGGGATTTCTGGGAATGTCTGATAGATTTGACGAGCCCATCGAAGAATGTTTGGATAATCATGAGTGATCTAATTCAAGAGTTGAGGTTAGTAAAGTGCACAGCAGAGTGGACATCCAGACTTCAAGTAATAATATACTGACACTACGCAAATTGGCCTTGAAGTGAGTGTGGTAGACAGGATCAAAGCGAACGATTGTAGTGAATACTATAAATTCATGTTTAGTGAGTAAAATAGGAATTTCAAATTCATTAATTCAGCAAGATATTATGAACTTACATCGTATATCAGCTTCTGTGAATTGGTTGCCGACCAACCACTGGCTTTTGGCAAGAATCTTTTCAACACGATCCAACGACTCAAAGAGCTTCGAAGCCGCACTAGCATATGCCTGCTGAGACGTAGCAAACCCACTCTTGTAAACGCCATTGTTGATATCCGAGTAAATCCATTCGTTGATTTCATCGATTTGCTTGGCCAATTCGGCAGGATAATACGTGACTCCAGGCTAAAGAGACCAAAGATGAATCACTTCAGTTTGACAAAGATATTGACTCAATTTGAGTTGAAACCTTTGAAGAGTAAGCGTCAAAGTTGCTGTTGAGCATTCTAATGATTTCTGAGCTTTCATTGTTCACAATGGTATTGAGTTTCTTGTCCCTAAATGTATATAACTGTGAATATATGGCAGTTAAAAACTCAAGACCGACCAATTCTTGAAAGTGATCTTCAAACAAATATATGGCCACTCAAAATACAAAATGGGAACGCCGAAAATGCGACTTTTGATACGACGTACCACAAGACAGGAACAGTGAAGCGACCAGAGTAAGTGGGCTCGGCCTTGAAGTAGATTTCCTTCAAGAATGTAGCATTGTTGACTGTGTCTGCGTCACAACCAGCGACCTCAGGTGAAAATTTCCAGCCATCTTTGCCCATATTCCAGCTAGTTAGAAAAGAATTTTAGTTTAAACATATGCCAGATATTGGTCCAAGTTTCCAGCCGTTCTGTGCACAGGAATACTCACTCGACCACGGTGAGACCAATGACCGATTCTAATCCCTTTAAAGCTCGCACCATATGCACACGTGCTGCCCATGGACAGGCACGTGAGATGTAGAGGTGGTATCTGTTTGCATCAGGAGTGAACTTGGCAGCAGGATCCGAGGCAATGTGATCACGAAAGGACGAGACTTGACGCCTGAATTCTCCATCTTTTGAAGCCCAGTTCAAGATGGGAGCTTTTGATCTATAGGGATATATAGCGAATGAGCCCATTGTCATTGTGAGCTTTTAAACGACTTTGATTGTGCAAGAACGGTAAAGTTGATGCAGTTCGATGCGCTCAAGTTCCTCGACGGCATTCGTACGTACTCTGTCATTGTGAATAATGGTTGAATGAATGTAGAGAATAATCTTCTTCCTATTGTGGATGAGCTAGATGTGAGCATCTGAAATTCGATCTTGGGTTGAGTTTGAAATCCGGTTGATGGTGATGACAGCCACACAGTTCCAACCGATTCCAGCGGTCCAAGTGCAGATAGATCCCTGACCTAGACAATGCTTCAAAATGCGAAAATCACGTGCAGCCCAGTAAGCTTTCCTCTGCTCTCCTCGAGACTTTCCCAAAACTCATTTCTCAAACAATCAAGCCTTACAACCAGGGACATGATATATAATGCCGAATTCATTGCCCGACGACTTGCTGAGCTCATTGCCCGACGAGCTACTTACCGGAATAGTCCTATATCTGCCTGTTCGCGAGTTGGGACGTCTACAAGAGGTAAAACTATGTCGTTTTGATTGCTGCAGATCGTCACCGACATTGTTCACTACTTGTGCTAACACTCCACAATTATAGTGCTCTCGTCATTTATCGGAAGTCTGCAGAGATGAACTCAACCTGAAAACTATCATTGAGCGCAGATTCGGCCAAGTAATGAATATTCAACATTTTGATAACATGAAGCTTTATACTGACATACTGCAACATTAGAATGCCATTGCTCAAGACAACACTCTAGACTTGTGGCAGCTATTTCGAGCCTTGGATGATGCGACTTACTACTTGACAGTGGATCAATTCTCAATTGCTTGGCTCGACAACGCACAAAGTCAATATTGGATTAGGGTCCAAGATCCTACATCTTATGCCGCGACTACCAGCAAACCTGTGGCTTCATTACGAAGCGTTTGCTGGCTGCACGTCTCTGGAGTCTTCAAGGGTGTTCCCACAGGACGCTATAACGTGGTATTTAGGTACACTATGACTCTATGGTTTCAGATCGTAATATATGCTCATTCCATGCTGTTCTCATTCGCAGGATCAAAACATCAGGAAACGTGAATGCTCTCGGTGGAACTACACTGGCTTGCTTTCCTGCAACTATGCCGGAAGAAGACCGCGCGACTCTGGCACCCGTGTTAACTCTGACAAGCGAGGACTTTCGAGCCTGTTCACAGTGGACTGATGTCTCTGTTGGAGTTGTGCAAATTGAAGAGCTGTATGGAGCCATCGCCTTTGAAATGAAGAATTTATCACCGTTCTGGAAGTATGTGGGTGTATGATGAAAATTCAAGTGTCATTGCTAATTCAAACGTTAATCAAGGATGGGATTGTTTTTGGATTGTATTCGTCTAGTCTCGGTTGACCATACTGCAGAAACTCAAGTAGATGAGGAGGAGGAAGAGGAAGATCTTACGAGCTCCAGATGCAATATCATGTAAAGCTAGAGATTGTGAGAATCTATGGGGGCTCGAAACGCAGCATTATGTAGAATCTCTGGCTAGAATCTATGCTATGTATTATATCAAATTGTAGCAAATATGTATTTACACTCTCTGCAATCCAGAACTTTGAATTAGAAAGGAAGATCTGGCTTTTCAGACTCTCTTTGCTTTCGACGTTCCTATGATGAAGATGGATGAGTATGGGTGTTTCAAACAAGCCTACGTCAAATCAAGACAAAACCATGCAAGATTACCTGTTCGAATGCCTTTATCTTGTCGGGCATCTTTCTCATATTCTCTGAAATCTTCTTCTCTCTAAGTAACAGATGAATGGCGTGTTGAGTGTTAGGTGTTCATCATAGCATCCAGCAGGATCAAGCATGCCAAGAAACATAAAATCCACATGTGATTCATCAACCATTTACCTTGCGAATGAGTTTAGTATGGAGGAATTTCCTCTCTGTTGGGCCAGATTCGCAACAGGAGTGGATGATGCCTGGACTGGGAAGTGTTGAAAGTGTTTGATTGGATCCAGGCCAGCGAGGATTGCGGTATTGTACATGTCCTGCTGGGTGGTATAGGACAGTTGGATGGTCTTTCGCCAAGGCAAGTACGAGTTGAGATCCACAGGTCTCGTCCTTGGTTTGTAGGCAGTAGCTTTGGGAATCTTGTCGATGAGGGCCAGTGTCCTATCACTAGGAGGAGTCTTTGGGAATCGCATATACCTCATCGTGGATGTACAAGTAGCTGCCAAGTAGGAATATAGCGAAAGATAATGTTTTCTTTTTTGCTGCAGCTCAGCAGCTCAGAAGCAGCAGCCTCCTTACAATCAGCACAAAACGAGACTTGGTCCGAGTATCTAACTTAGAACTTGTTTACAACGCGTGGGAACTCATCTTATACGCGTCTCACAGGACAATGATCAAGCTCATCGCTCATTTCCATTCTACACACAAGCCCCCATCTTTTCGACATTAGAAAGAGCTCCTTGTCCAGCTTCAGTCGATAACCAGATGATATGATATGCTCAACGTCCTGATACGATCTCTGCAACTGCTGGAACGAGACTTGACAAAGCTCTTGGGTCGAAACAATGGCCCCTTTAAACTGCCAACTGCAGCTCGTGCTAGGTCTGTACTCTCATCATGCAAACGCTCAATCATCATGTCAGCCGTCCACACGGCTGTGCGCCCTACCCTTCCTCCATCAAGCAGTAAGCTTGCTTGTCGTGAAAGCTTGATCTCGACACAAAAATTAACATTTCGATCTCATCCTAGACACTACCACCACTGCTATAACGGCACCTTCTCCATCATCATTACACGGCCTAGATGCCGTTAGAGCTTGGGAACTGGCATCCGATGTCTTGTCTCTCGATGACTCCATAACCAACCTAGCCAACCTCGTATCCGAGCCCCGTAGTCGTCAGTATCTAGATCGAGATCATTTCAATCTCGTCCTCGCAAAGCTAGTCCATCTGAGGCCTGAATCATACCAGACTTACTTGGATCAACTGGCTCGCTTGATGAGGGCTTGTGGATATCAACCCGATCTAGACATATATAATGCTAGTATTCGCTTGAGCAGGCAATCTTATAGAAACTGGCCTGATGTACAGCAGAGTCTGCAGGAGTTGCATCGGCGTGGAATGCAACCCAATGCTGAAACTTATAGGGCCTTTCTCCAAAACCTCGCAAAGGGTCGCAACACTCAGGCATGTCTTGAGCTCGTAAAACTGGCACAACCAAGTGGTGACACCCCCACAGATCCTATATTTGACGAACAGGATCACTCCCGTGTATTTCATGCCTTTATCAAAAACCATAATCTCGTAGGTGCTGAATCATATCTAGAACACATACGCAAGCATGCAACTCCAACCCACTATCAAATACTATTAAGTCATCTAGGAACTCATGGTGATGCTGCCCGCTTCACTCGTATATACACGCTATTCATCGAGACAGGTCATACGCTAGATACCCTTATATTGTCGTATGTCGTAAAGCTAGAGTTTAAACTTCTTGGTCCGAGACAAGTTCTGGAGATGCTTGAAAATCTAGAAGCCAGATATGGACTCAAACCAGATGAACGCATCTATCAAGCAGTCATTAAGGGACTAGGAAAAAGTAAATCGGCTCATGAAGCACTCACTGTATGGGAACACATGACGAAATCCGATATTAAATCACCGTCTGCTACACTATATGTCGAACTGATTGTCACATTGGTTGAAAATGCTTTGCTCCTTCACGCCATGAAGTTTGTATACCTGCTTTCCACAAACCATGTAATACTGGATCTTGCCCAATATCATCGCCTCATGGCCGTTTTCTTTAAAGCTGGAGATCCATCCTCGGCTCTCGAAGTTTGGAAGGACTTGTCTATTCACCATCAATCTACACCCGTAACTTATGCTACCGTCATTTATGGATATTGTAGATGTGGCATGTTTGAAGAAGCCAAAAAGCACTTTGAAAACACGGTCATGTTGGGTAATGTACCTACTGGTGGAATCTATAAAGCCATGGTGAGAGGATGTGAACTCACAAATCGTTGGATGGTGGGTCTGGATGTCTTGAAATACTACATAGAGTCGGATCACACTCCCGTCATCTCATCCGGAGATTATATATGGCTAGTCAAGAAAGTCGCTCTAGAAGGCAAAATAGAAGAGGCTGCCAATCTAGTATGGAAGCTGCACCAGTATTTTCACACTCGCAATCTCCCACCACCCGTGCCATACGCTTACGAGAGTATTATAGTAGCCATCCTCAAGAATGAGGAATCAGAGATTAGGAAAAGACTGAAACGGGCTAGGAACTGGATGCTGTTTGCTCTTGGGTCTGGTCATAACTTGCCAACAGACGTCATTACATTGTACATTAACAGGGCCGAACAACATGGATCAGTCATTGATATATTCGCATTAGACGATAAAGTGCTTCACCATCCCAATCAAGTTTGGAAGGATGCTGCCGAACAGAGGCTGATATACCATAAACTGTTAAGTTTTGCCTGCGGAAGGAGTGCAAGACGAGTAGATAAAATCGTAGAAGACATGAAACAAAAGGACATTCCATATACCGTGGATATGGTCATGCTTTTAGTAGGACACTATTGTCGGTTTGGTAGACTGGATTTGGCAAAGCAGGTGTGGGAGTATCGGCTCTCTCTTTTATACAAACCTAAAGAACAGACTGAAGCAGAGGACTCCGATGTATCTGGTCTAGATGGTAAATCAGTCCGCTGTCTCTTGCATGCAGCTCGTATGCGCAAGGATGCTGAGCTGGCTCGCTTTGTATGGGAGTCTGCGCAGAAACTGGCATTAGTCAGCCAGTTTACATCTAAGCTGTCTCATGTTCGATCACATAGAAGGATTCTTGCTAGAGCTGGAGTGAAGGTTCCTGTGAATTGGGGCGAGGGGCGGACTAAATTCGAAGGTAAATTCTGACGCATAGTGTTTGTATATAGCAATACTGTCCAATAAGTTATTGCAATAGTAAATATACATATAATCAGTGTAGAACGTTGAATTGTGTAGTCGAACTCGCACTGCGCGTCGCTGATCAACGTCGAACTGAACGTGAAACTCTGGAATCTACTCTGGACTCTTAAAGCTTTGCGGATTGAGAAGCAAGTTTCGATTGCAAGGAGTAATTCCAGTCACATGAAGTCTAGATCAATAATTTCCTCGCCTCGAATTTGGCTAGAACGGATTTTGGACCAGAGTGTGTATTTAGCTTGCCCAAACTGTTTTAGGAAGAGGCTGTTGCCTTCATGTCAATGCAATACTGCTAGCACTCCCGAATATCGGTGGAGAGTGATTTTATTGGTCTCTTTCAAGAGCCGATTACAGAAAAGTACGTTGATCAACATTGTCATCAAACTTGGTTTTATCCAAACATTTCGATGAAGTGTGGGAAATTTACAAAGCTAATCATATTTACGCTTCTCATACATAGTTACTGTCTTTGGACCATGTCTAGATAAAATATTAGGATGCACTGCCACGGACTATGGAATGAACAATAAGCAACAGCATGTAGATGGTGCTAGATTGTTGCTGCCGTTACATGTTGAACTATCACCAAAACAGAAATTGACGGGATCAGCTCTGACGGCGAATAGGATCGCATCGTATCGTGTTGCTGTTAGATATGTGGAGAATGATGATGTGTGTATAACACGGTCAAACTCGCCGGCGCTATTTGTAGAGGATGACGAGCATGAAGAGCGGAGTGATGATAGTGCTAGTGTTGTAGCATCTGACGAAGAAGACGGGGGTGTTGAGTATATAGATATCAGTCTTGAAGAGTATCTGACAATGGACGAGACGACACCGTCTTCGTGTTGTAATGATGAGGTATTTGAATCGTTAGCACCACCATCGCCTAATACTCTGACGTATATGGACATGCTTGAAGATCAATTCGATCTCTTGACTCTCACGCCGAGTATGTCTGAACTTGCCACAGTGCTTGAGGGACTGTCCGTTGAAGAAGAGCAAACGATTATAGACACTCCAACATTGTAATTAATACTGCAATTATAATTATAGTGAGGTTTATTTAAAGTTAGTGAGCAAGTGAAGATATGGGGATTGACAAAGAGTTGTACATTTGTTTTAAGTTGAGCTTAAGCGAGAGACAGATTCCTCAATCTGTGACGTTGTGCTCGGAACATTCAAGTCACGGGCTTGCTGATACAGTTTTCGAGCCTTAGCAATGTCTCCCTACATTTCAAGGATGGCACCCAAACTAGAAGGAATGCCTCAAACAAGGGACAATATTAAGTAACAGTCAACAACAGCTTACTTGAAAGTAGCTACAGCCAAGCATTCTACACATTCTTTACCAGCATTTGAGGCGTCCTTGATGGCATTCTCTGCAAACCTCACTGCATCATCAATTCGACCAATAGCAACATAGGATTCAGCAAGATTGTTTTGCAAGACTGCTCTTTTGCACTTTTCAGAGGTATCTATAAGTAAGCACTTCAGGAAGACTTTTTCGCAAGACTGAAAACAGGAAGGTACAAGGTACCTATAATAGTCATTATCCGAGTATAGAGTGCTATAGCGAGTTGCGGGCGAGAAGTGGCAGCGTATAAGTTGGCCAATAAATCGAGGGATGTCGACAAGTCAGTAGAAGTTACCCAGTCAGCCAATTGAGGTTTGAAAGGAGATTTGTGATTGGTTGAGATATTGGTACCTGCCCAGCATCATTACGTTGTGGTTGTGTCGACGTTCAGATTGGGATGTGGCATCATCTTCAGGGTGCGATTCTACGAGACGCAGACATGCCTCTACACTCCACTACATGAAAATGAGGTTGTTTCGATTACTTCCACAATCACGCTGGGCTTGAATGAAACGAGCTCTCACAAGACATACAGCGTAAGCGGCTTCAGCGTCAGTCAAGTCTCCAGCAGCTTTAAATGCTCTTCCAGTACGATGAGCAGCACCGACAGCTTCAATATAATGACCACCAGCTAGATAGCCACGCCAAGCGTCACTGACTGTCTTTGCAGCAGCCTCGTAACGACCTAAGTCTTCATAGAGTTGAGCCAATTCCACCACGATTCCCAAGCACTCCTTTGAGTGCGGAGGGACATTGGCTTTTTCGGCCGAATCGAGCGCTGTTGGGATGATCGAATCAGATTCGTTGGTCAGATCAGCACCAGGCAAAAATGCGTCAGTGTAACATACCTTGGAGATAGTGGATCTAAGCCAGATTCTTCATGTCTTGTAGAATGCATGATTGATGATTGATGTTGCTGGCTCAGTCGTTGTTTGGTTCACTTCACATCTTGTCAAGTCAGTTCAGTTCAGCATTTTGGTAGTTCACCTCAACAAGACCAGCCAATAACTAGAGACTGGATCTGCTCGCTGGGAATTAGTGAATGAGTGAGTGAATACTAATGAGCTACTTGATTATTCGCTGATTTCATTGTATTGACCGACTGATTACCATTCAAAATCTGATTATCAAGACACGTTCGTAATCTCATTGCTTCTTTATTACAGTAACTGATTACCATTCAATATATGCCATGGTCGTAATCTCATCAACCACTGCCTTCTCTATACTACTGCTATTATTCTCATCAACTACTGGCTACCAAGCTACCACTACAACTAAAACTGCTACGAATTATGATTATGACATTCACGACCCTCCTGGCTATATTGACCCAAATGCTCAAGATCTGCTATTACCAGATATCACACATGAGGCATTGCACGAAATCGCTGGGCTCATAAATGTCACTTACCTTGCTACTGCTCTAGTGCAGCCCGCATCATTTCCTGCTGCCGGAATCATTCGTGGTAGTAACAATCGCCTCATGGTGAACCTTGTTTGTCGTCGCGATCGTCGCCACACTCCAGGTGAAACTACATATGATATTCTTCAGATTTTCGTCTCCGTAGATGTCTTGTATCCCATTCTCCTTGATCCATGATATTTAAATCCCAATCTTTCGTTTTAGTCAATGTAATCTTCCTGGTCGATACTGGCTGCCCACACACTTTTGTGTGCCCACAAGCAATCACAGCTCTCATGGGCAAACCATTAGACAAGTTCAACATGCCTGATGAGATCCCTATTCGAATACACTCGGAACTGACTACCCTAGCTCATCTGTCGCCACAAGATAAACATTTTGCGGATGTTAATGTGCTCGGCGCGGATTACTTGGCCTTGCATGAGGTGTCATTGTTGATGAACTGGAACCGGCGTACTTTTCAAATGACGACAGGCAAGTCTGTTGATTGTCACTAATCGTGATTCCTCTTTAACCTTTATTTGTCTAGGAAAGGAATTCGTAGAGACTGCCAGGAATGATTTGCACGATTCTCAAGTCAATCGCTTTGATGTAACGCCAGACCTGGCGTACATTATCATGATGGTCTTGATGGCCCTGGCGCTTGGGATCCTACTAGGATTCTATGCTGGTCGAAGGCAATATCGATCTTTCAAAAGCGATTGAAGGGTGAGCACAAGGATGAAGATGGACTCTTGTGAGTAGATATACTGTTTGTCTGTCGAAAGAGACGATCCAACGAGACTCATATACTTGCCATGATCTAAAGAGACTCATATACTTGCCATGATCTTAGGTATGTCGTACATTCGTTTGAAAACACATTCGGTTCTCAAGATCAGCAAGTAGAGTTCAAATTACTTTTGTTTTACTATTTATTCAATTTGTTTGTTCCTTTTGCTCAAACATCCTATCCATAAATTGATACATTGATACGCTCGGGTGAACGCGTCAACGCGCAATTTAAAGTGCGACGATATCCTCGTATGTTGTTTGTATCGCACTCTACTTCGACTTTCAAGGAACAAACAAGTACAGTGCTTGAGGGACTGTCCGTTGAAGAAGAGCAAACGATTCTAGACAATCCAACGTTTTAATACTGCAATTGAAATTATAGTGAGGTTTATTTAAAGTTAGTGGGAAAGTGCAAGATATGAGACTGACACAGAATTGTAAATCTTTTCAAGTTTGTTTTACGTTGAGGTTGAGCGAGAGAGAGATTCTTCAATCTGTGACGTTGTGCTCGGAACATTCAAGTCACGGGCTTGCTGATACAGTTTTCGAGCCTTAGCAATGTCTCCCTTCATTTCAAGGATGGCACCCAAACTAAAAGTAATAGGTCAAACCAGGGACAATATTAAGTAACAATCAACAACAGCTTACTTGAAAGTAGCTACAGCCAAGCATTCTACACATTCTTTACCAGCTTTTGAGGCGTCCTTGATGGCATTCTCTGCAAACCTCACTGCATCATCAATTCGACCAATAGCAACATAGGATTCAGCAAGATTGTTTTGCAAGACTGCTCTTTTGCACTTTTCAGAGGTATCTATAAGTAAGCACTTCAGGAAGACTTTTTCGCAAGACTGAAAACAGGAAGGTACAAGGTACCTATAATAGTCATTATCCGAGTATAGAGTGCTATAGCGAGTTGCGGGCGAGAAGTGGCAGCGTACAAGTTGGCCAGTAAATCGAGGGATGTCGACAAGTCAGTGGAAGTTGCCCAATCAGCCAATTGAGGTTTGAGAGGAGATTGTGTGATTGGTTGAGATATTGGTACCTCCGTAGCATCATTACGTTGTGGTTGTGTCGAAGATCCAGATCGGGATGTGTCATCATCTTCAGGGTGCGATTCTACGAGGCCCAGACATGCTTTTACACTCCACTACATGAAAATGAGGCTGTTTGGATTACTTCCACAATCACGCTGGGCTTGAATAAAACGAGCTCTCACAAGACATACAGCGTAAGCGGCTTCAGCGTGAGTCAAGTCTCCAGCAGCTTCAAATGCTCTTCCAGTACGATGAGCAGCACCGACAGCTTCAATATAATGACCACCAGCTAGATAGCCACGCCAAGCGTCACTGAATGTCTTTGCAGCAGCCTCGAAGCGACTTAAATCTTCATACAGTTGAGCCAATTCCACCATGATTCCCAAAAACTCCTTTGAGTGCGGAGGGACATTGGCTTTTTCGGCCGAATCGAGCGCTGTTGGAATGATCGAATCCAGATTCGTTGGTCAGATCAGCACCAGGCAAAAATGCGTCAGTGTAACATACCTTGGAGATAGTGGATCTCAGCCAGATTTTTCATGTCTTGGGGAGCGTGTTTGTGATGATATAGAGCCTGACGGAGGTGTTGTTTGACATCTAGAGGGTAATTTGAATGTGTAATGTACTTCCAATAGGCAAATCCTCCAGCACCAATGACTGCTAAAGATGCAGCAGCAATCATGAATGTGGATGGATTCAAGTCCGAGGTTGGTTGTCGGTGAGCAGTTGATGAGAATGTCTGGTGCTTGGGGCGACGAATAGCGGTTCTAAGAGTAGGCACTTGCTGCCGTAATATCCTTGCAATCATCCTGTTCTTGAGCTGGGGCAGCCTGGCGTCACAAGTGTAAGCTCTAATTTTGAATGTCAATGAGAGGAGGACATCAATGTTGGATAATATTACGTGCAATGATGATGAAATAATAAATCTGGATGAGCACTTAGTCAGGTTGCTTGCTCCAATTTGAGCAAGAAGCTTCTGATTTCGTTGGAAGTTTGGAACATACAAGGACAGACAGCGTGCTTACCGGACCTAATCGAGGTGGCTAGAAAGTTGATTTATCAAACAAGGCTTGCTACCAGCAAGGGATCTCTCCTGTTGCTATTATTTGATATTGCTTTAAACCGAGCTCGAAGTGCATCGAAAACAAGCAACAAAAAGGTATCAACCAATAAAGACAATGGCGCTTGTTGACTTTGATCCGACATGTATCAACTATCGTCACTCACTCCTGCTTCCCATCCTAGCACAGGGGCGGCGACATCAAACTGATGGAACCCTCATTCCCACTCCTCGACTTGCCTGAAGAGCTTTTGCAACGAGTCTTCCTGCTCTGTACAGACCCCAGATATCTATCCATCACCTGTAAGCGCATCCACGAAATCTCAAAGGCTCCAGTCATCCAGGCCAAGTGGTTGATCATAAACCACATAAATCCACTATATGCTGGAACTGCGTACCCCTTCGACGGCAGGACTACCGAAAGACTGCTGAACAAACCATTGAGCGTATCTCCTTCCAGACACGATATACAGAAATCCTTTCAACGTGCGCTTAGGCTGAACCGCTCTCGTCAGCTATATGTAATACTAGGTTGGGCACTAGAACGTTATAATGGAAGGTTTGACTTGAAAGCGGATGATGCTGTTACTATAGTAGATGCTGCCAAAAGAGGCCGCCTCGCTGCAGTCAAGGAAATATGTGAGACATATGGCCTCAAGGATGAGAATATCTTGATTGACGCCTTCAAGACTGCATATGTGCATTCCCACGAACCCGTATACTCGTACCTCTGGCCAAAGTCTGCCTCTGCTCAGGAAAAGGCTCTTGAGTGGTTTGCCTCTGATGGTGGTGGAGCTGGCACCACTGGACTACAACGTCTGTTAGATCAAGGCATCATAAATCCTGCTACGGAGGTCAGAGGAGAGATCTTGGAAATCGCTGCCACCTTTGCGGAATTGCCCATCATCACCATACTCCTCACCCATACTGCTACCAGTAAAAACTATACCGACTTGCAAAAAGAACGAGCTTTAACAGCAGCTGTAAGAGTGAAGTCAGAACCCGTCTCTAGGTTCCTCGTCGACAATGTAGTGAAAATGTCTCGTCGCCTCTGGTACGATTCCTGCAAATTGTGCATGGATGTCCAAGGTAAATTGACCGCCAACTTGAATAAATCGCATAGAGTTATTCTCGACGAATATTTACATCAACAATGTGTTTTCTTAGAATACGAAATCTACCAATTCTTGCTAGAAAGAGCAATAACATACAACTATTCATTCCATGATTCAACGAGCGGTGGTGGTGATTTAATAATGCTCGCTTGTGAGAACGTAGATGTAACGTTTCTGGACTCTTTATTGAATGTCGGTGTAGAGATCTCTCCTTCACATTGGAAAAGGTGTGTAGAATTGAAGAAAGTTGCTCAAGTGGAACTGATCGTACATAGCGGATGTAAGTCAAATATTCTTTCTTTTTTTCTTGTCACTCACTCATTTCTTACTGAACTGAAACCCCTCCATTTTTGATCTTAGACGACCCACGAATCGAAGATGACATTGCTCTTGAAATTTGCTCGAAAAACAACGACGAAATCACACTGGGCATTTTGTTGTCGCATAATAGCCTTATGAAGGACCCAATCAGCCACGCATATTCCCCTTCTACAGCCTTTACAGTGTTGGTCCGCCGAGCCTTTGGCTTCAGCAGTCCTGATCACGGTGCTTGGAAATTCGCTAAACTTTTGGGTGAGGTCTAGGGTATGTTGAAAACGAAGGTTATCTTCGAACTAATGGTAAATTTGTTTAGGTAAACTCTTATTGGATGCCATCGTTGCTGACCGTCTGAAAATTGCCGAATTATTACTACGTCATGGAGCTGAAGTGACTGAAGACCACATTGAACTTGTCTTCAACCACGTTGCACACACTGGAAGGTTAGTTGCACAGTTCTATTGGTTTTATTCCAAGAAACCAAAACCTTTTATTGATACAATTAGGGATGCTTTATTGACTCCAACACTCCGAAACTTTGTATATCACCGAAGATTTGAAGGTGGAAAGTAAGTGTGACTCCTTTCCTTGGCAATGTGATTTTGTATGAGTTTGGGACAATAACAAGCATCCGCTAACAAAAATCGAAGTAGAACTGTGCTTCAGGTCGCAAGACTCCAGGCGATAGTAAGGGATTCGGCTCTACAAAAATTCATGCTGCTATTCGTCGCTGCAGCAAACGCGCTTACCTCGAAAGGAGACGAGGGATATGGCGATTCAGCCCTGTTGCTGAGATTGCTTCAGCTCAGTCAAACTTTGGGTGAGGGATCATCCCCCGCACTCATTAAGGAACTAACAGAGTAAGTCTGCGGACTTAATTTAACGACATGAGCTTAACAATGCTCTCATCCCCTAGTTTCGTATCGGGAATCATTCAAGGAGTTCATTCCACGACGTTGCTCCCTACAGCAAGAGCATGATATCGGTCTGCAAAAGGCAGATGAACAAAATGCGATGTATTATTTTATTTTCTATCAAAAGCAAGAAGTTTACAAAAGTCAGAGCTGTTCATATTGAAACTGGGATTACAGGCGTTTTGCTCATTTATTATTACATTTTTCGATTGAGCTTTATTGTTTCAGAGCTTGTTCTTCTCGGCAGCGAGACTTTTGCTCAATTCCACGTTTCGTTGTTTGAACTCTGACTCGCGTTGGTGTCTACGAAAAGAAACCAGTAAGATATAGTTTGGAAATCGACGTGGACATCGTCGCACACAAAGTGCCAACTTTTCAAATTTTCCACATACATCTTTTCTTGATCCACCTTCTCTGCATCTTGTTTGAAATACAGGTGCCTCGCAGACTCATGGTCCAGTGGCTGTCCTTCAGCGAACGGCTCAAATTCAACACTATCTCCTTCATAAGCAATCAGGGCAATTCGTAACAGTATGTTTGCAGTCAGCCCAAAGACTCTATGATCACCCTCTCCGCGTATAAATGAGTGTGTCCTAGACATCTCCGTGATGGTCCCGTGTTTGTATTCATTGTCCCAGGTTTGGTGACGATCGTCCTTCAAGAAGCTTCGTAATGGGACTGAGAAGACTGTCTCGACTTCATCTGGGTTTGGTCGACATCGTTGTAAGAAGTCCGATGGTACGAGTGCTAGCACAGGAGACACTAGCAGCTATAACCAACAGCATTAGGAGACTGATCGTCATGGTTGAAGCCCAGTTAGACGTGATTTACCATATTTCTGGATACGGAAGGGTGGATCTCTTTGATAACAGTGACTTCACTGGGTGATAATCCGATTTCCTCGTGCGATTCCCTTAGCGCAGTTTCGACCAAAGATTTATCTGATTGTTCAAATCGTCCTACATATGATGTTGCCAAAGATTGTGTCAGTGAGTAAAAGAGACCCAGATGTTGGATGTTTGTGAAATGTTGAATATTTGCGAGTTTGCGATCAAACAGTCAAGCTGACGAAACAGAAGCGGAATGCAAGGAACTTACCTCCCGGAAGTGCAATCTCACCAGCATGGCTACGAAGATGCGAAGTTCGTTTGGTCAATAGTACGTGGAGCTCGTGATTTTCATCTTCAAAGAGTGCGACAAGTACAGCAGCTCTTCTGTCCCCGGTGTAGTAATGGCTTGACAAGGCGACTGGTACGTGGTCATACAGCTTCTTTATGTTGGGATTCATGTCTCTAGCTCGCTGATTGATGGTGAGCAAAACTTAAATATTCACGTTTTCGCGAAAATAGTTTAGACCGGTCGCTCACCTACCGATCTGATGTACATGTTGTATCATTTTGCAAGATAATTTATATAGAAATCGAGGATCTGAATATGCCACAGCGTTATGAAAACATCTGCCACGTCTCAGCAGCACAAAAATACACATTCTACAAGGTAGGCGATATCTAGCTGGAAATCAGTGCGTAATAATGCAGTCTAAGGCTCTGTTTGCTGAGCTTCCTGCTTGATGGTGTGTCGGAGATTCAGCTGTGTTTGAAGTGAGATTGGAATCACGTCAGTAAAACCACAACACCTCTTGACCAAACTGAACTCGACTTATACCAAGGCGTTCATAATTTCATCACAATTCAGTTCAAGCATTTCCAGTTCTCTAGCAACTTTGCTACGAAAACCAAAAACGTCAGCTGCAAGTTGATGTTCAATCCATTGGTAGATAGTGCGCGTTGACGTACACTGTAATATGATCAGGAGGCGTCACAAGAGTATCCCCAAGAGGACTCAATAGGTCCTTTGCTTCGTACGTCATCAAATCGCCGATGATGGTCTTGACATTCTAACATGGGATGTAAAACTAATTTACATGACTCTATCGGCGTAACGGGGAATAAAATCGCGTACCTCTAGAGTTTTCCGTATAAAAGTCACCTCTGCCTCAAACAGTGATGTTGGAGCGGACATGGCTTGAAACCTCGCATGTAGTTTGTCGCGATTTGGATGATTGCAACAAAAGGATTTTTTATATAAAAGTAACCACATATATACACTACACATCTATGAGTTTCTTGACAGTTTATTGATTTATTCTAAGAGAAAAAACACGTCAACTCCATTTTTCTTGAAACAATCATCAAAAACGTAATGCTTTTACCTGTTGCGTCACCGATACCATTTGCAAGGATTCCAAAGACCGCTTCTGACTCTGGGAGACAAGGAGAATCATAAATTTTGCAAATACGAGTGTCACCACGACCCTTTCGTAGATACAATCTGTAGAGGGAGGTTTGGATCAGTATCAATTACCACTCTGGCGTCAGATTAAACCTCATTTCATGCTTACCGTGTAGTAGAAGCATGAGCCATAATATTGCCTCCGATAGGTTTCTTTGGATCGGCATTGAACATGGCTGCCCCTCCATCAACTTGAGCAACGACTTGGTTTGTGATCACCACTGCAACTCCAAACTATTATTAAAGAGAAAATGTTATAAATACTGAATCAGCCACTCGATTAAAACGAATCTTTGATCATGATGGGAAACACACCTCGTCTGCGAGACGCAGCAAAGTCCGCAAAAAGCGTGCCAAGTGCATTTGACGAGCTGAGAGTTCTCCACGACCAGAAAAGTCTGTTCGATACAAGGCAGTGGCAGAGTCCACAATGAGTAATGAGAATCTACCATTGCATGGCGTGAGAATTAAGCAACAGGTCACAACCAAAAAATCAGCATATCTAAATTTGACCAATACCTCTGTTCGGCCATCATAGCAGATGCTTGGATGAGTAGATTTGTTTGATGATCTGAGTTGTATGCACGTGCATAAGCAACATTGTCGAGAACTTCTTCACCATTCATTCCGTATCTAACGTCAAAAGATTTCCGATTTAGATGACATCCGAATAATGAGACAACATTGGCAAACCTCTCTGCGCAAGCCAACAATCGTTCTGGCCTGAATGTGCCTTCCGTGTCAATGTACAAGCATTTCCCTTCACCACCGCCCATATCAATTGGTAGCTACAAATGATGAGTAAGAGTTAAGATGATGACGAATTGGGTAGACAAGAAATGTATATCAATCATAGTGCAGCAATGTTAATGCAATTAGATCGCGATGAAACTGACCTGGCAAGTGACTGCAAGAGTATGACAGATCTGAGTCTTTCCAGTTCGAAATTCGCCAAATATTTCAGTGATTCCGCCAGTTTCGATTCCACCACCACCCAGCAACTTGTCCAATTCCTTTGAACCGGTTGTGATTGTGATGATTTCACTTCGTCGTTGATGAAATTCGGTGGCAGTGGTGAATCCCATAGGAACGAGTTTCGAGGCTATGTTTCAGTTCAGACAATTAGTTTTGATCATCGTCCAGAGGTTACAATGTCTAGATTCAAGCCAGATTTGAATATTTGCATGTTTTGAAAAGCGTAGTCGTTCAGTGACTTGAAAACATACATCGACCCATGCCAATGTATAAAATACATCAGAACATGTAGAATATAAGATGATACAAAGCATGCGACATAGTCTTGCATCAGATCTGGTCTAGATCATGATACGTACCTTCAGCCAAGATCTTGTCAGCTTTTGCCTCCGAGATGCCCTTTATGGTCAACAAAGTTTTCTTGGGCGTGAAGGCTACAGCTTCAACGGTATGAAATCCAGCTTCTACTAATTTCTTGATATCCGTAGCGCTCACTCCGAATTGCTATGATAAATCAAAGAAAATGGGGAAACTTGTTATAATGATGTTTGATCCCAGTACTTGTACTAGAGAAGGACTTACCTCAAGTCTGGCCACTGGTAGAGGACCATGGACTTCCTCTCCTGCCGTATCTCCTTCTTCTCTGGCAGTAGTGGCTGACATTTTGGTTTTGATATATCTGAGGGTTTGTTTTCGATGGAGAGACCCCAAGAAGAGCAGCAAACTAGATCGCATTTTACGCGTGTCTAAAAATAGTACTAAACTTTACTTGAGGTAAATATTGTAAATATACTGGATCTGGATCTACTGGGTATCTATTTATATACAGTATCATATCCCTGATGATGTCAGATTGAATCAGATGGCTCCTGTGAAGCTAGCTCATGAGCTAGCTTGCTGGCTGCTGGGAATCAGAACAATTTCGTCTCTTAAGGCATCAGCTCGGCCTTTGTTTGAGTCAACAAATAGCAATATGGTACTCCCAATCAGAAACAGGAACATGACAAAGAAGAATGAATCTAAAGTTTGAGGTTGATCATCGTTTGCACCTAGACATAAAGCAAGACTCCTAACGCACTTACATAGCTGGTTGTGCGATGCGTTTGTAATAAAAGCACATCCCAAGGGTCCAATCCAAGACGACGATCGGTCAATGACCTGATACATCCCAAACATTTTCCCCTCTTCACCAGGAGGCACCATTGTAGAAAATAATACACGAGCAAAGCTTGCACTTGCTGCGAGGTTGAATCCAAAAAGCGAGGCAGCAATTACAAATTCTGGTATGGTGGCGATTCTCACAGGGGAGCTTGGTATCAATCCCATGACACTAATCGGTTTCATTTCAAGTAAGTCCCTAATGCCAGCACGTATGACCTCGTATCAAATGCAACCAGAAGAACTCACCCCCAAATAGGCACAACGGCTGAGAAACCAAGACAGGTCAATAACATGGTCTTTGTGTGAGCTTTTGTTCTCTTCTGGACTTGAAACCAAAACAAGGTCCCAAGGACAGCAAAACCATAAGTGAGAAGCACAATCAGGATAACGATAGCTTGATTCTTGAGCATAGACGCTGCATACAAGCCTGCGACTGCTACTGTTGTGTTCAAGCCGTCTGATAAAAAGGGACAAAGTCAGCAATACAATAGCGTCATAATGAATTCGTTAACAACGAAATACCTGCTAGGAAAAACCAACTACAGAGGACCAAAAACAGATTTTTGTTTGACCCTGCACTTCGGAATGTTTCAAAAGCTGAAAAATGTCATTCGAGCGTTAGCGGTGCCTTCAACTCAACATTTTACTATTCTGCCTTACTTCTTTTCCATGAATATACGATTGGGTTGATGTTTTTTGGAAGTGGCCTTCCACCTCTAGACTTGAAGAATCCAAGTGCAAAGTTACCGGTGATGAGCCACCACATTCCGCCGCAAAAAATACTGATCTTCAGCCTGGAAATAAGGATTAAAAGAGTTGTCAAAGAGATTGTCGGACGTCTCGATTCGATTCAACTCGAATTCGCTCACGAGAGGGTTGTGCCGTTGAGAACAAAGGTGATGACAACGGCTACGATTAGGAAGAGCATTCCTCCGACAAATGCCCACGACAGTCCGTACGATGATAAGCGATTGGCTATTTAGAGTTTCGAGAAGAACTTAGTTTGTGTATCGAGACGACTCCAACACACCACTGCAGCTCATGGAGATACCTTCTGTCTGAGCAATATTTTGAAATTCCTCCATGGGTAGGCCCGCCATTCTGGCCTTTGATACCACTCGGGAGTGTCGTGTGAGGATTGGAAGATAACTTGACAATAAAAGTCCACATATCCCATAGGAGATGCTGCCAAATAAACCATATAGAGTGCCAACCCAAAATATTTCGTTCCTGACTAGAGTGAGGAACAAGGCCATGGACAAGGCTCCGATAATAGTAAAGATGCGCAGCATTTGTTTTCGATAATTTCCATGGTCGGCAAAACTGCCAGCAGAGATGAAAACCAGAGCTGGAAAGTTTAGTAAAGTAAAGTAAGTAGTTATCTTCACAGACATTTGGATCCAAACCACTTGGCTTTCATGATGGGCTTTCATCATGGGGCAAGTCGGTTTACCTTGGAGAATAGAAATGAGGGCGGCACTGTACAAAGCATATGAAGAGGGATCAACGTATATTGAGCCCAGCTTGACGACGCAGGAGTAGTTGTCTACAGTGCTATCACAGAGGGTAACCAAGTCTGACGTTTCGACAGACACATTCAAGGCGAGTGACTGGATTAGAATAGCCACAAAGAGAGAGCCTCCCAAGCCGTATCCTTCTGCAGCCCAACCATAGGCGTACTAGTTAAAATGAGCGATTAGATGCTTGGCAACGGTACACAAACAGCAATACGGTCTTGCGGAAGCTGTGCGTACCCAGCCAAATAGTTCTCTATTAGTGATTTCCGACTGATCTAGATCGACATTTGCGTCGATTAAAGAAGAAACAGGGGAGATAGCTAAAGGCGATGGTGGTAACGAAGACACGAGCGTTGAATCTGTAGTAGTGGTGTCAGTGGTAATGGCCAGAGGGACACGATTTCGACCCATTGAAGGCAGGGCATCGAAAGAGAGCTGATCTTGCTCTCGAGGCATTTGAAAGCGCTGTGAAGTAGATGTTAGATATGAGCTGAAAGGGTCATGAAGTCGGGCTAGCTCCTGATAGAAGCATTTGACAACTTGCAAAAGGATGTTGCGACGCTTTATCGTCATGTCCTAAGACCCATTGAGTTGCACTGGGAGTTGCAAGAAAAGCACCTTAACATTTTCAATCTCAGACGACAAAACTTGCCAGGTCGAAGCTTCGAAAGCTTCAGATTCCTATAGTGTCCTTCCAAGCTTGAAGAGGATCTAGAGATTCTAACGATTGTCTTTTTGGTGCCAACCCAAAATAAACCTTGCAAGAAGTTGAAAGTGTAACAAGATGTGAACGTTAGGCCGGTACAAACAGTGTCAGTTCCGGATCAAGTATTTTAGTAATATTTAATCATTGAATTACATGATTTGACCGTGATCTAAAGTTGAAATTCCAGTTTTGAATTCCAAGCTGCACGTCATCCGTTCAGTCCATGCTTCGAACTTCACTGTATAATACTAGGAGAATGGCAAGCTCAGGCATGTATTCTAATCGGGGACCAAAGATTCACATAAAATACGACTTTAGATCCGACACTGGTAAGTCGACGGCGCTACATGGTGTTCCAGTAGCTGAAACTCACAACACGACCTCACTAGTCACCGTCCCAACTGACGCAATGAAAGCTGCCATGATCCAGGCCCCTGTAGGCGATGATGTCTTTGGCGAGGACGAATCTGTAAAGGCTCTAGAAGGTTGGCATTGGATCACATTGTGATTTCACCATTTCACACCCAATGCAACAGGGCACCACAGCTCATGTACCTGTTATTTCCTAGCGCATGTCGCAAAACTGACTGGATTTCCTTCGGCCTTGTTTGTGCCATCTGGAACAATGTCAAACCAGGCATGTTGCTGAATCTTTACTTTCGACTTATAACAAGACTCCTGAACAATAACTCGCTACACGTGTTTGCTCATCATAGATTTGTCTACGAACACACTTGTTGCAACCTCCCCATACAATTATTGCTGATTCAAGATCTCACATACTAAACTATGAAGCTGCCGGTACCGCTCTCCATTCTCAAGCTCAAGTCACTCCGGTCTCTCCATTACCAGGCTTCAACTATCTAACTGCTGCTGCTATTCAGCCACATCTCGTTGTTGATGACGACGTTCACCACGCTCCTACTCGTGTCATTGAATTGGAAAATAGTACGGTTCTCGCCTTCTTGTTGCCTTATTTCTGGCCTTCTTGTTGCTTTACCTCTAAGCACTACATCTACCAATATTAGCTCTTGGTGGTGAAGTAATGCCACTCGAAGCAATGAGAGAAATTCGGGCTTTGGCCAATAAGCACAACATCAAGGTCCATCTCGACGGAGCACGATTATGGAATGCTTGTGTCGCAAGCGGTCTTACGCTCAAGGACTATTGCTCATTATGTGACAGTGTATCGCTGTGCTTATCAAAGGGTTTGGGGTATGATGATTTCCCACATTTGATTTTCACCATCTTATCACGAACTGCATTCAAAAGTCTCACTTCGTGTTGGGCTTTGATAGCGCTCCAGTTGGGTCTGTATTGGTTGGCTCGACGCCGTTTGTGAATAAAGCACGGCACTTCAGGAAATTATTTGGGGGTGGTATGAGACAGATAGGTATTAATTGAAAGACATCTAGATGCGTATCCCAACCACCAACAGCAAGTCTTTTGATAGGTATGCTAGGAGCTGCAGGACTGTTTGCCATAGAGCATCATTGGCCTCAGATGAAGGTGACTGGAGTGCATCTAGAGTGTCAAGAGGTTTTTGCTAACTTTGATCAATACTTGCAGGGCGTCCACGAGAATGCTCAATATCTAGCATCGCAGCTATCAAAGCTTGGATTCAAAGTAAGTCGAAAAACCGAGACCAACATGGTCTGGTTTGAAGAAGGGGCGACTGGCGTCGGCATTGACGACATTCAAAACGCTGCCAGTGAGAAGGGTATAGCCATGCTGGGAGCCCGTGGGACAGAATGTAGACTTGTGCTGCATCATCAAGTGCCAAGGGAAGCTATTGAGTCTTTGCTAGATGTTTGCACAGGTTTGGTTAGAGCACATCACAAGCTCTGACCAAGTTTTGATGCGAGATCACCTCCACACAACAGCATCATGGAGCAAAACAAAAGAATACATAATAGAATTTTTAATGAAAGATGGAAGATCGCCAATTTCAGCAACGCAAAAACATAGTCGTTCACGTTCGCATATTTTTTTCTTCATCATACACGGTCGACGGTGGAATTGGCAATCATATCATCTACTGCTACATCGGTAAACCTCGTCTATTGCTTCACAGCGCGGACATCAATCGTTCTTCATCAGCAAATCCGATTGTTGCAAACAAGAGTCAAGAAAGCCAACCCTCACTCGAGCAAGATGCCTCCCAAGAAAAAGGAGGTCACAGAACGCGTGCTACTAGGAAGAGTACGTATAAGGTGCATCCAAAAAGTCGCCTTTGCTTGTGGTTGTTTGTGACTTTGCTGCATTTGCCACTTTTTTTTTTTCTTGTTCAGAACTGCTTGTTTCAGTTCGGTCTATATGACGGGGCTATAATGCCAATATCCGTCTTAAAATATTTGACAAATTCGCAATTCATGATCGAACTCGAATGCACATCTTTCATACACTGTACTTCGAAACTCACCAATTTTCTTTGTAACAGCCATCCAACAATTTGAAGGCAGGAATCGTTGGTTTGCCAAACGTTGGCAAATCTTCTTTTTTCAATGCTCTCACCAACAGCTCGGTTCCTGCTGAAGTGAGTGTGATGTCGAACGAGTTGCAGCTGTTCGGCCGCCGTTGACCTGCAATCTGACCATTGATCAAATCTGTCCTAGAACTTTCCATATTGTACTATTGATCCAGCAGAATCACGAGTAGCTGTACCAGATCCTAGATTTGACTGGCTCTGTGAACACTACAAGCCTGCCTCAAAGGTAAACAGCTGGAAAAAGCCACGCAAGATTATTCGCTCTATGTGCAGCTGTATACGCAAGTACACTCAGCAGGCAGCTACTCTCTCTAAACTTCTTCCACTTAGGTCCCAGCTTGGTTGACCGTATTTGATATTGCTGGTTTGACCAAAGGTGCACACGAAGGTCAAGGACTGGGTAACGCCTTCTTGTCGCATATTCGAGCTGTAGATGGTATCTTGCACTTGACTCGTGCATTCGAAGACTCGGATATCGTTCACGTCGAAGGTGAAATCGATCCCGTCAGAGACTTGGCCATTATACACGAAGAATTACGGCTCAAAGACGAAGAACAATTGAACAAACTGGTCTCTTCCAAAAAGGGTGAAGTCAATCGTCTTGGATCAGGAGGGTCAGTAGCAGACAAGGCCAAAAAGGAAGAATTTGAAATCTTGAGTAAAATTCATAAATGGGTGACTGAAGAAAAGAAAGATGTTCGACAAGGAACATGGAATAATAAGGAAATCGAAGTCATCAACCCATTGCAACTCCTTACTGCCAAGCCCGTTGTATACCTCTGTAATTTGTCGGAACGCGATTATTCTCGAAAAAAGAACAAGTGGTTGCCAAAGATTAAAGGCTATATCGACGCCAACTATCCTGGTGACGTGCTCATTCCTTACTCTGGTATACTCGAAATGAAGTTGGCTGCTATGGAAACACCAGAAGAGAAGCAAGCATACTTGACAGAATTGACTGCCAAATATGAAGCACCCGCACCAGTGCAATCTGCTCTAAGCAAAATCATCATTACTGGTTACCAAGCTCTACAATTGATATACTGTAAGTTGGGGCTCGATTGTGTTATAATTGGGAGTAGTTGCTGACAATCTCCCGTTTTGGATTTGCAGTCTTCACCGCTGGACCAGATGAGGTTCGAGCATGGACGATTCGAAAACAAACCAAGGCACCTCAAGCAGCCGGAACTATGTACGTTTTCGTATTTGGGTTTTTACATGAACAAGACACTTTTTGTGACACGTCACGACTTGTTTAATCTAGACACACTGACTTTGAAAAGACATTTATTCAAGCCGAAGTGATGAAATATGACGATCTTAAAGAGCTGGGTAATGAAGCAGCAGTACGAGCAGGTAAGCAGAGGAGATGGAATGCAATGAAGAGCCTCACATTTGTTTAATTTCGTGTTAAATTCAAATAGGTGGAAAATATTTGATGAAGGGCAGAGAATATGTTGTCGACGATGGCGACATCATGTACTTTAAAGCTGGTGACGCTAAAAAGAAATAAAGTACTGTGCAATTCTCAATTTGTATCTAAATAGACAGGCTCGTTACCTACTCCATGATTTCCGATTCTTTAAAAGAGGACTTTATTTTGGATTGTGTCTGCATTGCAGAAAACCGCGATGAAAATCACAACCTCAACATTGACTTGGAAAGCGAAAACCCCATGTTTTTTTTTTTGATGAACAACCAACAACAAGCAACGGCAAACCATTCATCAAGGCGCACAGAGAGTGAGGCGACGTGACAAACACGTTCTGCGTTCAAGCGTACTTGTGAGGTGTTACAATCCGTCGGCTCAACTCAGGATTGGTGTGGCACTGTAGCAAATTGAATTTCGGCAAAAGCAAGACCATCATCAGCTTGCAGACGTCATAAGCTCAAACCAAACACAATCAATTCAGACCAAAAAGGGATGGCTACCCTACATTCTGCTACTATATTCAGTGGTCTCCAGACTGGCAAGAGTGAGCGATTAATAGCTACAAAACGTTGAAATTTGACTTGTTGCAAATTCTTGACAAATGCTCATTTTCCACACGATTGTCAATCTCATAGGCAAAGTAGAGGCTGCAACCTTTTATGATGGTGCTGAATGGCTGTCTTCAGATGAGGAGGAATACATTGACGAGCTGGAAGACTATGATTCTCGGTATTGCCAACCAAGCGACAGGATACACAGAATTGGAAGGCCACAATCATATCCTTCTTCACCTGGATCTTCTTCTGCAACGGACTCGGAGTCGGTTCTCTCTGCTTCGACAGTAGGCTCCAACAACCGTATAAACGACGATCGGGTACTCGTTGTTGGACGTGACTTCAAAGAGTCAGGAATAATACGGTTCTTCGTGAGTACAAAAGAAGCTGAGGAGGAGCTGGATGAATACGTTTCATCAGTGAATGAAGGTATGTACGTCAATGTTTTACTGGGGGTGGTTGTGTTCTTCTGACTCTTAAATGCGACCCTAGTATTTTTGAACAAGAACAGCAAGATATTCGCTCACCAGTCAAATGAACCAAGTACATTCATAAATACTGATATGCCCAACTCGCCGGCTGACCTGGAATCGTACATGGCCAAGATGAAAACAAATGTTATTGATACGGCTACAAGGACGAGCTCACCAAAAATGTTGGGACACATGGTCAGTAACCTTCGCCTCCATTTTCCATCAGTAGTGCACGATTAAAATTGAATATATTCATAGACGACTGCACTACCATTCTTTCAACGACCGTTGGCAAGATTGATTGCGGCTCTGCATCAAAACACTGTAAAAATCGAAACATCATCGTCATTTACCCGGCTCGAACGAAGCACAATTGCTATACTCCACCGATCATTCTTCAACCTTCACCAAGAATTTTACAATCTACACTCATTCAACTCTGAATCAGCTCTGGGCGTCATGTGTAGTGGCGGTACGATTTGCAATATAACAGCACTCTGGAGTGCTAGAAATGCTGCCCTCCCACCGAAAGATGGGTTTGCTGGTATCGAGTCAGAAGGTCTGGTCAGGGCGTTGGAAGTATATGGATACAAAGGTTCTGCAATAGTAGGATCTCGAATGATGCATTACTCGATGCGTAAAGCTGCTGACCTGCTTGGTAAGGAACTTTATTTGTAATATCATGATTTGAGTGTAATTAACTCACGGAATTGCAATCTTTAGGTATTGGTGAAGCTGGTCTGGTCACTGTGGAAACAGATTCAGCCTTCCATGTTGATGTGAATAGAGTGAGGGAAGTTGTGCGTGATTTGCAATCAAGGCGAATACTGGTCATTGCAATAGTTGGCATTGCCGGAACTACAGAATCGTAAGTGTGCCTGTGCGAGATAGTAGCAGAAATTGAAGACGGCAGTAACTTATGAGAAGATGAATACCTTTTCTAATCTGAAAGTCTTCAATTAGAGGATCCGTTGATGATCTCTGCGGCCTGGCTGACATTGCTGGTGAATTTGGAGTTCACTTCCATGTAGACGCAGCATGGGGTGGGCCAATGATTTTCTCTGACGATCAGAGGAAGAAGCTTGTGGGAATAGAACGAGCTGATTCAATAACGGTTGATGGCCACAAGCAACTGTATACCCCTATGGGTGTTGGTGTACTGCTATTCAAGAGCCCATCGCTAGCTCAACGTATCAAAAGAACAGCATCATACGTGATCCGTGCAGGATCTCTGGATCAAGGTCGATTTACCATGGAGGGCTCGAGACCTGCTTCAGTGTTGTACCTTCACGCGAGTTTGAATCTGGTAATTATCCTACTGCTTTTTGGCCGTCCTAAACATTCTTTACTCATCATAATAATTCATATAGCTTGGTAGAGATGGACTAGGACAGCTGATAACCAGGTCCTGCGCCATAACGCGCCAGCTGTACTTCCGATTGTTATATCACCCATGCAGATCGTTTTTCCCGTTGCATGAGCCGGACTCTAATATCTTACTCTACCGATATATTCCATCTTCACTTCGAGATCAAGTCAACAAAATAGTTATGGAGGACGAATCTGCTGTGCCATTGAGTGAGGCCGACCACCAGTATATATGTGAAGCTACAAAAAGGCTGCAGATATTGCAGAGTGTCGAAGGATCATGTTTTGTAAGCAGGACTACTGTCAAATGGTGTGGTAGAGACACCATAGTGCTAAGAGTAGTATTGGCGAATCCGCTGAGTACTTGGGACTCCCTCCAAGAGTGTTTGACTGAACAGGTGTCTTTGGGTCAGCGTGTAGAACGGGAGATACGCAAAGAAGAGCAAAAACCGTTTGTGGGATGGCCGATTGAATTCTAAATCTAGTAGATATTGAATATAGACAATTTGAAAAGTTTAATAAATAGATTGCCTTGCTCATACAGTGTCACGAATATTCTGAAAATTTCGTATGCCCAGTGGATTCAGCGTGTTGTTGAGCTTCCTTTTGTCCTTTTAGACCGACTTTACATATGTCACATTTAATTGAAAATCCTCCAAGGTCAGTAAATCTGAAGGAAGGGATATTGAGTCAGACGAAATTGGCATTGGAGCACAAAGAGGACGTGCGTACTGATGCTTGGAATGTCTCAGCTTTGCTAGAGCAACACCAGCCTCCAATATTGTCTCATCGCCAGGAATGACATCGAAAACCGTCAGATCGAAATCCTGATTTTTTAAATCATCTGGAACCAGAGCCAATGCCAACGCATCGTAACTATTTGACTCGTAATTAGGCAGATAGACAGAAAACAAGCAGGGAGCATGAATAGAGTGACTCACTGGATGCCACTGTAGAGAACCATAACACGCTTGTCAAACTGACCCTCGCCAAATCTATCCACCCTTTGAGTTTGCACATCAATCGAATCAATCTCTACACGGCATGAATGGTTAAAAAATCCTACTACTATGGAATAAGCAATGTGCGCCAACTGACCAACTTGATAGTGATTGGATAGACAGAGTAATTCGATGGCACCACCCCAAGCATTTGGCGTCTGAATCCATTTGGTATAAGCCTCCACTGTGCGACCAAGAGTCGCCTCGTTATAAGTGACTGGATCTTTCTCGATAGATTCCTTCACCTTTGCATCGAATTTAAGTCAATAAAACTCATTTGCTGAAAATGATGAGGAACACTTTGTGAACAAACGTACAATCTGCCGAAGACGTGGAGCTTTGCTCTTGTCATGTTCCAAGACATAGGCGACAGATCTGAAAAGACAAGAGTTGTCGTCTTCCATTTCTCGGAGAACTAGCGCCCCGTCCGTGATTGCTATTCCATCAATTCCTTTCGATGACACAACACTTCCGATGCGAGGTGTGCTGGCGATCATAGTAGGTGCGGAAGCTGGAGTTGATGGTGCGACCGACGAAGTAGGAGGATTGATTATGTGTTCATTCTTCGAGGAGGGTGTTGAAGCGAGACTCGTGTTTTCGGGTTTGGGCGTGGTTTCGATTTCCAATGTTATGTTTTCTCCATCTAGAATTCCAGCATGTGATAGCGTAATATTCTGATCCGATGCGAGGAGCTTTGGTGGATGCCCGATTTTTACTGTTTGTTGATCGAAATGGATGGCAAATGACACGTCAGGGAGTAGTAAGACTAACGACAACGACGATATCAAATGAAGTAAGTAAATTTGCTTACAGACTTGTTGATGAGGTGGCACTTTGGTGACAATTTCAATCGCAACCCTCAGATCTCTGATTGTGGAAGTAGCAGTCAGTTCTTGTCCAAAGGTTGTAGCATTGATATCTCTGCCGCGTAGCCTGAGCCTCATTGTCTGAATAATGGGAGCTTGCTGTAGTTGGCTATCTGGTCGAGCTGCCGGAGCTGATGATGTATTTGTTGAATGTGTTGTTTTGGGGATTAATTCGAACATAATGACGCTGATTGCATGTATTTTAATGTAGGATGAAGAACGTAGAGCATTACTTGGAGGAAATCGAGAAGGAGCTCTTACTGCGGAAGGGTATATTTTGCATCATTTGGAACTGTCATCAACATCGAGACCATGCTCATTGAACTTTACACAATGCAGGCCGTCAAGTCCAGTGACGACTCAACCAAGAGCATTCAAACAACGAGAACTCGAAGCTTTGAAAAAGATTGTCAAGAGAACTGCAGAGTACGTCAATTACGATCAGACTGTGCTCATTACTTTACAGTTAGACAACCCTTGCAAACACTAACTAATCTTATTACAAATAGCGGCTTGATTGACGCATCTTCATTAAGGCCACTAGACGGTTTACATGTTGACAATCCCTACTCCAAACTAGTGCAAGTTCTTGTTAACAATTGTCAACAAGCATCAACCTGATACTCACCCCAAACAATCTCTTTACACACAGAAACTTGCTAAAACCTGAAGAACTCAGTTTCCCATCTCATGGTCCTGTCTCGCCATTGACAAACGTCAAATTGACTGAGATATTGTCACGGCCTGGTCCAACACACGAAGATTCTGCTCTCATGTCAAGTGCTGTAGCTCAAATGTCAGAGTCTATCAAGGCATTCAAGATTGATACACCAAAGGATCTGATATTGCCTCTGACACTACCTCAGTAAAACCGTCAAATATTAGCAACTCAAATTATAATCTATAAAGTTGCGTTTTATTCAGAAAACTCCGATATATATCACAATGCAATTCGTGTAAAATGTAAATACAACACACTACTACATCATCACCATCAGTTCATCACTATCAATGAAAATATACTCAATCATCCATATTCATAGGCTGGTTTGGGTTTGGCATTCCTATATCAAACAGCTCGGTTCCTAGAGGCATAGATAGACCTAGTGAGGATTCTGGTATGCCTGCCTCGGTACAGATTCGTTTGAGGACTTCTTCCAGCTCTTGGTTTCTTTCGGCAATTCTATAAGCAACACCCTGTATATGACGCATGTATTCTACAGACCTACGTAATATAACTCCCTTGTTTGGCTTTGTTGTTCCATCTGAATGGAGACTCGAGTATTCGGGAAGAAGAGTAGCCAACTCTTGTATTTTCTCATTGATATTATCACGACGGCGACGTTCTACCGCATTATGAGATTCTCGTCGACGTCTTCGTTTTTCATTGGCATCGACACGCCCACCAGCACCTGTCGGTTTTGAAGTATCCGAGTCATATGAAGTGCCTGCTACAGATGCAAAGTCCGATACGCCAGATTGTCTAGTTCCACTGCCAAATGCTCCAAAGGATGATGGATGTCCACCTGGTAGCGTCGGTGGAGGATGACGAGTAGCGCCCGAGGTAGAAGACGGTAGAGAGTACGAGTACATATGTTGACCCACTTGACCAGTGGGAGCAGAGCCAGAAGACATTGTTGCAGCAGCGGCCATACTACTTCGAGTAGATTTGCCTTTTCGAGTAGGTTTTACATCATTATGGTTAGTATTATTGGCAGGAGTAGACGAGTATGGCGAGTTTGTCAGAGAGCCCGAGTTATGAGGGGTATAATCGTCTACAAGACCATCCAAGTCGTCAGGATCTAGAGGAGACGACGATGTGGGAGATAGTAGGTTGTTTGCTAGCATGCTGTCAGCTAGTCGAGGAGTCAAGTGTTGAGGATGTTGCAGCAGATTTCCATGTTGACCTAGACCGCCATATGCCTGGGTGGATATGGAGGATCCGAATTCGTCTACTAGGGTGTTGAACGGGTCTATAGGGTCTAGCATCGAGTCCATTTCCTGCTTTATAGGAGTATCATCGTCATCACCTAGACCAATCATTGGATCTGCCGACTTTCCATAAGTTTGTTGTACATGATATGAGGTAGGATTTAGAAGACGGACTGGATTGTTCTGGATGTGAGAGTGAGAGTGAGCACACCGACGCAGTCAAATGAGACGGGGATACAACAAGGAGTGTTTGTGACATCGATGTACAAAAGCAAGAGCAGGGATACCACGAGAGTACCTGTTGTTGTGAAAAGTAGTGTTGTTGCAGAAGCTGGTCGTTGATGTCCATGTTTGTTCCGTCGAAGTTTTGAAAACCAGCCAATGTCAAGAGTTGGTTTTGCAATTGCTGTTGGTCTGGGGAGGAGAGCAAACCATTTGAGACGTTTGTCTTTGGTCCACCATTTCTCTGAGCCATTAACGAGAATCAGTATAGATATGTGTGATTTCTAGTAGGAGACAAGAATGAAAAAGACAGTTTGTAACGGTAAGGATTGCTCCGAAAGAGGAGGTAGGTGGAAGTTGCGAGCAGGGAAGGAACATACCGATAGATTGACGGTCCTTGTTTTTCTCTTCTTTCTGTATGTGCTTTTCTTGCTTTTCTCTCGACTTTCGAATGGTCACGAGAGCTTCCTCCAAAACATCTTTCACGCTATATCGGCATCAAACGACTACTGAATACAAGGCTGATACGTGATATTGACAGATATTGTCTTCCATGATGCTGAACAATAGAGAATACTACGAGAGGCGAATCGCGTCGGCCTGACCGCAGACTCAATAGCATGAACAACAAACAACCTACGGCATAGGGCTAACTTGTTCCTTGTTATGCGTTATTACCCTTGAAAATCGTCTCCTCCTTTTGGCTTTCTTCGGAGCCGACCGTGTGGCTTGATCATTATATACTACCGTGCAACTCGCTCACTTTCGTACATGTAAACCAACTAGACTGCAATTACAAGATTTGACGTACAAGATGACAGAGCCTGTAACTAAAATAGCTGTCATTGGATCTGGCCTCGCTGGACTCGTGACGGCCCATCTGCTGAGCGAACAAGATGAATTCAAAGTCCACCTCTACGAACAGGTAAGCTCGCACCTCATCATGACGATGCATCGCACGCAACATTACTTTATATTTGCACCATGCCTCATGGAATCTGCTATTGCTTGCCTCTTACAACCGCAAAAAACACATCACGACACTACCTTCAAAACATTGAACCTCGCGGAGAAAAATATTGCATCTTGTAACAAGACTCGCCCGATCGCTCTTGTTTCTCCTTCTGCCCTTCTCTTTGTCCATGATACGTCCATTTTGACCCATCACTCTTTACAGGCCGAATCCCTGGGAATGGATGCCGCCTCCATCACCGTCGGTGACTCTCGCATCGACGTCCCCATGAGAAGCTTCTTTCCTGGCTACTATCCACGTCTAACAAGGCTATACGACTATCTCAACATCCCTTATGCTGCCAGTGAAAATTCAATGAGCTACCTGCATCTCAAACACACGCAGTCACAGTCAGCTCCACTGCCACAATCTTATCCTAGCAACATCAACAAACCACACCGCACTACATTATACCATGATAGCATTATAAGTCAACCTCGAAAACCATACTTCTCATTCTCCACATATCGGATACAAGCCCTCGACTTTATGGCATCGTTACCCGATACACCATCATCAGCAAACTCTTGGACCTCATACATAATAGGATGTTGGACTGCTTTACTTATAACTTGGCAATTCTTATACTTGGTAGTCGCTGCAAAATATGCTCTAGCTATGGGTCACTTGTTGTCATACAAACCAGGTCAAGTCAACCCAAAATCACCGTATAAAGGCATGACCCTAGCAGAATACTTTAAGGTATATAGATATTCAGATTGTAGCAGAATACTAGCTGACCCATTCCTTTTTAAAGGTGTATAGATATTCAGATGCCTTTGTTGGAGACTCGTTCTTCCCACTGTTTTCTGGAGCATGCACGTGTACATTTGAGGAACTATCAAATTTTCCCGCTGTAGTGATTCTAGAATATGTCGCAAGGTGCTTTCCATTTGGACGCATGTCCTTTGTAACTTGTGGCATACAGCAAGTTGCAGAAAGATTAGCAATACCGATTGTGAATAATGGCCGCATTCATCTCTCCACTCCTATTGCATCTGTCACTCAAACATCAACCACGGGACATCGATTTCTAGTAGAAACCACTAGTGGGAGTATAGAGGGATACCATCACGTTATCTTTGCAACTCAAGCAAACCAAGCCGCCAGAATGCTTGGTAATAGTCGAGATGATGAAGGTTGGGAAAGCAATGTTGAAGAACAGCGGATGGCCCAAGAATGGAAGTCTTCTCGTCTCACTGTTCTGAATCGTTTTCCGTAAGATTTTCTTTGTCTTGTACCGTTTTTGATTCCTACTCGTATTCCTTCACGCAGTTTATCACACTACTGCAATCTATCACGACTAGACTAACACATTCATCTTTCATTTTTACTAGATATCAAAAGTCGACTGTTGTATGTCATACAGACACTACCCTAATGCCTGAACAGAAGGCCGATTGGAGATGTCTCAACTTTGCTAAAGCATATCCTTCAAAGTTGAAAAAGGATGCCTTCAAAGGCATTGGTTACAATCCCAATGATATTGCACAATGTACTCACTGGGCTAATATCTCACAGGCAGGATTGTCATCTGATGTCTTCCAAACTACAAATCCAATCGTGCTGCCTGATCCTTCAAAGACTCTATCCATTTCTTGGTTTGAACGGTGTTATGTTACCATGGATTCGATGATGGCAATAGATGATCTGGCCAAGCTCCAGGGACAGGTAAGGAGGTGGCTCTTGCATCACCTATGAAGAATCACTAAGCAGTAGGCCGATCATAGGGAGGAGCATGGTTTGTCGGATCATACTGCTATCCTGGTATTCCGCTTTTAGAAGGCTGTTTGGCATCAGCGAGTTTTGTAGCCCAGTCAATAGCATCTGAACGTGGAATAATACTGAGAAATCACGCCCTTTTGGAATGACCTCATTAGTTTTCAGAAGTCTAAATATTTGCCCAAACATATCCTTTGTCGCCTGTGACTTGTAGAATATATACCAGAATAAATCAAATCGCGGTTTATTTCATGTGCGCGAGAGCGCAAATTGAAGTTCAACGCGAAAACACAAAGAGCGCAACGCAACCGTCTGTCATCCTTCACACTTGGCTCTTTTCGACAAAGTTCGAGTTTCGAGAGTTCGTAGCACGATAGAGCATTGGTACGTTATTATGTATAGATAGACTGGTTGCGAAAGTAAGCTCACGTCCTCTATTGTAGTATTTGAAGAACAAGTCAACTACGTCGTGGCCTGAACCAAAATTGAAAAAAACGAGCGCTTTATTCTGGTAAGAACGTGGCTCAGGACCGAATCTGGACTAGGAAACTCAATTGGATAATCCTATATAGATGGCGCAAGACGTTGCCAGATTGGAGTACTTGGGTCTCGTATCCAAAATCACAACAGAATTGTCAAATCATACCAACATCGCCGACAAGGATACAGCAGAGTTCCTCATTGCAGTCCATGATGCCTCGACAGATTATGAATCCTTCAAGAAACAACTGGGTGAAGCTGCTGATGAACTCGGAGACTCCTTTCTCAAAAATGTAGATCGAATCATTAAGACCATGCGACCACTGGGAGCAAAGTCTCTGGCTGGTCCTGGTATGAAGATGAAGAAGCAGAAAAAGAACAAGGGCAAAGCTGGTACTGGTGGGAACGCTGGTAATTCTGTCAACGCTGCTACAACGGACGCTCAACCGTCGCAATGGGAGGATGACGAGACTGCCGAAGTTAGAAAGGCTCAAAAGGCAAAGTTTCCTGGATTATCGCGACCAGATGATCTGGATCGAGTCAATAAACTCATCGAGGAGGATGTCAAGGTAGTAGATGACACTCTCAAAGAGCTACAAGGACTGGTTAGTGGCTCCAGAAGAGAAGTAGATAGTCGCAAACGATCTAGTCGTAGCCCAAGCCCAAACTATAATAATCATAAACGAAGACGATCCAACAGTCCATCTGATCGTAAACGTAGGAGATCACCAAGCCCAAATCGAATAGACGATACTCCACTACTACATAAAATCTATGAAGGTACCGTACAAGGCATCAAAGACTTTGGTGCGTTTGTACGTCTGGATGGTGTACGTGGTCGAGTCGATGGTATGGTCCACGTCAGCTCCATGTCGAACTCGAGAGTTGGACACGCAAGTGATGTCGTGTCTAGGAATCAACGAGTTAAAGTAAAAGTAATGTCAGTTGCCGGTAATCGTGTTGGCCTCTCCATGAAGGATGTAGATCAAGAGACGGGTAAAGACCTTACTCCTCACCTTCGTATAAAATCCGCTGCTGAAATGGCTGCAGAGATTGGGCGAAATCCAGATAAACCGGTCCGCATGGCACCTGATAGCAACATCAATAGTCAACAGCCTGTCAAGAAGGTGAAACGTCTTACATCACCAGAACGTTGGGAAATAAAACAATTGATTGCATCAGGTGTTTTGGATCCGAAAGATTATCCAACCTTTGACGAAGAAACTGGGCTGGCAGGTTATGAAGATAAAGAAGAAGATCTAGATATTGAAGTTCGAGAAGATGAACCCTTCTTCTTGAAAGGACAGACTAAACAATCCATCAACCTGTCACCCATAAAGATAGTCAAAAATCCGGATGGAACCATGAATCGTGCAGCACTATCCACCGCATCTCAAGCAAAGGAACGTCGTGAAGCTAAGAGAGCTGAAGCCGCCGCTGAATTTGATGCAGTACCTCGTGACCTGAATCGCCCCTGGATTGATCCAATGGCCGATGCAGGAGAACGTGGATTTGCTCAAGATATGAAGGGCATGACTGTGGAAGAACGAGTGCCTGAATGGAAGAAGAAAACCTTTAATAATGCTACAACCTTTGGTAAAATAACTAGTCTTACCATCAAGGAACAGCGAGAGCACCTCCCTATATATAAACTCAGAAACGCCTTGGTCCAGGCCGTATATGATAATCAGGTCTTGATCGTAGTAGGAGATACTGGGTCTGGTAAAACTACTCAAATGACTCAATACTTGGCCGAAGATGGATTTACCGCTCGTGGTATGATTGGTTGCACCCAACCTCGTCGTGTCGCAGCAATGTCTGTAGCCAAACGAGTAGCTGAAGAGGTGGGATGTCGTTTGGGAGAAGAAGTTGGTTATACCATTCGATTCGAAGACTGCACATCGCCAGCAACAAAGATAAAATATATGACCGATGGTATGCTTATGCGTGAATGTCTCATCGACCCGATGCTCAATCGATATTCAGTCATCATGCTGGATGAAGCTCACGAACGTACCATTCACACTGATGTCATGTTTGGTCTTCTTAAAAAGACCATCAAAGCTAGACCAGATTTAAAAATTATTGTGACGTCAGCGACACTGGATGCTGAAAAATTCTCTAAATACTTCTTTAATTGCCCCATCTTCTCCATTCCTGGTCGAACATACCCTGTAGAAATATTGTATACCAAAGATCCCGAAAGTGATTATCTCGATGCAGCACTGATAACAACCATGCAAATTCACTTGTCGGAACCAGCTGGTGATATTCTTGTATTCTTGACGGGTCAAGAAGAAATTGATACAGCTGCTGAAATCTTGTTTGAGCGCATGAAGGCTCTAGGTCCGTTGGTGCCAGAACTTATAGTATTACCAGTATATTCCGCTCTACCATCCGAAATGCAATCCAAAATCTTTGAACCAGCGCCGCCTGGCTCACGTAAAGTAGTCCTTGCCACCAATATTGCGGAAACCTCGATCACTATCGATGGTATATACTATGTCATAGATCCTGGATTTGTAAAGCAGAACACGTATGATCCAAAGTTAGGAATGGATGCATTGGTTGTGGTTCCCATCTCGCAAGCTCAGGCTCGACAAAGGTCTGGACGAGCTGGACGAACGGGGCCTGGTAAATGCTATAGATTATACACAGAAGCAGCATATCAAAACGAGATGCTACCAAACTCGGTGCCCGAAATCCAACGAATGAATCTGGGTATGACTGTATTGACACTGAAGGCCATGGGTATAAACGATATGTTAGGCTTTGACTTTATGGATCCACCGCCAGTGCAAACCATGGTGACGGCCATGGAGCTGCTGTATCAACTAGGAGCTCTAGATACTGAAGGTCTACTCACAAAACTTGGTCGAAAAATGGCTGAATTCCCACTTGATCCGCCTCTAAGTAAAATGTTGATTGTATCTGAAGAACTGGGTTGCTCTGATGAGGTCTTGACCATAGTCAGTATGCTCAGTGTCCAGAACGTATTCTATAGACCAAAAGAAAAGCAAGCTCAGGCCGATTCCAAAAAAGCCAAATTCCATCAACCCGAAGGAGATCACTTGACGCTCTTGGCAGTATACAATGGGTGGAAGGCTTCCCAATTCTCGTCTCCATGGTGTTATGAGAATTACATACAGGCTCGTCAGATGCGTCGTGCTCAGGATGTACGTAAACAATTATTAGGTATGCTGGATCGATATCATCATGATGTAGTGTCTTGTGGTCGTAATGTATCATCAGTAGTCAAGGCTATATGCTCTGGCTTCTTCCGTCATGCAGCCAAGAAAGATCCACAGGAAGGCTACAAGACTTTGGCCGAAGGAACACCAGTCCATGTACATCCATCGTCTGCACTATTCAATAAACAGCCGGAATGGGTCATTTATCATGAATTGGTATTGACCACGAAAGAATATATGAGGGAAGTCACTGCTGTAGATCCAAAGTGGTTGGTAGAGGTAGCTCCCACCTTCTTCAAAGTTGGCGATGTCAATCGTATATCAAAGACCAAGAAGAATGAAAAGATTGAACCACTCTTCAATCGATATGAAGCACCTAATGAGTGGCGTATCTCACGACTACAGCGTGGAACTCGTGCATCACAAACCTTTGGCTAACTTTTGCAACCCATATATTGTAAAGAATGTGTTGCTATTTACTCGAAATATATCGTATTGCACCTATTAGATCAGCGTCTAAATTCAGCCAAATTCTACGGTCTTGAGTTCCTTGTCTTGCGGTCTGGCTTAAATCTATGGCCGTTATGTGTTCAAGAAATTTAAAGCTCCGACCTCATCCTCAAAACATCCAAATAACTTGAAGGAGGTCAATAATGCCTTCGCATAAGGCTATACTGATCGTGATCTGTATCGCTTTGCTCTTGCTAAGTCTTATTGAAGCCCGCAGCAACAAGACCAAGTTACCCAAACTAAGGTCGCATCGCACGAAAGCCGCTAAACATGCTCGTGCCACTGCAACCACTGCAGCTGCCAGTGCTATGGAAACCGATGCTGCATGTAATGACACCGCTACTGGCAATGATCCTGTCTATACCCAACCAGGCATAGAAGTTGACGACGGCGATGACGCCCAGATTGGAAACAATCCTGATATTTCACCATCGCAGCAAGGCCTTGTGGGCTTCTCTGGGAGTACATTTGTAGGTCCAAACCCTCCAAACGTCCAATATGGTGGTGGAACGATTCTCAGTGGCCCGATCAATGTGTATCGTACGTGTTTTCTACGTGAACGCATTTGGTTCAGTTCTGGATCACTGATTTTTTTTTCACGTTTCGATGTAGATATATATTATGGAAGCTTCTCTGCATCAACGTTGTCGGTTTTGCAGCAATTCACGAATGATTTTTCTGGGCTGCCGTATTTCAACATTTTGAAACGAGTAAGATGCCACACTCAAATTGGTCTCTCAATGATTCTAACGTATTGTTCTCTAGTATTACTCGGAAGCTAGTCTGGGATCACAAAGAACGTTTGGTAGGTTGAATCAGCAAAAGACATACGGTCAGAGATGATCTAACATAGTTCCCAACTAGTTACTGGTCCAGTTACTTTGGCAAATACGGTTACGGACTCTTACTCGATGGGCAAGACATTGTCCCCTCTGAACGCAAACAACGCTGCTACCACTTCAACCCTGTTGTCATCGCATTTACAAGGACAAGGCGGAACTCTTCCCGTCGATGACACAGCTATGTATGTACCAAAATCGAAGTGAAAGATCTAGTCTCCAGACTGATTCGCCTTTGGCAGATATTCCATTTTCCTAGATAGTGGAGTGACAGAATGCGACGCACCGGGATCGTGCATTTGTAAAAGCTATTGTGGCTATCACACTAGCTCGTTCATTGGAGGAAAGTGGCTTTACTACAGTGTCGTAGCCCAATGTCAACCAGGAGTGTGCAGTGATATAAACAGTTACGGCTCGCCCACTCCCAACTCGGATTGGTATGGTGATGCTATGACGAATATATATGCACACGAGATGACTGAGGTAAGCCTTTCACACTTGATTACAAAGCGGGTCAACAATGGCCTAATGCCCAATTCATTCCACACGATTCAACATTATATTGCTGCTTGGGCTAACACACGAACGTAGGTTATAGCAGATCCCTTCCCATTCTCAGCATGGGCCGAGCCTGTATCCGACAATAACTGGGAGATATCAGATGTGTGCAGTTGGCTATTTGGCTCCCTTTCAAAGTCACCGAATGGGGGTTTCTATAATGTACAGCATCCTTTAAACAACCACCAGTATCTGATTCAGCTTATGCTGGATCCAGTACAGCAGCGATGCCTAGCTGGATTACCTGATACGCAGTGGTAATTTTGTTTTGGATTGTAAACAATCTAATGACAATAAGCTCATGCAGTTTATATAATATAGGTCTAGCAATCAACCTGACGGATCTAGTCCCAAATCGATCAATCAAGCTATGTCTTTTTATCCACCATTCAAGTTTCCAACGACGTAGGCAGTTTAGAGGTGCAACAACAACACGAGGCACTGCAAAAGTGTCAGATAGTGGCCCGACACTATTATTTGTAACATAAACGTCGCCATACCCGCTAACCTACACGCTCATACCCACAACAATTTACGTTTCAATGATAATTGTATATGATATGCAAGTCCGCTTAAGAACAGTGTGGTGATTGAAATGCTAGTGACTGTGCCTTTGCCTTAGCTCCAACGCCCTACATGCAATCTAGTCGTGACTGTCCTTATCGTGCCTTAAACCCCACTCGACCCCGTTTACGTGCACTGCTTGTAAAGGATGTTCTGAGTACAGATGGTGAATGGCTGCTCCCTTCTGACTTCCCTGATATAAGAGATTCTGTTCTCTTCCATTTTGCGTCTCTCAACTGTACATACAGACCCAATATCTGCAGAAGAGTAGCATTTACAGGAATATGCGAATGTCGGAATATGCGACGTGCCTCCAGCCACGTATCGTCAAGTTTGCCACGCTGGACCACATGGTCGAATACCTGCATGTCTTCCTCTGCTATCTAGTGAAAATAGATGTCTTCAGTTAGAGCACAAACAGCGACATCATCGCCGTAGAATCTGCCGAGTAGAACTCAATATGCACGTCCATTACCCGTGATGCCTCATTAACAGCAAGTGCCATCATCAATGCATATGTCGTCAGCTATGATATGTGGAATCAGCCCAGTTCAACTGTACCAGATCCCACAATATCAACATCAGACGCCTCAGACTTTGATTACGATCAACACTATTCAACAAGTTCTTTTGGCGGACTAGATTCTCTAGAAGGTATGCGTGGAAGATTGAGACATTTCATTTGATTTTTACAATTCGTGTCTTGGGTGTGTTTTACTTGGATTATCAATATTGAGACTGTTTTGGATTTGATTGGCAATGCTATGGATGTTTGAACCGCTGTTCTAATGGTGCTCCCAAGTCTTTTGCAAGGTTTCTTGACTAAACGTTTTTATGTACAATAAAGGGCAAAACTATTTACATTATACGGACTTGAAAGTCCTGATGGTGGTTTGCCGGACCGTTGCAGTAACATCGGTTATGCATTGCCCGATCTGCCATCATCCTTCGACGGCACTAAAACAACCGAAAAAACGAGTAAGAATACACAAACATCAGAAATGAAATTGCTTGGTATCAGTTTCCCCTTACGTCGGAGCAACAGCCATGACGGCATGTGGTGGTAAACCACTCTTGTACGGCATCATAACATATCGGGCATGCTGCGTCAAACTCAACAGCTGGTGCTTGCTGTATTTGCTGCTGTTGTGGTGGCACAGCAGCACCTTCCACAACACCAGCAAAATCCTCTTCCCGAATAGCTCGGAATGCTATGGCCATTGCTTCGATGTCTCGACTGAGTTTGGCAATGGTCTCGTTCTGTTTGTCGACCAGGAACTTCTGATTCTCCAGAGCCTGTTTGAGCCCACGAGCACTATCGAACAATGTAGATGCTTCCTGAGCTACTACTTTGTATCGTTTAGGATTACAAATTCCGCGACACATGATGCTCAAGTCAGAGGAGGCCAAGATATCTTCGAACTGTGTAAACGATCAAAGCAACAAGTGGGTCAAATGAATCTTGGTTTATTGCAATGAATTGACAAAATGCTACCTTCCGTTTACGACTCGATTGGATGGTGTCCCAGTGGGCCATTCTGACCGTGACGCGTTGACTGGTTTGCGCCAATGCCATGACACCCTCAGGTGTTGAGTCTGACACATGCTCTAGCACTCGCACATGTGCATCGAGAGCTCGTAGCAAGAACACTACGGAAGCTTTGGCTAGATCTCCTTCCAGCCTTCCAAGACAGACACGGAAGTCTGCGCGTAGCATGGCTCGTGCTGTATCTTTCATAGCTGATCCAAAGAGATGGTGCCGTGACAGCTCTCGCTCATAGTACAGCAAGGCAAATTCGGCTTCTCGTAGACCATCAGCACTACACGACCCAAGTTGTTGGTACCCCTTATTGCAAACCACTTCCAAAAGAAGAAACTGTAAAACTCTTTATCGAAATACATACGCGTGAGCCATGATAACGTCTGGAATAGGTGCTATTTGAGCCAGAGTGAACCCATAGCGTCGGTCGTATTGTTGGTTGATTGCGAGTGCCATTAGATTTGTACTTGCCTTCAAAACGATGGTGAGCAGCGCGCTAGTTCGAGGACGCCAGTGCCACGCCGATGTATTATGTATTCGAGCAAACTCAAGTCCAAGAAACGCGTTTTTGGATGTTCGTAGCATCTAAAAGACCCTCGGTCGAAGTAAAGTTGACGCAAGTGAAGAAAACAACACGTTCATGAGTAGCTTTGCGTACCAAATATTAGAGATGCACTGGAATGGAATGGAATGGAATTGGAAGTGGAATTCACGTTTTTGACGACCCAATTCCTGTTATTGGTCGCTTCCATTCTTAGAATCTAGAATCGCGAAATCGCCTTCGGCGATTCCATTCCCTCGAATTTCATATTTGTCAATTCTTGACCGATTCCTGACCGATTTATCTTTTGATCTAAACTGATGTTAAAACAAAAACCTAGAGTTCTACAACCTACTACAGACTAATAGGATTGTAGTTTATAGACTGTTTTATGTCTCCATAAAATTAGCAGCAGCTCTCCCCTCGGCCCTGGCCTTCTCTAATTCCAGTCTTTCTAAGGCAGTCATCAGCTTTTCATCACAATTTTGGATAGCGAAAGTCGCAAATTCGAGTAGAAATCGGTATATCGGTAAGAATCGGTAAGAAATCGGTCGAAATTGAGAAAGTCGGGAAAGCGCAGGAATTCACTTTGGATTCCTGATGATTCCATTCTAGAAATTGGCGACTTCAACGATTCCATCACAATTCCAACTTTTGACGCGTCAATTCCTGTTCATTCCGATTCTTAGGAATGGAATGGAATGGAAATCACGGAATTGGAATCAGGAATTGACAACTCTACCAAATATGAGCATTGTCAGCATTGTATGGTATGCTTTCACGTGAGATTCGGGGCTTTGTATTGATATAAGTTCGGAATTTGAATAAGCAAAGTCAATAGTTCAACTTCCAATTTCTTTTACATTCGCGTTACAGACGACAAGGGCTTGAAAGGACATGTTAGAAGGCTCGGATGGCACATACCCAAATCAAGTCTCGCTTTGAACCTCACGTAGAAAGGGACCGCATAGTTGAATCCTCCTTTTTCTGTTAAAACTTTCTCTCCCTTTGACGATGTCTAGATCTTGAAGGACAAGGGGACTTATGGCGTCAGGATTCGTTTTCAAGGATATTAAACATCCAACTACACTACGTGAAGGCCTCTAGACTAGGTTTTTTTGGTAAGTAAAACACAATTAATTGTGTTTCACTTGCGGGTTGAGGAGGATGAACAAAGCATGTGAGCAAAACGTTCACACTAAAGATGCTGCCTTTATCGACGATGCTATCGTGATACTGTCATTCGCTCAACTTGGACTTTGCACACGGGGTGGTTCTCCATTCCATCACCGTTCTTCAAATGGAACTGTGCGTATGTTTGGGTACCATGCAACGACAGATTTATCAGTAGCTGAGATAAAGGAGGTTGCGCTTTAGTGGTAGGGACTGCCCCGCGGGGTTTCTCACCGAGACGCTCCCTCATCGGTCTGGTTCTTTTGAGCCCCGCTTATGAGGAAGTTTCAGTTGTCTGTCTGATAATCCAACTCACAATCTTTAAAGTGTACATAGGACTTATTGTGACGCCACTCAACCATGGTTTTCGTTGAGTGAAGACTGGGTAACGAAGCATGTGAGCAAACCGGGCTCGCTAACGATGTTGTCTCTCTCGACAATACTGTCTTAAAGCTGTTTCCTGCTCAACTTGGACTCTGCACAAGGAGTCGTTCTCCGTTCCCGCACGGTTACTCAAACTGGAACTGTCTATATGTTTTGGTATCATAGAAAGGCAGAAGCGGATTCCTGATGACGCAGCTCCTGGATTCCCTCTTCAAAGGCCGGTAAGCTTTCGTTGTTGTGGTTTATACTGGAGTGATTTATGCCTTCATCGAAGATGTTCAACGACTACGACTAGAGAATGAACCATTACATGAATAGTTGCCAAGCTTTAATCTTACACCGCTTATGCACCATTCAAGTTTCCAAGAAAATCGGCACTTTGAAGCCGTCTGGTGGTAGAATTCCTGACACATATTTGTAACATCACAGCATGTCTTTGTAGTACACAGCCATGCCCATAAAAAGTGCGTTTCAATTATATATCCGTATTCGTTATGCAAGTCTGCTTAATGGCGTACAGTGTGTTGATTAAAATGCTAGCGAGTGTTCCTTAACTCAGAGGCTCATCATCGTCCCATGAACCTGTACTATTATTATTACTTGTACTGTTTGGTTCATCTCCAGGAAAAGAATCCAGTCGCGATTGTCCATATCGTGCCTTCAGTCCCCCTCGACCCCGTTTACGTGCACTACTTGTGAAGGATGTTCGGATTACAGATTGTGCACGGCTACTCACTTCTGACGTGTCTGATATAACAGATTCTGTTCTTTGCCTTTCATTATCCCAATTTGAAAGCGAAGTGGGGGAAGACGGCCTCCTAATCATGTTAGCACTATTTGACACAGCGGATGACGTCCATGTTTCATCCTCTTGTTCATCTTCCTCAATGACAACACCACTCGTTTTCCTTGGTGATATGGGCGATGGGATCTCAAGAACTCCTCCCAAACCTGCTGATCCTTCTTTTGATGACCTTCTAGATGGTGGATACCTGGTTACTGTGGCCGTATTCTTCATGGCTTCCATCATCATCCCCCGTCTTCCAGTAACACTACTACTACCACTCAACAGTTTCTGACCAGCCTCTCCAGGTGCTGTAGCTTCGACTGATTTTCTCCGTTGACTTACACCTTGAGCAGCAAGACGGTCTAAATCGGTAGGACGCAAGGTTTGGGAAGAGCTCCTTCTCGAATCACTGAATATGAATGCGGGTATGGGTGATGTTGGACTAGATGGTTCAGATGCTAATACTGGATTCAGATTACGTGTTTTTTGTAGCAGTAGATACCACAATGCTGATGCACTATCACACGCATGTGATCTCACAGATGCTAAAATGTTTGCTACGTCGAATCCTGAATCCATTAGTTGCTGAGCAAGTGATACTTCGTCTGGTCTGTTTCCAAATGGAGTGGGCGGTGACGTTCGTAGTGACGAAGGGCCGTCAGCATCCGAGAGCCATGGATGTGCTAATATTGATGGTATGGTCAGTCTTTCTGACGCCTCTAGTTTCAGAATGCTTTTAATCAAGTCTATCGAGTCTACAAAGTATGACGAGTCAGCGAAGTATTCGTGGAGGGGCGACTACAAATGCGTCTTGCCTGAATGAAGAAACGATGGTGTATCAAACTCGACGTCAAGTATCTTTTTATGAATATTGGCGTCATTGTCGTCGTCAAATGGTAGGTATCCACATAAGAGGGTGTAGAGGATGACTCCTAAATGTGACAAAGATGGATGTCAGGACAATTTTGAACGTTGGGAAGCGATTTCCGGTCCTTTTAAAGATACCTAGAGACCAAACATCTGCTTGAGGTCCAGAGTACTTTTTCCCAGATATCATTTCTAGTGATATTATTAAGTATTGAGACCCTCCACAAGAAACTCAACGTTTGATGAATAGGGTCATACCAGGTGCTGCGTAGGCAACAGAGCCACAATAAGTGTCGAGTAATCTGCGCTCATTATACTCGCGAGTGAATCCAAAATCGATTACTTTAATCTGCAAATCATCTGTGAGGAGAATGTTTTCCAACTTGAGGTCGCTAAAGGCGTAATGTGTCAGTGCACTCCTAAATATTAACCACCCGGACACTAATCTTGCAGATGAGCGGCATTTACCGATGGACAAAGCTCTTTTCATGGCAGTATCCGACTGCTTCGACGATCTGTCGGAATATGCGACGTGATTCCAGTCCCGTGTCGTCAAGCTTCCCACGCTGGACGACATAGTCAAATACCTCTCCACCAGAGACCCATTCAGTGACCATGTAGATTTTGGTTTCTGTAGTGAGGACTTCGTATAGTTGGACGATATTTGGATGATGAAGATGTCTCCAGGTCTCGACCTAGACAGTAGATACTAGGAGTATGAGCAAATGAATTCTCCATGGATGAATAAACATGACTTGCCTCTCGAATGACAGCAGGAGCGTGGATCTTGTCGACAATCTTGATTGCCACCTGTAATAAGGTGGTGTAATTAGCGAGCTTCCTTGACACGAGGAATGCGGAATTTATGACTTGCATGAATTCCTGTGAGGGTATGAACAGCCAACTTCACTTTTCCAAAGCTCCCTGCGAGTATGAGAGTGTGTTGAGTTTGTCGAATGAATGGATTTCAATGTTGGCAGAACAAGGGACGCACCTTCCCCAATGGTTCTTCCCAGGATATAATTGCCTATAATGTTGACATTGGTAGCACTTATGAGCTGCAGGAACTCGCTGTCGGCGCTCTGTTGCGGGGATTGATCAGAGTTAGCGAATAGAGTAGAGTAGATCCGCTGTAGGTCAACATAGATCCATACCTTTGGTCGCGGCATGGGTGGAATAGATCTAGAACGCAATCATTGAGAGAGTTGACCTGGTGCTCGCTGTTTGTCTTTGTCTCTGTCTGTCGCTAACGCGGCGATGTTGCAGGCAGTTTGTGCTTGGAACTGCAAGAAAATACGCGATTTACGTGCATTGACACGCAATGGACACACTACAAGTGCTTTTGATACTGTCTCTCGTTGTTGGAGCACCTAGGCTTTGACCTATTCGTCAAGAAACGTTTCGAACGTTCATACACTCAAGAACCTGCGTCAGGAAGCTAGCAAGCTGCATCACTCGATCACTCGTGCTTGATAGTAAGTACATTACATATCGCAACTTCACTTTGAGCTTCCCTTGTTGCCCTCATTAATCTTTGCATTCTCCAGCCAACCTGAATTGTTGCCAGCACAATAGCCAGCAATCAGACTTTCCAGTAGCCACTCGCACATTCATCCAATTCAACAGACCTCCTTCCAATGGATGCTATAACCGACAAACTTGCTACTGTGGACATCAACTCGGCTGAAACTACTGCTCCAATTCAACCCACCAATGCAGATTCCTCACCATGTCCTAGCTGCAATTCGATCGCTGCTTGTCATTGCCAACTCCCAAATCAACGTCTTCCTTCGACAATAATCCAAGGAATACTGCAGCACTTGACCTTGACGAATTTATGGAAGATCAGGTCTTCTGCTAAAATTCTTAAACAGATTTGTGAATTCCTCGTATACAGAGCCATCCTAGGCGACGCTTCTATGAGGCCTATTCGATTGACTGTGACTCTGAAAACTCTGGTAGCGTCCTCAAACCCCACATTACGTGGACACGTAACCGTCCCCAACTCTTTCCAGTTTCGACACTACTAACTCTTTCAAATTGTAGACAACTTGTACATGGGGTCCAAAGGGTAGAGACTCGACACAGGTTGAACTTGTCGGTAAGAGTCGGCGCTTTCGGCTACTTGCAATTTCCTTGCTCGATAATCACTATTCTTGCCCTTTTCAAGCTGTTGGAGTAGACAGAAAAAGCCATCTTATCGCATTCAGTGAAGCATACGGACCTAGACGCAGCATCAAGAATCAGTTTGCTGTTGTCAACTCGAGAACCACTATTGGCTATCGCGGCCTCGTTTACAACGCTATAGTGAAGAAGGCCGAAACTCACCCTACGCTAAAGGAATATGTGGTCAAATTCGGGGGGAGGAAAGGTTTCTTCACTAGGTTACTCTCCATCACTGCTGTGAGTTTCATACCTTGCTTTCACTATCTCATAAGAAACTGACTGCTTGTTTCAAATAGCTTGGCCCTTCGGTCAGGCAAGCTGGCGCTGAAATGATGTTTGGGGGGTTTAAAGCTGCCGTGGAGGTGAGTGTCGGAATTGGTATTTTCTCAAAGCACAACCTTCATCTATTGTAAATGCTGATGCATGCTGTGCTGGCTGCCTCGACGTCTCTCCGGATCAAACTTCTAACAGCCGTTGTGTCTTTTATAGTTGTTTTACAAGGATTGGTTTCACATCTACTGTAACTCAGAGGACTGCTGCGCTGGCTGTCTGGACGTCTCTTTAGATCTATCGAGTCGAATCAATCACTCGGGTACTGCCTCCGCAAAGCACATATATCTAGGCCCAGCTCCACAGCATCGCATAGTCAAGGTGAAGTCACATATCTCTGTCTCCTTTACGCACTCGAACTGTCGATATTGAAAGGATTTGCAATCCACTAGGATTTCGGACTATGGTTGGATAATCCAGATCTGCCTCTCTTGGACTTGACACGTACAGAAGTCCCTCTGGACGATCTTACCCTTATATTAACACTGACTCGATTGCCAGAGGTCCGCGATGAATCAGACCCAATTGTCGTTACTACAGAGCAAAAGGATTTGTTGTCGAAAGGGGTAGTTTTTACGGTGGAGTCAGTTATCCCAATTTCGTGGATTCTTGGACGGATCGGGAACTCTATAGCTGGTGTTGGAGCAACATGGGTCGTAGGATACGAGAGCAGTGATGATGAAGATGATGGAAATGAAGACGAGACAGAATAGGAAGGGAAATTGGGAGCGTAGTGTTATTGATCGGGAATGTTTTGTAACTTGTACCAAAAATAGCAAATATACAGAGAGTAACGAGAGTAACGTCCTCGCACGTTTGCTACTTTGAAATCCGAGCAAATCACATTCGCCAAAAGGGTGACGCACAGAGAGCTTTCAAGGTCTGTACATCTTGATACAAGAGTTTAGATAGCCAGAGAAGGTCGTAACGTGCTCGGTGTGCATCTCGGTGCTCGTTAAAAAGACATCAAGAACTATGGGCAGCAAGTTTCCTGTGACCTTGTTGGACAAGATCAAACAATATGCGACTCATGCTCAGACGCCCGTATCTTTGAAGCAAATGGTCGAGTTTGGTACGTCAGTTCTTTCTCTCCTTTCTTCATATCAAAATCGTTGGGTGTTGTATGAGACATTAAACTGACTCCTTTTTACTCAAGGCCGAGTCCCGTCACAAGCTACATTGTTATCAGCAACCCGATTTGCACATCATGAACTGCCTATTCGCCTGGCTTACAGAGTAGTCGAGCTGGAATCCCTTCCACATTCCTTATCAGAAATGCCTTCGGTCATCAAAGTAAAGGACTGGTACACACAGTCGTTTAACGAGCTCATTGAATTCCCAAAGCCGGAAGACTATGGTGTACCTAGAAGTGCCATAGTCCAAAAGACAGGTCCAGGTAAAGCCATGGATCGGTTTGACGTTTGGTCTGACTTTTGAACTGTTGGACCTGTTTGAAGGACTATTTTGTACAAACACTTCTGTCCTCTCTAGTCAAGTACTATAATGATGCCGTCAATCAACCACCATCGCCTCCACCCCCCGAACTAGTCGCATACAATAATGAATTCTCAAAAACGTTGGAAAATATTAAAAGGCGGCATGATCCCGTCGTCACCACGCTGGCTCAAGGCATACAGGAAGTCAAGGACCATTGGAACAGACAGTCGTCACCGCTGACAAGCGATGTAACAGGTGTACCTCTGCCGTCTGCTGTACAACAATTTTTGGATCGATTCTATCTTTCTCGTATTGGCATACGGTATGTTTTCTCACCCTCTCTTCCAGCTGAATGCATAAAACAACTTAGTTTTCTTAAATCTTTGAATTTTTGAAGGATGTTGATTGGCCAGCATGTCTCACTGGCGAAATCTGCCATTGACCCAAGATCTACTCCACCCGATCATGTCGGGATCATTTGTACAAAGACAAACTTACGTAAAGTAGCGCAGGAAGCTGCTGACAATGCACGATTCATATGTCAAGAATATTATGGACTTTGGGGTGGTCCAGAAATCAAGCTGTTGAGCTCGGAAGATATAGAATTCATGTATGTACCATCGCATCTACATCATATGCTATTTGAGCTCTTGAAGAATTCATTGAGAGCCGTGGTGGAACGTTTTGGAGAAGATGCCGACAGCTACCCGGAAATACGAGTAGTCGTGGCTGCTGGCAAAGAAGTAAGATTTGAATGTTGAGGATTGGAATCAAAATTCTTTTGGTTAATCGCTTTTCCTGCTTTACAACTACGTCTTGAAGGACATTACCATTAAAGTCAGCGATGAAGGAGGTGGAATTCCCAGGAGGGGTATGCCATTAATATGGACTTATCTGTACACGACGGCGTCTACTCCCATGCTGGAAGAAGGGTACAACAAATCAGATTTCAAGGCTCCTCTAGCAGGGTAAGACTCGAAAATGTACTTTTGCTTGAATTGCTGGGAGTGTGTTTTGCTTGCATTGTGAGTGTGTTGCTGACATTCTGAACAGGTTTGGATATGGATTGCCACTGTCGCGTCTCTATGCACGATACTTTGGAGGCGATTTGAGGCTGATTTCCATGGAAGGGTAAGCAAAAAAAGTGTCATTAGTACGCAGATATGAACAAGCCCATTTTAAAATATGTAACTAGGTACGGAACAGATGCATACTTACACCTGTCTCGACTATCAGACAGCGAGGAGCCTTTACAATAATATAATATGTCGGTTTTTTCACTACACAAATATCAAAAGATCTTTCTACTTTGCACTTCAAGATGGACAACGCAGCGGCGACGTTAAGTTCTCCAGCGCGAGGACCTCGAGTGATGGGACTACTCAAACTAATTATGGTATGTTCGTGATCTTAAGCTTGGGTCTCTTAGCGATTTCCAACGTTGGGTATGATTTGTGTGAAGTGACGCAAGGAAAGCAGAAGGGAAGTCGATAGATTCTGTGAACAAAAGAGCTTGCTGAATCTTCTCATTCCATTTCGTGTCAAACCCCGCCAAAATGCTGTAATACAAAGACATCTGGAAGTTGTGCTAACACATGTTTCTTGTTAGGACGTGGAATCAACCACCAATAACGAAGAAGGAGTAGCCAAAGTATTATCAAAATATCTAGTCGACCAGCTCGGATGGAAAAGTGACCTTCGATACGCTGATCCTGGAAGGCCAAATGTGCTGGCAGTACCAATACCCCAACGCACTTGGGAGTGCAAGATTCTCATGAACTCCCACATTGATACAGTACCACCATATATCCCATACTCTGAGGACCATGAAAACATATATGGTCGCGGTAGTTGTGACGCAAAAGGCAGTATCGCAGCCCAAGTTGTCGCTGTCCAAGAGCTACTGGAAGAAGGAAGAATCAAAGCTGGTGATGTCGCGTAAGTAAATTAGCAATTCTCGGTTGGTCTTGCATTAAAACCGACCTACCTTTCCAGGGTCTGCTATGTTATCGGCGAAGAAAAGGATCATAATGGTATTATCAAGATGAATAACGAAGAAGGACTCACTCCGCGCTATATGATTGTGGGGGAACCTACCGAAAGTAAATTGGCACGAGGACACAAAGGGGTATTGAAAGCAGTTTTGAAAACAACGGGCAAAGCCGGCCATTCTGGTTACCCTGAGGTCTGGTTTCGTCAACTGATTAATATAAAAAGGAGCCTACAAAACTAATGCTTCACTCTATATCCAGGTCGGTGCCAGCGCAATCGATGCCATGTCGGACATTGTTGCCAGACTAGCACGGACCCAATTTCCAGTCGATCCTCAGCTGGTAAATTGTGAAATGGTCTGTTTCATAATCCAAGGCACTAAATATTCAATTTGATAATAGGGCAAAACCACGTGTAATGTTGGATCTATTCATGGTGGCGCTGCGCCAAATGGTAAAAATCACTGTGTTTTGGACTTCACAGTCGTCGTCTCACCTTTCGCACAAATTGTTTCGGTAGTAATTGCTGCCTCATGTATCGCGGAAATTCTTGTCAGAGTATCTACAACAGTCGAAGAAGCAACCAGGTACGCGGTAGTTGTTAGTCGTTCTCAATGTTATGTTGTCGGTTTTTGGACAAGAACTTACTTGCATTTTGGCCTGCAGTGTTTTGCAACGGGTTGTTGATGAGGTGAAATTTCCTGGTGTTGAAGTGCAGCTAACAGTTACTGGTCGTGAAGGGGTACGAAAGTGTGATCTGATGCACTTAGCAATACTTTGCTATAATTTTTCCCTTTTGTTTTAGGTTCGCTGCCATACTGTGGATATAGGTATAGAGACTTTCGCAGCCGCCTATTTCACAGATATTGGCTACTATACAGGACCAGCAAAACCTCTACTCTTTGGACCTGGAACCATTTTAGTCGCACACTCTGAAAAGGAATTCGTAGGGAAACGAGAGCTCGTCGACAGTGTTAGCAAGTACAAGTCTTTGATCTTGAAACTACTTGCAGATATATCAAACAAACTCTAGTATTGTTGGATTTGGTAAAAAAAAAATTAGAAATGAATTTTTTGCAATTGTTCACGTGTGGGTGAGGCGTGTTGCATCAGGTCTCCTGTATGTTTGGTTTGCTTGTCACGTCTGACGCCGGGATGCACTCCGTTTCTCCAGCTTCTTTCTCAAAGGTCAAAATCCTTCACCCTCAGAACTTCAAAACCAACAACGAGATTAAAACAAGACAAACCGAAACAAAAACAGTCACAGCAATGTCTTCATCACGATACTACGATCCTACTTTCGATTGGACTTATCGTGATACTGTAACCATTGGAGCGAACGGGTTTGAAGCTTTATTCTTTCGTTGAATGAATACGATATCTGATTGCAGAGCAGCATTGAACGAATAATCGCCATCAGTTGTTGCTTGTGCATATGACTAACATGAAAACCTCTGCATGTTGATAGTTTGCCGAAGGCTACGACCAACCTATCAATACTGGACTAGGTGATATTGCTCACCGATTCCCTCGACATGTGCCTTCACGAGTTCTCAGTCTCACTTCTGGAGCAGGTACTGAATTAATTGGCTTCACGACTATGATTTGAAGAACCGGATCGTCAATTTTAATGCTTTTATTTTCATAGTTGTCTGGCGTCCTGCTTGTGGTTGGAATTCTTGATAAAGTTCTCAAACTCCCTCACATTTCGTTGAAATTCCCATTGAATCTTAGATATCTGGGACACTGACAATGCCATCGTTGTACACATTGACTTGCCAGGTAAGGGACATTTCAACTTGCAATCATCTCTGCTTCCTTGTGAGCTCGTTGACGATTTTAGACTTAACACCGAACTGCATTGTCTAAACTAGGAGTTCCAAAGAGCGAAATTGGATTGGACGTCGTTCAAGATCAATTGACAGTCAGTGGTGAGATCGTTTTTGATGAATCAATGTCTTGATTTTCAGAAGGTCTTATTAAATTCAAAAATAGGCACCCATCAAGGACCAGCTGGTTTCGAATCTGCAAGCTCCTGTGTGCGAGAACGCAATATCGGGTCCTTCCGAAAGATTGGTGAGAGATGATGCGTATTGAGTAAAAGCCATATTCAATCTTTTGATTCTTGTTTTGATGGAATTTTGATATCTAACCTGAAGTTTTTATGGTTGTTCTTGTACCTCTCCATCAACAGTTCGTCTCCCTGGCAATGTGGATGTCTCCAAGGTTACGGCCGAGTACCAAGACGGGCTGCTTGAAGTAAAGGTCAGCTCGAGGCGGCCGTCAAGTTTTTATTGTCGGTGGTGGGATTACATATGGCCTTTCTGACGAAATATGCAACCTAGATTCCCAAAACTCCTCCTGTTCACGGTCAAAAGATTCACATTGCCTGAAGTCACTCTATCTATTGGTACAAAACGTTTGTGTTTTGGTATTGATATTGATGCTACTTGAATCCCTTTGCATATTGGAAATAAACCCTTTTTTAACCATCATGTTCCCTGTCTTTGACCTTGTTTCTGTTTTCTCGTTCGTCAGTCAACCGCTTATTCCGATCATTACAGCTTTCATGATACGACTTTATTTCCCTAATACAACTGTGGGCCTATGATATCTTGTCTTTCTTCAAGTGACCGTTTGCAATTTTGTTTTTGATTGGAGGCGTAATCAACGTTGCGATGAATCGAATGCCCTTTGGAAAATTGATGTCAGTGCACAATCGAAAAAAGATGATCAAATCGGATTGATACCATGATGACAACGAGTATCCAATGTCCACCCCAACCCAAGTTGGACCATATTTGGCGAGATGGTGGCCATTGCAGTTGATCAAAAGATATCATGGCATAGTGCAATACACTAGTGCACCATAAATATCCAACGAGTCGATACAGTGCTCGAGCCAAGCTTCTCAAGAGACCCGGGCTCTTGTCATCGGTATTATATACCCACTTAGTAAAGGGATCGATCATGAGCCTCCATTCTCTTTCAACTTCCATATCCATAAATTCGAGCATAAAGCATGTAAAGTATCCAATATGCGTTCCATGCCATATTGCTAGGAAGAAGAGAGCGGCAAACGATGATATATACTTGTTATTGAGAAACCGCCTGCGAATAAACTTGTTAGCTCCCACGACTGTAATTACAGGCTGTCTTTGTTTCTTTCAAAGGGAAAAAAAAAGACTGGCAGATAAAACGTGCCCCTTACAGGCGTTTGAAGACATAAATCCGAATCCAATAATTGGTGTTGATGTTGAATGACGCCACAAAATCATTCAGCGAGAAGGGTCTCTCGTAAACATTGGTGTCTGCATTCAAAAGTCCATTCCACTGCGGGCGAGTTGCTTTGCCCATAGAGTCCTGTTGGTAGCCATTAAAACCAAGGGATGTCAGAGCTACGGGACCATCGACTAGTTGCCATATTCCTATATACTGAAGCGTTTCCAAAGTGTCAAAATCTGTGTCAAAATATAGCAGAGATTGCCTTGATTACTGTCGAAGAAACATACCTTCCACAAAGCTCCTTTTCCCCACATCCACATATAAAAGTACCGTTTCCAGACTGGCCAAGCAGCAAAGGCATCTGTTGACATGTAACTTATAGGGAATGTTTTTGTGACGAGTACATGGGCAGCCAGCAAGACCACACCAAGAGCTAGTCGGCTCAATGCGTATAAACTGGCATCAGGAATATGTAGAGATGTTTGGTGGTGCGAGTGTTTTCTACGAGCAAATATATGCAGGCTCATAAGTTCGTCATAGTGGACAAAGCAGAATTGCGGACCGACAGCCCATCCTGCGAAAAAGTAACCGAATGCTATAGTGTCAATGAGGGATGGGAAGGTATGTAGATGTCGATCGGCTTCTCCAATGATTGGTGATTCTTTATTTGATGGTTTATGAGGTTGTCGAGATGCTGGAGGATTTATAGGGTCGTGGAGAGGTGCTTGGAGTTTGGACCTAGTATTTACTTTTTGTCTGCCATCGTAGTAGTCCATTCCAAGTCCAATCATTCTCAGACACAATACCTACAGGAAGAATGGTTTAATTTTCATTGATGTAGATAGTTTTAATTCGGTTGAAGTAGTTAACAAGATCAAACCCACAGTATGTGGGTCGAAATCTCAAACAAACAAAAAGAGCACCTACACAATGCGGCGTGACCCAGGACATTGGTTCTACCAAGACATTTCTGTAATGGTAGCCGATGAGTAGATAGGACATGTTGAAGATCCAGATCAGGGCGGCGAGATAAGCCCTATTTATCTTCAAGATGTCGCCTCCTAGAGCAGCGATGCACCAGGTGACGGTGACAGTGATTGCAGTATGGACCAAGTCCAGGCCACAAAACACGAAAGCCAGTGCTATTGACGTGATTAAAACGTATGCTGTCCTGATGTACCGTGGAATTGATGGTCGCAATAGGCTGCGGAAGACCACACCCACAGGATAGCCCAGCAATATAGACAGCACCATTCGGAGCACACTGACCGACACTCCAGCTGACTTGCTGATATTCTGCAGTGCCTCCATCCTGTTTGCTAGCTAGTTACTGTTATTTGGATAAAATGTCGCTCTTCAAGGTAGCTGCAGCATTTACAACAACTACAGCGCTAATTATTCCATTTTGGTCATATATTATAGAAGTATATTGTGGATCTGGCTCGCTACAATATCTGGGCTTATCAGCAATTGCTCAAATCTTGCGAATCTCTGACGGATGAACAATACAGAGCACCTTCACAAATGGTCTTTAGATCTATTCACGGACAATTAAACCACCTTCTATTGGCGGATTTGCAGTGGTACCGTGTTACGGACTCCATTGCCGTTATGGTGACCTCCTAACAAAGGTTTGCCAAATAGGTACAGGCGACTTGTCTTCCAACAAGACACTGATGAAGCTAGAAGAGTGGCATCCTTCTTTGTTGAGGGCACCTACGGATTTGCTCAAGACTCCCCGGAAATCAAATGCGAGTCATTCATTGTTGATCGCGAAAAGCTCTCACAGGAGCTATTGGGCCAGGTAAATCTCACGTTGGTTGAAGACGTACCGATAGCTCACACATCTTTAACAGGCAAACAAGTTTCTGAAGCGTGTTGAAGAATATTCGGAAGACGAGCTCGCTGGGGTATGGGGAATAAATCGATCGTCATTCACCCGATTTCACTTGTACTGATTGATTTGATGTTCTGAACAGAACCTCGTATACCATCGCTCCAACGGTGCGAATATGGAAATGCCACTAGCTCAGATTCTCTTGCATGTGGTCAATCATGCAACACACCATCGAGGCCAAACAACCATCGCGGTGTGTAAATTTGGAATCAAACCACCAGTATTAGACTATATATATTTCCCTTCCAATGTTTCCAAAAACGTAAATTTGAATTGAAGGAAAAAAGAGATTCTTGAAGACATATTCTGTGAACTGGATTGTGGGTAACTTCTCGCGTTATGGAACGTTATCAGTTGCGAGATTGTTACATAAATACAAAGGCCTGACGGGCTTTATACATCTTGATCTCGCTCGTTTGGACCGTCTGCATAGGATTCAAGAACAACAAGACTTCAGTCACTCTGCATTAACACGTTTACGATGAACACCCAAAGGACTGGTTTTGAAGAGTACATAGGGAGCTTGGAGATCGTCCAAGGCCTGCCAAATCATGAGCAAGCAATGAAGATGCTCCGGATTACGGCTACAATGGTAGACAACACTTGACATATGAAGGGACGCAGCTTGTTTGATACTTTTGATACTGATACTTTCTTTACAAGATCAAGCCTATCATGAAGTCGCGTGGCTTCAGAGTCGGCCGATTTGTGGAATTGCATCCTACAAACCATTCTCCTCAGCTGTGAGTCTTGATCGCTGAACCGAATCCCGCAATCCAATATATCGTCAAAGGAGGCTTACTCTCCATTTTTCTATATTTAATTTAACGATAGACATGGGCTCAACTATAACCATGGCATAAAGATGCAAGTACAAATGCTTCTTGTTTTGTCATATGGGAACTGCTGAATGTACTCTCAACATTCTGCCACCCTTGTAGTGAACTGAGACTCAGGCATGGTTATGATACGTCGATGTTCCTTGACCAAGAATCCGTCATTTCAACCGTGCTTCACGAATTGACACATAATCTTCATGTAAGTTGCAAAAATGCAAGCCATTGAGCATCCTTTCTCTCTTGAAGTCGCTCATTCCGTTTCGGTGTGCAAAAGTCTTGGTTTCTACATTGCTAATTCCTTTTTCGTATAGGGGCCTCATGACGCAGTCTTTGTGTGTTGAACTTTCTTTGTCGGCACGGAACCGTGGCTATTCATTGAACTTTATTCTGATTAGTACAAAATACTTGATGAATTGCATGCAGAGTACGACGCACTGTTGGATTCAGGCTATCGAGGTAGGTGTCAGTTCCTTTGAATCCCTTCACCTTCACGGTTGACCCAATTCTCGACCATTCACACCAGGAGTTGGATTCGACGCGCCAGGACAGCGAGTTGGGACGGGTGTCTCTCACAATGTACCAGAATACATCGCTCGAAAACGTGCTATAGAAGTCGCTGAACTACGGAAAAGGCGACAAAAAATCATGGCTCCTGCAGGTAACATCGAGCAAAGTAATGATTTTCGGTAGTTCTTAAAAGCAGTCTTGTAGGTGGTGTGAAGCTGGGTGGTGGAGCTATGAGTCGAAAACTGGGATTGAGTTCAAAAGCTCTCGAACAAATGCTGAGTCCAAGGGAGTTAGGTGAGTACTTACTTAAGTTATTTCTGATCTATTTCCTTACTAACACGCATCGCACTGCACTGAAGCCGCTGCTTCCGCGGAACGAAGACTCCGAGACATGAAGTGGTGTGGATCAGAAGACTATGATGATAATCAAGCCACAGCTGCAAGCAGCAAACGACCAACAGAAACATTGAACGGCAGCTTATCGACCAAAAAACCAAAGCCTATAGAAAACAACATATATGCGAGTTGGGAGTGCTCGCATTGCACCTTTCTGAACCAACCTCGTTTTCCCTGTTGTGATATGTGTGGCTCGGAACGACCCAACTCTGACCAACAAGCAACACCAACTCAATCTCAGACTAAAAACTCAAAATCAATCGTCTCACAAAAGGAACCGATCGTACTAGAAAGTAAAGGTAAAGATAAGCAACTCACAGACGGTATTTGGCATGAAGACGGAAGTCTGGTATTTGAAAACGTCTGGATATGTCCGAAGTGCTTTGGCGACAATCAAACAGCATATCGAATGTGTCACAAGTGTCAATATCTAAGGGCATTATAACGAGATCATGTTTATATTACTGCAAAGAGTTTCTCAAAATGTAAATTGCTTCTAAATACAATAATCTCAATACATATTCACGGCTCGACCCAGGTTTGAGCTCCACCTTCCACCCATTTATCTTCTAAATTTTCACCTGTGGCGAGTCTCAGGACATCCTCAATCACTCCATGATTTCCCTACACATAAGATGTGAACAAGGGAGGAGTACTTCTGATTCTAACGAAGAGGTATTTACCAGGATATCGGTATGGTCCGAGCACTCCGGCCCACCTCGGGAATTTAGCGAGGGACTGACCACGTTCAGATATTCTCGAGACACCACACGAACTCGTGAAGGATTGACAACACTCTTTGATGACCTCCATCCCTTCGCACACATATACGCCTATTCAGAGTAATGTCAATTATGTCAATTTACGAATTTCGGAGGTTGTTTCATATCGGGAAAAGTCACAGTTTTATTACCAACGAGAGTAAATTCACAGTACCTGAAACGAAAGAAAGTGGTCAATAAACTGATCTCACTTCTGCAGCAACAACTTGTCATATTTTTATTTATTACCATCGCCATCGCTCAACTCTACTCCGTTTTCAATGGTAGTGTCTGCGTTCATGCTGGTATTGATAGCATGAGTGACACCTTCAGCGTCGACAGCTTTCTCATCGAGGCAGTGGTTTGTATCATCTGATGGAACACAGCTGCTTCCTTCACTTTCAGCCGTGTAAAAATACTATCACAAACACGCGCAAACACGCTCTGTGAGCATCAAATGGATTTTTACGGATGCCGTTTCAAGGCATTGCAGTCACCTTTCTTTCGGTTGGCTTTCCAATTCCATAAAGACAGTAAATGGTGTAGTTTGTTTTGAAACTTGGCAATGGCGCCAATAAAGGGTTTGTCCAAGCCGTATCATCATTTCGTGCGTGTTCTGCTTCATTGGAAGATTGGGCGCTACCGAACTGCGGTTTTGTGATTAACGGTATAGTGCCAACAGTACATTCCAAACACATTTTTGTTTCACCTGGTGCTCTTTCGTCCAATACAGATCACCTACTTCCTTGATTAGATAAGCTATACTTGCATCAACATCTAGATCTAGATTCCTAGTGCCGCGGATAGCCAACATGGCCGCGAAAGAGGGTATTTTATTTGGATCTTCGTCGAGAGATGGTAAATTCAAGTTTCCCCAAATTGCAGAACCACCCTTGGGTATCTGTTGGAGTTGGTCGAGTCAGTTCTGTCAAGATCGCTCCGAAGTATTCCAAGCGTCAAAGAAAGTCGCTCGTGTTCGTACCATACTAGGAAGAACGCCCCAACTTCGAAATAAATCTACAGTGCCATAATTTCGTGAAAAAGGCGAATATAGCGAATTTTTATGTTGGAGCTTTCTTACCAGTCCTCTCTCGTCGTGAGAATGCCCGCTCCAAAACATTCGTGGCCAGCGAAGAAAACTGTGCCGTGTCACGCGTCTCTCCAGACAACAAAGCAGAGACTGCCTGTGGCGGGATAGTCATTTTAGTTAAAGTTACTTTCACTCATGCGATTCTACGTTTTGAAGTAGTTATGAATACCTTTGGAACTCCAAGTAAGGGACCTGAAATGTCGACATGAGAGTATAGATATTGTTCCGCCCAGCTCTCTCCTGCATTTCCACCAGCTGGCGAGCTGACCCAATTCAGAAAATATAAGAAGACCAAGTTTCCGAGTGAATGGCAAACAACTAGAACTTTCTCCCCGTTGTTTGCCACAACCGCGCTCTCTATGGTTTTCTGCATTCGAGTGCTGACACGGACGGATCTTTGGTTAGCAGCGAGTCACGTTAATTCGAATTGGCGTAAGCTCTTACAAAAGATGGTCTCTAAGCTCCATATTTTTCATTGACAACCTCCAATCGTAACCCATAACAAACATAGAGTTAGAGTCGTATTTGAGTGCAGCCAGGTTGCTTATAAGCTTTGCTAAAACCCTATCAAACAACGAAATGTATTTGCCAAAACCTCACATTTGACAGATCGTACCACCACCCACCAATAACCAGGAAACAAATAATCAGCAGAATCAAGTCCTAATGAGGCTCTCAGCTTGAAGCCCGATGGTGGATCTCCTCCCGTTTTTGGATCTAGCTTGACTAAATTGCGCGTGGTGTCAATATGGAACCAAACGGCTCAAAACAAAATGCGACTGTACAGTGTTCGAGCCAACAATCACGGTCCAACTAATTATAGAGTGGTTTGAAATTAGAGCACGCCATAACTAGAATAACGCAACTCACCAGGATGGCCGAAATTTGGTTCATTGTGCCCCAAAGCTTTTTTCGGAAATAGTTCTGAGGGCAAGTTTTATTCAACACTATGGGATTGGCCGGTGTATTCCAAACCTCTAATGTACTTGAGACCAGTCCTGGTATGAAAACCACTGGATGTTTGACCTTTGACAGTCCTTCCTGAAAACAAAGATCCAGTCAGCTTACAAGAGAAATATCACCAACATAAATCGACCAAATCGAGCTGCTTCACCCAAAAAGAATGCAGACCTCATCAATGAGTTTTGATCCAACACTGAAGCTATCATCTGCAATTTGAGGTTTGTTTCCCATGCGCCCCGCCATGTCTTCAAACATTGCCGATAGATTTTTAGCGAGCAGATCCTGCGATAAATATTGCGATGCATCGATATCCCCAAAGATTGATATCTTGTTGATCAAATCTTGAACTGTCCCTTGCAAAATTTCGGGAAGGGGGGGTTGCTTGACCACAAGAGGAGGAGATCTGTGCATTGATTTCGAGTCAGAAAACGTGCATTCCGAATACCAACACTATTCTCGAAAGCTACAGCGAGCTTACATCCAATAAACAAAGACCAACACAAAAAAGATCAGGAAACAATAACAGCGCTTGTGAGAGGCTTTGTTGACTTTGATCTCTGGCTTATCGTCCTTGCCAGATGCTTCCTCAGCTTTGGCATGGGGCACTTCAGGCTTCTTTCGTCGAAACATTTTTGCTGTACACAGCAAGGTTGGTATGCGTGTCAAAGGCAAACGTCTACATTTCACCCCAGATCTCACCTTAACAGGACTCTAAGCCCATTTACAAATTATTTATTACTTCAATTTACAAATTTTACTTGACTGCGAATTGCGCAGCTTTACATGTGGTCCAACGAGAAATCAGGCGCCATCTTCATAAAGGAATCGATGCATTACTTGTCCAGATCCCAAATCGTGGCTTTAGCACTACCTACAATGGCAGTTTCACGATATCCACCGCTAGGACTTTTGATCATTATTACACGTTGATGATCGTTCATGGTTTTTGGTGGCAATGGCAATGGTGGAGGATCAGGAGAATCGCGTAAGCTTGTACGATGGAGAGATTGAAAGGTGTTTGGCCTTCGAGGACCTTTTGGCCTCTCGATTCGTTGAATCGAATGGCTACTACGACTTGCGACAAGTTGACTACGATTACGAGCTCCAGTATCGATTCTAGGAAGTCGTGGTGGGTCCTTTCTCGTCCTAATCTTTGGAGATGAGCTAGAACTTGCGGAAGATGACTTGGCATCTGTTGGGTGTGATATGGCTTCGTTGGGCGAGACTAGAGTATTTACAGAAGGTGCAGATGGTGTTGTGGCAGCGTTGCGGATATGAATCTGTTCTAAAGGGACAGATTCATCGTCCAGTCGTAACGAAGGCGTGCTATCTGCTTCGAGAGAGTGTGATAAAAACGTAAAATCATATGACAAGGAGATTCCGTTTCCATTGCTTCCATTACCTTCTGGATATAGATTCTCCAGCTGTTCAAATACTTGCGAATGGTATTGAATGAAGAAGTGAGAGTCATCTTCGCGTTCATCCAGTGTCACAGGTATCCCTCGCAAGACCAATGCTGATTCAAATTCTGAAATCAAAGATGAATGGCAAGTTTCGACAGGTGATATGACATAGGGCTGTTCTTGATTAGACGAGAAGATGCTGAGAGCATTTTCGTTCTCGTTCCAACAGCAGTTGCCTCCAAATAGAGATTTCATGGCTTCTATAAGATAAAGACGCATTGAAAAAAGGAAGTAGATTTGTTCAGCGATTGCGTCAACGTGGTTAATTCTTTGACTCTCAAAATTAGCAGCATTGGTAGTTGTTCTCCTTGATCCAAACACCGACCTATGAGATATCCCTCTGCAGCTATATGGATAAGCTGGTTGTGGACTCTGGCTCTTTGCTCTCCTCTACACAGTATGCGATACACTTGGACAACAATCGACTGTCACTCGAATTTGATAAATTTACGGATTTTGTGTCCTTACCCACGAATTTCTTTTTTGTAGGAGTCTTGTCCGCAAAGGAATTGGCAACTTTGCCGAGGTCTTATTTACGCTAATTACGCGTACAATCCACGATTTGACCCGTCTTTCTACTTCATAGTGTACATCACCGTCAACATTTGGAATCACGACGTCTCGCACTGAAAACACATCTACTCTCGTCATCAGAACACTACAATTACGCCGATGACGCTTTGGCCACGTCGGTCTCCATCTCAGGAAGTTGGATCTACCGAGTCTCGCCCTATCTCAATGGAAAAAGAATCATAGGTTCGTTGCATAATCAATGGAAACAGAATCACTGGTTCGTTGTATGTTTAAATATACAACGAACCTGTCTTTAAGCCCGTTTTGGAACCATATTGCGCTAGAATACTTTCCGTTCTGATTCGGATTCAATTTTAGGTGCTGATACTGTGCTCATGCACTCTGGCGGCAATTGGATGTATGGTGAAGTCGCTGCTGACTTGACTCGTAATTCCAAACTGATTTCAAGGGACTTGGAACATGTTATCAGCACAGAAGAGGCCGTATTTTATTCTAAACAAGCAGCTGGTCATTTGCTGCCCAATGTAACGCACAAACCAGCGGTAGAATCGGTGTATTATGTATCCAATCACCACATTATCGAACAGCAGCCTCAAATTGTGCCTGCTTATAGAGTGCTAGATGTAGCAGAACCAATCCAAACTCGCCGTATTAGATACATTGATGCAACTACAGGTTCCATTCTGTCATCCATACCCACCCTTCACAAAGACTCCGGGAACGTATACACAATGCCAAGCTTTGTAAATTACCGCCCACCTACCACCGCTCCTTCTGCCATTGTATTGCCAGATGTATCCGGTGCTTCAACCACAAATGGTGGTTACGGTATCTTTGGCAAGTATTTCAGGAGTATGAATACGTGCTTTGCCTACAAATGTAATCCAGGTGCTACTCTTTACGGCACAAACGGGTCTCAAACGCCAGGCGCATGCAACGAAGATGGGTCCATGTGTGTTGATCCAACTTCTAATATGACTGCAGGATTTGATTATAATACAACGGAATGGTTTTTTACCATAGACGGCAAGTTTATAGATTTTGATAGAAATTGGACTGCCGATGGCTACGAAAACGGAGCATTGACGCTTGTGTGGAGGAATGCACCTATATTCGCACCCAGGCTCAAGTTTCCCGCTAATGGCATCTGGGGAAGTGACACAAACTTTGCACAGTAAGTTTCCAGAAAGATCGACAGATATTTCAACAAATAGCAAGATGTCGTGTTCTTTGAAGCGTTTAATTTTTCACTTGCAATAGACATTCAGACGTTTCTGACATTTTCTATACCTTTCTTCAATTTATTAGATACTACGGAACAGAGCAAACGGATTCCTTCTCGGAGCTACAAGTCTACTATCTTATGAACCTTCATCTGTCGTTCATGCGAAATCTCACGAATGATAACAATTCTGTATTTTGCTTCTTTGGATCTGGACCCACCTGTAATCAGATCGACCCTAAATCAAACAGGACCGCCACCGTGTTTGATACACCTCTGAAATTCACTACAAACTTGCAAAACCTCGTCTTCACACCGTCCCCTGGTTCTTCCCATCCGGATTTCTTCACACAACTTAGCCAAGGCCTTGGCAAGAATCATCTGTCTCCTATAGCATTCTACGAAGCTGGTGATTATGCGTACGTCCCTGCAAAACGCATTTCATTCTCGGTGTCCGCAACGTGAATGTTTAACACAATTCTATCTCGTAGAGATGCTTACTACACCTACTCTGGATTTATTCCACCTAACGCTACGGCAGAATTTCGAGATTGTACAGGAGGAGCCTGTCTTTCCATATACTCGAGCTATCTTGATTTTTTTGCATTTGGCCAGACCAGCCTCTATGATTGGGGCTTGAACGCTTGTATTGTCATGCATGAGATGACTCATGCGTGGACGCAAAAGATCATTCCAGATTTACCGTCATTTGTTTGGACTTCGCAAGGTCTTATAAGTGATCCGGGCGCCTTAAACGAAGGGTGGTCTGACTATTGTAAGTAAAGGAAAGGAAACCACACGTCACCAGAATATTCCTCTAAAGCATATCGAATAGTTGCATTCATTCACTGTGGTCTTGCGGATTTCACCAAGTCGTACACTGGTACACCTCGCAGAAGTTTAATCAATACTTTGACCTGTGCCGACACCGTCGGCGAGGTTCACGCAGACAGGCAAGCAGAGCTACCTCTAATCTTTGAGAATTGGGGTATGCTAACAATGATTTGTCGCAGCCAAATATTTACTGGAGCTCTATATGACATTCGAGTTGCAATTCCACAAACTGCATCCTTGTCATCTGCAGATCAAACCTCATTTGATCAAGTCGTATTACAAGCTCAAGCTTTAGCTCAGGCCTCGGATACGTTTGTTACTCAAATGACCAAGATCTTGACTTTATTGGAAAATCATACACGTCTGAATGTAATGGTTTCAGTTGCCAACGAGACATTCTCACGAAGGGTATTCAACTGCCAGCGAGTAACGGCTTATGACGAGACAAAAGGTCCTTAATGGGAGTTTTGGATTTCCAACCAGCAACGTAAGTTAAACTTATTCTAATTTTAGACTCGACCCTATTCATTGGTGCAGCTGATACCAATCTGCAAGTATCAACCACACCAACTCAATTCTTGTTGTCTCCACGAGTTTCGGACTTCGGAGCTCGTATTTCTTGGTCGCAATGGTACTTGTCCCCCATATTGGGACCCCTGTCAATAGGCAAGTCCAAACTATGTCATCCGTACAAGAGCGTATCGATTTCGCTCGGTTGTCGTATTAATCGAATCGTTGAAAATAGGATATGGGAAGACTTTGATGAAAGCTTTCGTTTCATACAATTGCCCAATAGCGCTCAATCTGACTGTCAGCAATATCACAGCATTTGATTCGTGCTCTCTTTTGCCGCTGAGCTGGACTACTGCCACATTATCACCATCGAATTTGGCGGAGATCCGATTGTCTTTTGATCCAGGTGCCGCATCAAGAATATATATCTGGGTCTTTAACACAGCACCCGCCACGCTCGTATTATATAGTATGTCGCTTCAATGGGAAGGATTCTCGTATTTGTGGTTGAAGACTATAGCTGCTATCGGGTTCTTGGGTGTGTTGATTAGCTTGATACTCCTTGTCATAGTTGTCTGGCGCTCTCTTAGGTTTTGGAGAGCGAAGCCAATGCACGCATCAACCTCCAGAAATAATACGAACGAGGTAACCAGTATGGAAAATTTAACAACGACCTCCTCTGCATCTTTGCCATCCCCAGCGCCTAGTGTACCCAGGAAATCCGAACCTAAGACCATCATATATGCAGCTTTCCAAATAGCGTCGACGCTAGCAATGGCTACTGTTGCAACTTTGGGACTGATTTTTGGACCATTCAGATCCGTCTCGATTGTAATTGCTTTGGCCATCACCATAATTCCTGGGTTAGTAGACATCCTACACTCTTATAGAAAGACGGGGCTGTGGAGGAAAGTATTAATATCGTCGTCTTCCGTGGCGTCCTTGTCGGCGCTGGCCGCCATTCCATCATGTGTTCTAGCATCAACCCCCGTGGCCGCGCATGCCGTATTATATTCGATATTTATTGTATCGGTCTGTGGCCGCTTCCTCGCTTGTATTTTAATAGTTTTTAGTATTTAAGAAAAGACAGGAATTACAACTATTTTCCATCATTTTCGAACTTGTAAACTTGTACAGTTTAGAAGCAGAAAGTCTACTATGCCATCAGAAAATTTCTACGCAACAGGACATGTACCATGTAATTAAAGCTTTTGCAACAACACCTTTGAGGAGATTTCAGACTCACGCGTCCTAAAAATCGAGTTAAAATATCACTTTTTCACAAATCAAAATAGTAGAGAAGTCCAAACTCACAATTCTTCAGCTTTATTGACATTCGCCAGAAAGTCATCAAATCTTATAGACACGTCCTCTATTGGCTGACCGGGCATTCTCACATGGAATTCACATTTCACTTGCGTTCCCTGAAACAAAAATAATCGTCAAAAGCGACTTGACTTTACACGCGTAATTGTAAGCTACCGAAAATGCGATCTCAGCTACTCGAAGTATAACGTTGGCAGTTAAACCCCAAACTCGTTCATTGCTTCTCTGAAAACTATCCACAGAGACGAAGGTAGTGAGTAATTGGCACTTGCATAAAACCACTAGCCACATCTCTTTACCTGTGCATACGCCAAGGTTCATTAAGCCAATTCATATCCACATGAGTATGATCGTGGTTTTGAAAAATGGATTTTAGCGAGATCGAAAATACGCGATCCACTTCCGACGGATTGGGCGACGCACGACCGATGAAGTCCGATGGTATCAACCCAATAACCGGACTAACAATCAGTATATTCCTCGACACAGTTGGGTGGATGCTGTTCAGGATGCTGACTTCATCTCTGCTCAATCCCACTTCTTCCTCTGCCTCTCTCAAAGCAGTCTCGACTATATCTGAGTCAGCAGAGTCGAATTTTCCACCGGGGCAGCTCACTTCTGAAGAATGGCTCCCCAGATTCGAAGATCGGACTGTTAACAGAACATCTAGCTCCCCATCCTCATTAATGAAAATCGGTACCAATATTCCGGCTCGTCTAAATAGATTGGATTGATAGTCGGTTAGCTTGATTTCAAGTTGATCCTCCATGTAACCATCATCAGTTTTCAAAATGGCTGTATTGGATCATTTGAAATGGGCCTACCTGGGACCAGCATAGCCAGCGACGACTTCATTCAACCGAAACGAATGTTCTCTTATATTCTTCAGAGCGATTTGCGTCTCCTTTGTCATGGCCATAGTTATTCGAAATCGACATTAGTTTCGAGAGATTACATCACCTTAAACTAAGTACCGATCGCTGACCAAACCTCCACTAAAAAGGCACTAATTCGCTTTAGAATTTATAGTTTATGCAAGGTGTCCAGACATAGACGCGTGTTCAACTATTGTCATTCAGAAATAACACAAAATATTATTTTCATAGGCATAACGGTACAGCTTGCAGATACGGCTTGGGAATGCTGTAGTTAGCTGTCCTGATAATTACAGTTTTCCCAAGCGAATAGCACCATCCAGACGAATCGTAGAGCCGTTCCTTGCAAAAAGTCTTGAGCGACGTGTGTTTTGTTTACGATACAAAGCATGACAGACTTACAACATCGAATTCGAAATAATTGCAACTGCCATGCGAGCAAATTCTTCTGGATTTCCCATTCGTCTTGGGAATTCGGCATCTTTAAGCAGTGCGGATTGGAGGTTTTCGCCACCTTGTTGAATGAAGCAAGTTTTGGGATTGATGGAGTCATGCAAATGGAACATGTACTCTGAAAAATGTAAGCAAGGAATAGCGTACCTCGAGCCATCATAGCAGTAGCAAAAAGACCGGGCGCGATGGTCATGACGCGAATACCATCTCGCGCAAGGTCTCTTGCCAGTGGTAAGGTCATAGATGCTACACCGCCCTTGGAAGCGGAGTAGGCACTTTGCCCCGTTTGGCCGTCTTCATAAGCTACCGATGCTGTATTGATGATTACACCTCGTTCACCTAAATTTAAAACCTTAGTAATGTTCATAGTTTTACTACTTCAATACCAAGTGTACCATCCGATGTCAAGGGTTCTTGCTTTTGCATTATTATGGCAGCCTCTTTAGCACACAAACTAGAAATGATGTTATTTGTTTGTGCGCTTTCATATGGTCTGATTGCAAACATGGACTCACAATGTGCCAACAAGATTGACGTCAACAACAAATTTGAATGCTGACAACGTCATCTTCGTGATCCTAGAAGCGAATCCAACTCCTCCACAATTTACAATTCCTGCAATTTTTTTCCCTTTGAAATGGTCCACTGTGTCTTGCATGGCTTTTTTAACAACATCCTAACGGCCATATGATTGAGTCCAACGACTACAAGTTACAAACTTTTCACCGTCTGACTTCTTTTGTAACGTCCACCGGGCCTGGCCAGAATCCACCAATACTTTGGGCAATCTTGGGTCCCAACTCTTCGTTCATGTCGAAGATGGAAACATGTCCTCCTTTCGAGGCAATGAGACGCCCGGTTGCTTCTCCTAAGCCACTTGCGCTAACAGAGATGCAATGAGTGTTAGGCAGGCCAATTTGATAGCGATGGTGTCTCCTAAACGCTGTTGCGACAAAAACGTGTAACAAAATCCGGATATCAAAGCAGCAATCAGAAACGAGCATCCGGCATACCCTCCGGTAACGAAGAATACGTTTCCATTAATTTCAACCATTTGAAACGCCTTGCAGCAGTTGACTGTCGTTCTATGCCAGGATTGTACACCTTACACTAGTGTGTCGCACATTATGTAATCGCAGAGATATCATAGCAGTGGAGGACCAGCTTTCGTGGTGGAGGAGTATCACGACGCGGGAATGTTATTCGAGTTACTTATAATAAGGTCTTAAATACAATGAAAATACCGACAACAAATCAAATATAAGTTCTTTTTTCGTTCACATGAACGACTTGATCGTCTTTGCTCTCGTCGTGTAACGAATGGCAAGGTAACCAAAGAATGTGTAGCACAGCCACAAGACAAGAAGTACTGCATAACATGCCTCGATTGGTACTTCTTGGATGTCTTGGAAGTTTAATACAGCTTCACCGTTAGGGAAGCACCGACTATCTTCACAAGAGAAGACCAGCCCACGGAATTCATTTTGACTCCAACCAGAAAATGAATAGTATAGAGGGTCCGAATACGTACTATTGGCGTTCAAGGAATGTTGGTTGGAACTTGTCTGTTGCTCCAAATTCAAATACCAAAAGACACCTACATCCAGCGAAGCCATACGGGAACGTCAGAGGGAATAATCAGATTACCAGCAAACATTCCATAAACTAGATAGAAAACCACATCAGTTTCAATAATTCTCTGAGGAGCGAGCTGCTGACACGTACTTGAACTTAGCATGGTTGCAATAACTAGACCAACTTCCACACTGGGAGCGACAGCACTAATCAAATACCCCAAAGAGTGACCAGCTAATGCCAATACGGCACCGATACCAATATATATACCATACTTTCTCGCCACGACTTGGAACCCAATCCTGGCAGTCAGCAAAAGTGAAGATGAGCTCGATGGAAATCAAAGAATAGATGCAAACAACACTACTCACATAAAGTATAGAGCAGTGAGAATGACAATATGCTGTAGGAAAATGGTGATGATATCCGTGGTTAACTTTGAAAAGTAGATTTCCGAGGCTGTATATAGAGACTTGGATCGTTCTCTGACAATCAAGGGCCTTTGAGATGGCAAGATTCGAACAATACGGAATAGACCCGTCAGGAAACGTTCCAACCCCAAGAAGAATAGAATACCGAGACGATTGTTGATTGATTTTTGGTCCCTGTAGAGTATATCAAAATTGAGCACCTCTGTTTGAGGCAACTGCGACCGCCCTAAACAAGACAACAAACTTACAAGCCTAGTTGCCAAAAGAGCCAACCAAAGAGGAAGATGACCAAGACAGTCTGTACAATAATGATATAGGTAGTCTGTCGATCGCGCCGAATGAGTAACAAATTCCTTTCTGCCAATATACTCCAGCGTCTCCAGTACCTAAACATGTTGTAAAAGAAGCCCTTGGAGTCAGGCTGCTTGATTTCCGCTGGCTGAGGTTCGGTGGCGAATGGAGGGAATTTTTTACTGTTGAAGTTGACTCGCCAATGGCTCGATAGTTTCTCAATACGACCATCCGATGAAAGTCGTCTTGCTTCAGTGGAACTATCAGGTGTGGAAACATCCAAGAAGTGATCACCAGGGTTTGTCAAGGCCGGGACGGGGTATCCAGCGTTATCGAAGTAGGTAATGGCGTCTAAGGTAGGAACAAGACATTGGATAATCAGAAATCAAAGTTTGAGAATACCACAAAAGTCTTATTGCACGCGAAGTAACATACCCTCTACGTTTCCGGTAAATGTAAGTTGGCCTTTGGAGAGAAGGATAATTCGATCGAATTTTTCCAGAATCTCTTTACGAGGCTGGTGAATAGCCATGATCATGGTGCGACCACCCTTGTCGGCAGCTTCACGAATCGTATCAATGACGTGGTATGCGTTGAAAGCATCCAATCCAGTCTAAATTGAGTGGCGAATGTTAGCTTTTTAGCATGTAGGTGTGTTTTCCGGCTGATGCCTGTTGCAAGCAGCGACTTGTGTCAGGTGCAAATGACTCTCACCGTAGGTTCATCAAAAAACATGCACATCGGACTGGTCATTAACTCCATACCAATGTGAACACGTTTTCGTTCACCACCAGAAATACCACGTTTGACTGAGTCTCCAATAAGAGTATCTTTACAGTCACCTAGTCGCATCTGGTTGATGACTTCTTCGACTCGTTGATGCTTGCGTTCCAATGGCATATCGTCAGGGAGCTTGAGTAGAGCAACGTAGGTCTGATTGTTGAATGATAATCAGTTGTGAATTCATTGGGCCGAATAAAAGCCGGGATATAACTTACCAATAGCTCAGAAACAGTCAAACTTTCGTCCATCAAATCATCTTGTTCAACATACCCAACCGCACGCTTCCACATATGACGGTCTCGTCTGTGATTGTTGGATCGAATGTCACCAGTAATGGTTCCAGAAGTGACACGACCAGCTAAAACATTCAACAGTGTCGTTTCTAGATGTATGGACGGGGTTGGATGTTGGTAAGTGTGAATGATTCACAAACATTTTCAATTGAATAAATATAACAATTCATAGCAAATCAATAAAAAAAAGCGACACTCACTTCCAGCACCGGATCCTCCCAAAATGGCAACGACTTCACCAGGACGAGCTTCCCCACACAAGTCCTTCAAGATTAGCTCCTTATCTTTACCACGAGAGCGCTGAATAGAGTAAGATAGGTTTCTCCATTCCAATGCGATGCCATCCTCAGCGCGCCAGGTCTTTTCCTTTGGTGCCGATTTACCCTCCAGAGGATGAGACATGCGTAAGACACTTTGGCTGCGGGCGACTCCGACAGGGCCACTTTGAGCCAACTGCGACATGGTTGTTGGACTTTGTTGGCCATCCATTAATGACGTTTGCGTTAAGGGGGCTGTTCCCAAATCACCGTCATCATGAGGAGCGGAAGCGATGATTTGTTGTGGATGAGAGGGGGTTGGAGACTAAGACAAGCGAATGCGATGTGAGTAAAGCAAGAAGAGTGTTGTTGTTGTTGTTGTTGCGAGATAGGTTCAAGTTCAGAATTGACCAAGCAACAAAACGAAAAAGTCTGAGCATCGACGGCAAGCTTTGAGAGTCATACAAGTGCAGTTTGCAACAACTGTGGACTATTGCACGGTGGGAAGTGACCTTACACTGGCATTTCGTTCTATATTCCATAGTCTCTCAAAGACGGCAGGAGTGATTTCACCTCTAGCAAGCAAGCCCTCCAGAATGGGAGATCTTGTACGAGCACCGGCTCTGTTTACACCAGGAGTGGTAGTTACAGGGATACCACGAGAAGCTAATAGTGCAGCCGACGTTTCGGAGGTTCTTTTTCTTGTGGGTTGAGGAAGTTGCTGATTTGGTCTGATGTTGTTGTTGCTTCGACCGTCGGTGGTGGATATAGGACTCGTTGGACGGTCACTTGGGGATTCTGGTATTGATGTACCATCGGATTGCTTGATAGGGAGAGTTGGCGACGAAGGAGTCGGCGACATGGTCTGGGCTACTTGCTGTGATGGTGTAAACCTGTAACGGCGGATACAATGAGCTAAGGAGGTATCCGTTAAATGTTTCTATCTGTTTGATATGCAATGATCTCACCCGATACAGACTGCTTTAGCGGTTGCCTGCTTGCGGTCTTGTGTATGTGAGCAGAACGAACTTGCTTTTTTTCGCTGTTTTTTCTCTTGCGATTCAAGTGTCGAGAGCAAGCTGGACGCGAAAGGAGAAGCAAACCGCAAGGGCTGATGGTTTGGAGCCCGTACTACTCTGTAGATCTGTACTGGAAAACTTCCATGTTAATTCAGCAAAGGGAATTCTTTGCGGTTATTGTTGCCCAGCTATCACGTAGGACATAGGACGGTCAAGTTTTCTGTAAAACAAATGAAAAACTCAATGTTTGCTACTTCTTATGCGTCTAGGTATATACTTTGGGTTTTACGGTTTTACAAACAACCATTTTTGGCCTAGAACCTCAGCATCAAGTCCAGCCCAGTTAGCAAGGATGCCATTCCAAGTAAATTATATAATTTGCTAGACAGGGGTAAAGAGAGGAGATAAGGGGTGGAGGTAGAGGTGGCAGTACATAATATGTACATATAGTGGGTGAGAGGGCTACCATTTCAAAAAGTAAAAGAGAGTGGAGACTGTACATTCGATAAGTAAACCAATTATTTGGAGTCAAATGAGCTAGCATTCGTTCGTAGGCATGCTGGTTTAACATCTGCGTGATGTGCTAGGATGGCTCAAATGTGACTCAAGACACAAAACTGGGTAAAAAAACGGTGAAAGGGAGAGTGGAGATTGTACATCCAATAAGTAAACCAATTATTTGGAGTGAAATGAGCTAGCTTTCGTTCGTAGGCGTGCTGGTTTGACCTCTGCGTGATGTGCTCGAATGTGACTTACCTAGGGGCCTAGGGTAAGGGTAGGGATAGGGATAGGGTAGGCGGTACATATAGTGGGGGAGGGGGTATTTCGGTCTACCATTTAAAAAAACGTTAAGAGGGAGAGTGGAGATTGTACATCCAATAAGTAAACCAATTATTTGAAGTCAAATGTACTAGCTTTCGTTTGTAGGCGTGCTGGTTTGACCTCTGCGTGATGTGCTCGAATGTCTCACTCATTAATCGAAGACATACAAAACGAATAAAGACCAGGCGTAGATACCACGATATACATGAGCCAAAATCATCCACATTGGCGCAAATTTGAAAAGCAGGCGTGCTGAATTCAGCAGCTTGTTGTAATGGGCAGTTGTTCGTTGTGTGTGTCTGTGTAGAACTCAACCCAACAGTCCTTAACTATGTGCCGCTGGCATACCCAACTACTACGACTAGTAGTTGCTTTGCTGATACTATAACTATGATATCTGTCGTGTATGACGCGTCTAGGATTCCTTAATATGGTGCGATCACCATAACATGCTGATTTTAATGATTCTGTTCAATTGACCTTTGATGTCAATAGCCACCCACACTTTCATTCCTCTCTCCAAACACTTGGACCCTGCGAGTTGTGCTTTTGGCTGCTGAAAAAGCACTCCTGCAGGCGGGGAGCTTTTTCGGGAACCGATTTGCGGATCATTTCGGCAATGCTCGGGACAATAACCGTCCCTAGCGCACGCATAGCCAACTACACTAAGCTAGCGAACATGTTGTTGGGAGCTCAACATGTTCCAACATACAAACAAGCGGTACGCGACAAGACAAGGCAGGAGGGAGAGGACGAATCATCTAGAATATCAGAACAGTACAGTGAGTAACCTAATTGTCATCAGCGGTGCATGACCCAGAGTAACGAAACTGTAAGCACACTACTACAAACAGGGCATCGCACGAAACTGTATGCACACTACTCCATTCAAATAAATGGTCCCAGAGTCACCAAAGTGAAGACAAGGCTATGTTAGCTCAATTGGAATCCAGCTGGACCTGTAAATCAGGGCATCAGCTTCATGACTGCTTCATCAGGCACGTAACACTACATTGCAACTTTGAGACCTTGGAGTTAATTTTGTCCTAGATTCGTTCGTTTTGTGCAATGAAGATCATCTAACATAACTCTGTACAATTTTTATATTGTCGAATACAGCTATCGAGTGTCCACCGACTCAAGACCGCTAGTACGAGAACTCTGTCTTCGAATAAATGCTTGTGTGGATGCAAGTACTCGAACGCTTCTTCACTGTTACTTGGATGAATTTTGTCTTGTTCCCGGTGCTCCGTGGGCCCAAGGGTTTCTGAACGGGATCTGTCGGTCGAGGATGGTGATCCTGTTCATCACCGAAGAATGTCTAGAAAGGATGAGAAGCGCCGATAAAGGAACTGGAGACAATTTACTTCTCGAGGTTAGTCTAACACAACGATTATGGTGATGCTGGTCAGGGCTTTCTCAAAATCTGGTATCATAAAGTGGGAAGTAGCACAAGAGCTAGTCAAGCTGGGAAAGACAGTGTTGCTACCACTGCTGGTCGGTCGAGCAGATGAATTGACTGGGGCTCTATACCAATTTCAAGATTTCCCGGATCCTGACTTTTCGCAATTTCCTGACAAGAAGCATCCACACCCCCTCTCCACCACCAACCGCACAATTAGAGACACAATCAAGGCTGTCTTTGCCCTACAAGGTACACAGGTTCTTCCTACCCAGCTAGGAAGGTATGTGCACAGACGAAATTGAAAAACTCTCAAGTTGCTACTTTATCAAACTCTACAATGCTAGTGTCATTCCAACAGTCACTGCATCACTTCAAAGACTAGAGGAGTCATTTGCACCTTCCTGGATGGAAAGAGGGGAATCTTATAAAGATCCAGCGTCTTCTTCTGCGCCGCGACGCCCAGGTTACAGATCATCTCAAGTCCTTACTGGACATACTGACGCTGTATGGGGTGTGGTCTTCGCAGACACAGGGTCGAAACGAATTATCGCTTCAGGTATGAAGCATTCTGAACGTTGAAACTTTGTGGTTGGAGCTTTCGACTTACCAGTCGTATTGTTAGGCTCGAAAGATAAGACCATCAAGATATGGAGCCTCAGGAATGACCGTTTTGTCGGCAAGCAGTCTTCTGATCTGTTTCTGGCTTTAAATATCCAACCTCCATCGTCGTACTAGAAACTATGACGCTTCGCGCACACACGGGTGGAGTCTTGTGTGTGGCCAGCAGTCCGCGGCTACCACTGCTGGCTTCAGCAGCTGCGGACTGCACCGTTTGTCTCTGGAACACTGATAATGGGGCGCTGTTGAGTTCTATTAAGGAACACAAGAGTTGGGTCAATGCTGTTGCTTTTGCCCCGAACGGAACTATTTTTGCCTCTGCTGGAGGATTACCACTTACACCTTGCAAGAACTATAAAACGTATTTAATCGTTGAGATTTGGATGCTCACATTGTCTCTAGATCCAAATCGGTTCAATTGGGAGCCAAAAACGGGGCAGGTTCTGGCCTCTCCCTCTCCTGACGACATGGACTACAGTATCAAGTTTTGGAACGGTAACACTGGTAAAAGTGAAAATTAAGAGAGCATGCTACCTGTTTCCTTCATCCAATCAGCTTCAACAATAGGTACAGCATTGAGAGGTGCACTAAGAGGTCACGAGAATGGAGTACTGAGCATTGCCTTTTCACCCGATTCAAACACCCTTGTGTCTGGTGGTACGTTTGTTCTACAAACAATCTGGTTTACTATTACACCAACAATCGTCGGTAACAGGTTCTTGGGACAAACTCATAAAGTTATGGGATTTGAGGCAAGCTGGAAGAGAGATTGCAAATCTCGCAGGACATGCCAATTGGGTCAATGGAGTGGCTTTTGGTCCAGCAGGATCCAGTTGCATAGCAAGTGGGTCAGGCGACAGCACTGTTCGCATTTGGGATCTTCGGACATGTATGCGATGGCTAAATGAATTACAACTGGAGACCTCGAAAAGTTAACAACTCTGGCCTACAGGTAGTGAAACGAAACGACTTGTTGGCCATACCTCATTCATAAGTTCAATCGCATTTCCTGATAACGATGCAGAGCTGCTGGTTAGCAGCTCTTACGATGGGTCACTGAGGACATGGAACTGGAAGACAGGTGATTGTTAAAAGGGGCTTAGGTTCAATGGAGTGCTTTAATCTCTCTTCTTCTCACAGGCGAACCAATACAGAGTCTCTTTGAACATCAAGGACCTGTTTTGACAGTTGCAACTCGCGCTGATGGTGACGTCGTGGTGTCTGGGTCAGAGGATCACTCGTTGCACGTTTGGAGACGCTAAACAAGCTGGTTGTAATACCCACGGAAGGAACGCTTTACCGAAAGTCTTTGGATTTCTGCAATGACTAGGGTTGTGAATCCTCTCCGCCAATCTTTTTTGTCTGGAGTTTCAATAAATGGCTGGTTGCCTTCCCTCTTAACTCGTCTCTGTATGAGTCTTCCATGCTGCATATGTTGTTTTTCTAGAGAACGTCGAGTTCCGCATGTTTTGACATTGAAATATGTGTCTGAATGATGAGGAGCCGATACTTTATAGTGTTGTGAAGCGGGGGTGGGGGGTAGAGGGTAAGGATGGAGAGAGGGGACAGAGACAGGGGTAGGGACAGGGGTAGGGAGAGAGTAGAGTTTCAAGGGGGGTAGGGGTACATATAGTTAGGGAGGGGTATTTCGGTCTACCATTTAAAAAAACGGTGAGAGGGAGAGTGGAGATTGTACATCCAATAAGTAAACCAATTATTTGAAGTCAAATGTGCTAGCTTTCGTTCGTAGGCGTGCTGGTTTGACCTCTGCATGATGTGCTCGAATGTGTCTGGCTTATGAAGCGAAGACACGCAAAACGAATAAAGAGCAGGCGTGGATACCACGATATAGATGAGCCAAAATCATCCACATTGGCGCAAATTTGAAAAGCAGGCGTGCTGAATTCAGCAGCTTGTTGTAATGGGCAGTTGTTCGTTGTGTGTGTCTGTGTAGAACTCAACCCAACAGTCCTGAACTATGTGCCGTTGGCATACCCAACTATTACGACTAGTAGTTGCTTTGCTGATCTGTCGTGTATGACGCGTCTAGGATTCCTTAATATGGTGCGATCACCATAACATACTGGTTTTAATGATTCTGCTCAATTGACCTTTATTGTCAATAGCCGCCCACACTTTCATTCCTCTCTCCAAACACTTGGACCCTGCGAGTTGTGCTTTTGGCTGCTGAAAAGGCACTCCTGCAGGAGGGGAGCTTTTTTCGGGAAGCGTGCTGATCATTTCGGCAATGCTCGAAACAATAACCGTCCCTAGCGAACGCATAGCCAACTACACTAAGCTAGCGAACATGTTGTTGGGAGCTCAACACTCTTAAGGAGAGAACGCGAGAGTCGTTCGATCTGATGACGGGAAGTGCCTAGAGGGATTTGGTAGGAAATGGTCAAGGTTCGAAGCCTGGGAAATGATATTTTTTTGGTAT